CCTTGGCAGGCCCCCGCTTTGCAGGCTGCTGCCCAGTCCACCTTCCTTTGTAACAGGAGTGGAGTGGGATGGGCACGGCGCCGACCCATGCAGACTTGGATGGGGGAGGACACGGCTGCAAGGTGCTGTATCCGCGTTGCACTCTGCTCTGAGCTTCTGGATGTAACAGACGAGACTTGGCAGGCACAGCATTAGGCGCCAGCCAGGTTTAAACCATTCTCCACAGCCCAGGCCTGCTCCCCGGGCTCTCAACACATCCCGAGACAAGATCCCTTTCAGCCAGGTCTTGGTAAAGTGTCTCAATGGTACGGGATTAGTTTGCTAGGGCTGCCAAAGCCAGATGCATGCCACATCCTGGCAGCTTCACCGGTGGCAGCAGTTTTCCCATTGCCGGTGGGGTCAGTTCCTCCTCGGCTAGTGGACAGCCACTTCCTGCTGTGTCCTCACTTGGTTGTCCCCATGTGCGTGTGTATGGCTTAATTTCTTCCTCTGAAGATGCCAATCTTACTGCATAAGGGACCACCTGTGTAACTTGGCTTCTCAACTGTCTCTCCCGAGGCCCCTCTCCAGGAAACCACACACTGTTGAAACAACATGAACTTGACTGGACACGGCACAGCCCTTGACGAGAAGGGTCCACACAGCGGGGATTGTGGCCTTCCTTCCATGGGTTAATGAAGGGAGCTAGCAGGTTCTTCCCGGCACTTAGATCAATCCTAAGACATTTGTAACAGGGCACAGGGGCTGGACTATAAATTTAATTTTTACAGTATTAGCTGATTTTCATTTTAAAAAAAGAATTATATTTTTAAAAGATTTATTTTATTTTTATCGGAAAGTCAGATACACAGAGGAGAGGCAGAGAAAAAGAGATCTTCCATCTGTTGATTCACTCCCCAAGTGTCCCCAACGGCCAGAGCTGAGCTGAACCGAAGCCAGAAGCCTGCAGCCTTCTCTGGGTCTCCCATGCGGGTGCAGGGTCCCAAGGTTTCGGGCCATCCTTGACAGCTTTCCCAGGCCACAAGCAGGGAGCAGGATGGTAAGCAGAGCTGCCAGGATTAGAACTGGCGCCCATATGGGATCCTGGGGCCTGCAAAGTGAGGACTTTGGCTGCTAGGCTACTGCGCCAAGCCCAATTTATTTTCATTTGATTGGAAAGACAAAGAAACAGAAATGGAGAGTGAAAGAGGCCAGTCTTTCATTTGCTGGTTTGTTACCTGAATGCCTGTGACAGTCAGGCCACAGCCAGGAGTCACGGACTCGGCCAGGGTCGGCCACCTGGAGAGCAGGGACCCATGCCTGTGACAGTCAGGCCACACCCGGGAGTCATGGACTCGGCCAGGGTCTGCCACCTGGAGAGCAGGGACCCATGCCTGTGACAGGCAGGCCACAGCCAGGAGCCATGGACTCGGCCAGGGTCTGCCACCTGGAGAGCAGGGACCCATGCCTGTGACAGTCAGGCCACACCCGGGAGCCATGGACTCGGCCAGGGTCGGCGACCTGGAGAGCAGGGACCCATGCCTGTGACAGTCAGGCCACAGCCAGGAGTCATGGACTCGGCCAGGGTCTGCCACCTGGAGAGCAGGGACCCATGCCTGTGACAGTCAGGCCACACCCGGGAGTCATGGACTCGGCCAGGGTCTGCCATCTGGAGAGCAGGGACCCATGCCTGTGACAGCCCACAGCCGGGAGTCATGGACTCGGCCAGGGTCTGCCACCTGGAGAGCAGGGACCCATGCCTGTGACAGGCCACAGCCGGGAGCCATGGACTCGGCCAGGGTCTGCCACCTGGAGAGCAGGGACCCATGCCTGTGACAGGCCACAGCCGGGAGCCATGGACTCGGCCAGGGTCTGCCACCTGGAGAGCAGGGACCCATCTACCTGAGCCACCTGCCGCCTTCCAGGCGGTTGGAGTTGGAAGGGCAGTCAGAGCTTCCTCCCAGGCACTCCTATACTGCTGTATGATGTGGTACCTCAACTGCCAAACACCTGCTCCATCTTTGACAGACAGAAAAATATCCGAGCTGAGCCACATCCAAGCCAGAAGCCTGGAGCTCCTCCCAGGTCTCCCATAGGGATGGCAGAGACCCAAGCACTCGCATTGTCCTCTGTAACCCGCCCAGTTGCATCAGCAGAAAGGAAGCAGAGTGGCCAGGACTGCAACATGTCCCTCAGAATCTCTACTAAGCCAACAAAGCCCCAGCTCCCACCAGGTCCTGTAGTGTGTACCTCATTCCACTGGTCTGCAGCGTCCCACCGGGGCCAGCACCATCTGCTGCCCCCTAGAGGGGCTCACCAATCAGCTAGGTCATCACTCAGTGATGGCCAGTGAGGGCCAGTGGAAACCTTTCCACCTGCCAAACACTCTGACTCCCACCCCGGGCAGATCCAGGCCAAACCACTACAAGTCCTCCCATGCTGGCCCCCGAAGCACCATGCAACCAGGGTAGCTGGCCTGGGTCCCAGCCAAGTTGTCCAGCCATCCTGCTGGTCTACCCAGTAACTGAGGCCTTCTCCAATTACTCAGAGGATCACTTTGCCTTAGAAACTCCAGCTGTCCCCTTGGGTGCGGCCGTAACCGATGCCAAGGCTCTGAACAGCAAAGGGCCGGCTGGCCACCTGCGAGTGTGTATGGACATTCCATGACAGCACGGGGCTGTGTCCACTGTGGCCACTGCAGATAAAGGAGCAAGGTGAGCAAAAGCTGGGGAAGCGGACGTGGCACCCAGGGGAAGACCAGAGTGTCTCTGCGGGACCCTGGGCATCCAGGGAAAGGAGAAGGAGAAGTTAGCAGCCCAGTCTGGGAGCTCTGAGTGGACGGGACAGAGGGCTTGGGTCAGGCTGCAGGCTGAGGGCACCCCCGAGGGCTTGGTGTGGCCTAGAAGCCCCAGGTAGAGGGAGGCAAGGGACTGGCAGCCTGTGTGGCTCCGTGGACTTCCCAGGTTGGGTGTAGAGGAGCTTTGGCACCCAGTGCAGGTGCCCGGGCAGGCAGCTCCCCAGCCAGGCACTCTGAGATCACAGATGGCTTGCCTCACAGTGAGGAGCTGACCACAGGGCCCCGAAGGATGTGGCGATATCACACAGCCCAGGCCTTGGCCCTCAAGTGGCCCAGGACCTGTCCCTGCATCTCCCTACCCAGCACCAGCACCATAGCCTGGCAGATAAGGTTAAGGGGTGGACTTGGGACTAACCCTGCCATGCCGGTGGTCACACGTGCCCTCTGGAGGCCTGGGCTGTCCAGGTGGTATGCAGGGATGTTTCCCCTCCAGCCATCTATGTCACTGTCAGAGCCCTGGGTCTCCTTCCCTGTCCCCACTCCCAGGCGGTGTGTGGCGCCAGCTGGGTTCTGGGAGACAGAACTGTGGACAGAAAGACTCATGGGGGAGGAGTATGTGTGTGGCGGGGGCGGTCCCCAAGCATCTGCAGGGAGCTGAGGGGCAGTGGGGACCCTCCTAGCTCACAGATGCTAACCAGAACATCAGAGGCCTACCACGGAGCCTGCAAGGAGCCCTGGTTAGGACACACACACACACACACACACACGGGCTGGCCCATCAGACCGGCCCATCCTTGCTCCTTGCTGTATTTGTGACCCCTGGACACCTTGCTTGTCCTCACGATCAGCCTCCCTTCCCCCCTGAGTCTGTGCCAACTCCAGGACCCAGAGTCCTCCCCAGCCCCTCAGTCACTGTCCCCACCCACCCACCCAGAAAAGCTCATCACACACCCCTGGCACCATAGCTCGGAGGAGGCAATGCCCCGGCAGGTGCTCTCTGGGACGTCCCAGTCACTCTGGAGAGACCCACTCTCCACCTCAAAGAGACCAAGCCAAGGGTTTGTGTCACCGAAAGTCCCCTTGGCAGATGCAAGCTGCGTCAATGTGTGGCACAGCTGAGCCTGGCACTCCACGCCCCAGATAGGCAGAAGGTAGAGGGGACAGCCTTGTGTGTGTGGGAGGGTGGGCTGGTTCTGTTGGGGTTCTTGGATCAGGATCCTCCTGTTAAGTCTTGGATTTGGGGCAGGTTAAGATTTATTGTTTGTTTGGGGCCTGGCACAGTAGCCTAGTGGCTAAAGTCCTTGTCTTGTGAACATTGGGATTCCATATGGGTGCCGGTTTGTGTCCTGGTGGCCCCACTTCCATCCAGCTCCCTACCTGGGACCTGGGAAAGCAGTCGTGGAGATCCGGAAAGAGGCTCCTGGCTTCGGAACGGCTCAGCTCCGTCTGGGCAGTGAATCATCAGATGGAAGATCTTCCTCTCTGTCTTCCTCTCTGTATCTGACTTTCCAATAAAAATAAATAAATCTTCAGTTTGTTTGAGAGGCAGCGTTACAGAGAGATCTTCCATCCGCTGGTTCACTCCCCACAAGGTGGCAACAGCCAGGGCCAAGGGCCCAACTCAATGTGGCACGTGGGTGGGAGGGGCCCAATTTCACTTGAGCCAACACTTGCTGCCTCCTGCGGGGTGCCCAGAACTAGGCATCAAACACTGAGCACCCCAAAACAGGACCCAGGTCCCAAAGTGGGTCATAGCCTGCTGGGAACAAAGTCAGTCCCCCAAATTAAGACTTTAAGAGGGAGCTATGAATCTTTCCCGGCCCAAAAGCAACATGAAAACAAGCATCATGAACAAATCACACAGCTAACGACCATGTTGTGGAGAAACACGGGGATAATGTCAGAGGCCCCCCACATTTCACCTTGGGGTGTCCCAGGTCACTGAAGCAGCAGCCCCATCCATTTGTCCCTCTTCCTAAGGACCCTCCCTCCCCCGAGACCCCCAGTGGTCCCTGTGGAGTCAGACTCCACCCAGGAGATGCGTCCAGTTTCTTACCTCCCTTTCACCTCTCCCTGAGAGGGGACCCACCCCTAGCCAGGCCGGGACAGGCACCTGAGTGCGGAAGTGGGGGAAGTAAGGCAGGGAGCCAGAGGGAGGAGGTGGAGTGGGCCAGAGACCCAAAGGCATACTCTCTTTTGCCCCCTCTCAGCCACACTTGTCGCCATGCCCGCCACCAACCAGGGCTGGCCCGAGGACTTCGGCTTCCGGCTGGGCGGCTCCGGCCCCTGCTTCGTCCTGGAGGTGGCCGAGGGGAGCAGCGCGCACGCCGGGGGCCTGCGGCCGGGGGACCAGATCCTGGAGCTGGAGGGCCTGGCCGTGGGCGGCCTGAGCCGCGAGCGCCTTGTGCGCCTGGCCCGGAGCTGCCCGCGGGTGCCGCCCAGCCTGGGGGTGCTGCCAGGTCCCGAGGGCGGCCCGGGCCTGCCGGTGGCCCACACCGCGGCTCTGCGGGCCCCACGCGCCCTGGGGCGCGAGCTGCTGCGCCTGCTGGGCCGCCAGCGCCCCGACGCCGCGCACCGGGAGCGCAGACGGAAGGCCCAGGAGTTCAGCCGCAAGGTAAGGTAAGGCGGCAGGGCGGGGCGTGTCTGCACGGGTGGACCCGAAGTTAAGATGCTCAGGTGTTAAAAGTCCTGTTCCTGATCTTGGTGTTTGTATTTAGAAAACGCATGAAATTACGGTTTATATCACGCCGAGGTCCACAGACCCCTAGGTAGAAAAACAGAGCATGGATAACGATAGAATGTGGACTATAGAATAATTCCTTCCAGAAGGTTCGCCCATGCCCCTTTGCCTGTTTAACTTCCCTGTCAGTTTAGATGATTTTTGTGTTTGCGACCTTCAAGCAACGGCAGCCATTCAGTCATGCTCTTCAGAAGCCGGATCAGAATTGCAGCCAGGACTCCAGTCGGGGAGTCCAGGGCAGCAAGGACAGCCACATGGTGCATTTACTTGCTTAAAGGCAGGGTTACAGAGCGTGGCGAGTGGGGCAGACAGAGATATTTCATCTGCTGGGGCACTTCCCAGATGGCCACCACAGCCAGGTCTGTCTGAAATAGCAGGGATTGCCTCTGGATCTCCCGTACGGCCCCAGCACTTATGCCATCTCCTGCTGCCTTCTCAGGCACACTGCACAAAAAGCTAGCTCTGAAGTGTAACATATGGGACCGAAACCAGGTACCTGATATGGGATGCAGGCATTGCAGGAAGCACCTTAGCTCGCTGGGGCACAAGGCAGCCCCTGCCCCGGGGGACGATGGTGTTGGGCCTCTCTGGTCAACATTGTGTCCGGGATGTTCTGCCCCATGGTGTGTAGCCGTGGGTCCCTCTTTTTGTTTCTTGTGTTACCTGGAGCCATGTCCACTGCAAAAGCCCGCAAACCCAGCGTCTGGCCGGCTGGCTGGCCAGAGGGCCTTGGTTTAGGTTTCTTGACCATTCTGAAGCCATTAGCATGCAACACACACACACACACACACACACACACACACACTCACACACACACACACACACACACACACACACACACACACACACACACAGGTTCTGTGTGTTTGCCAATGGGAAACCCTAGGGGATGAGGAGTCAGGCTCCTGGATGGTCCAAGGTTTCTAGCCTCAAGACGAGGGTCTGCCGGAAGCAGGGCTGGGCCCAAGACTGGCACCCAGGACTGAGGAGCAACAGAGAGGCTGGGCCTGTGAGGTCTGGGTGCAGCAGCCCCTCAGAGCACCTGTCCTCACACTTCCGTACCCCGGGACATTCTGAGAGTCCCAGGAGGAAACTCAGGTGCAAGAAAAAGTGACTAGGAAATAGTTGGAAGCGCAGATACCCCGACCTCCTGTCTTGGGCTTAGTCCCATCTGGGTGCTAAAACTGGAAGCTCAGTATCTGGGGCGGCATGCTTGAATTCATAGGCCTGTCCTGTGTAGAACAGGAATTGCCCAGCCTGGCCATTTGGCCAGCAGGTTTGCAGGGTGGGGACACCTAGAAGCCCTGTTGGAGATAGACAATTGCAGAAATAGGTCCTAGTCCTCGGCCTGGCATTGCATCTCAGATTCATCACCTGCTCTGGTCTCTTCCAGTGCCCAAGCCTGATCCAGTCCTGGTTTGGTACTAAACTGACCACCCAGCAGCCTCTCCTCCATCACGCTTTGGGGCACATCCCATAGGCTGGGTCCACCCTGTGTTTCTGCGTCCCACATGCTCACAGCGTGTAGGGTGCAGCTCTGGCTTCCCAATATCGCCAACGTCCAGCTCCTGTAGCCAGCTGACTGTCTCCCTCTGCCCTGGTCAGGGCTTCCTGTGGATCAGGAGGAGAGCATGGGAAGGAGCACCATAAGCCTTGCTCTAGCACCTAGTCTTGGCTGCAATGGGTCCCCCTGCTGCACCCTAAGGATGCTGGGAAATGTAGTCTTCTGTGTATCCAGGAATAGGAGGACAACTGGTTATGTGGCTGAGCACCAGTAATGTCAACCCCAGATGTGAAGGCCTGTCACAGAATCTAACTCACCTCTGCAGCTTTGGAAGGGGACACTTGTGGAGGTGGTCAGGAAGCAGGCATCCCGGCAGAGAAGCGCAGGGAGCAGAGGTTTCCAGATTCACCACATGCCCCCTAAAGCTGAGGGGACTCCTGGGGAACAGGAAGGGGCTCTGGGCAGTACCCCCTCGCGGCCTTCCTACCCCCTCACCTCTCATCAGCCTTCTGCCTGCCCCAGTTTTTCCTCCTTGAAGTCGCTGAGGTTTAATAGAAAATCCATTAGCGTCCCGAGTTGGCTCTGCCTGCTCAGATGTAGGTTGACAACATCTGGGCAGTAACTGACACGCATCCCAGGCCCCAGGAGGGGGGAACTATTTTTTCCTCTTTCTTACATAAAGTGTCTTTGCAGCTAGCTATGTCGGCCTTTGAATTCAGGCTGCTGCTGCCGTCTTTGGCTTCTAAAACAGCGACCTGCTGGCTGCCCAGTGGGTGCAGGAGGGGGGCTTCCTGGCTCTGCAGCAAGCCCTGTCCACGGGGAAGGAGACGAGTGGTCAGCCGGGGCCTGTAGGAAGTGCAGGCAAGCTGCTCTGATGGGACAAGCCCACAGACACTGCGCTGAGGGCAGTCAGACACTCAGGGCATCATCATGCTTGGGGTCGAGGGCTGAGAGACTGTCTCCTGGGCTCACCGTGTCGGGGGGGACATCTCAGAGCCCTCACAAATGTTTACTCCTTACCTCTAGAAGGTTCTTCTCCTGCAGGACCATCCAGAAGCACTTGGACATATAAGGGGATTTGCAAAGGATTGTTGGTTAAAATGGCTAAAGCCCTTGCCTTGAAAGCACCAGGATCCCATATGAGCACCAGATCTAATCCCGGCAGCTCCACTTCCTGTCCAGCTCCCTGCCTGTGACCTGGGAAAGCAGTTGAGGAAGGCCCAAAGCCTTGGGTTCCTGCACTGGTGTGGCAGACCTGGAGGAAGTTCCTGGCTCCTGGCTTCAGATCGGCACAGCACCGGCCGATGCGGCCACTTGTGGAGTGAATCATTGGACAGAAGATCTTCTTCTCTGTCTCTCCTCCTCGCTGTATATCTGCCTTTCCAATAAAAATAAACAAATCTTAAAAAGATTAAATTTTGAAGCACACATTATTGCATAGTGAGTTACGCTGCGGCCTGTGGTGACAGCATCCCATATGGGTGCAGGTTCAAGTTCCAGCTGCTCCATTTCCCATCCAGCTCCCTGCTTGTGGCCTGGCAAAGCAGTCGAGGACGGCCCAGAGCCTTAAGACTCTGTACCCATTTGGGAGCTCTGGAGAAGCTCCTCACTCCTGGCTTCAGATCAGCTCAGCTCTGGCCGCTGCGGCTACTTGGGGAGTGAATCAGCAGACAGAGATCTTTTTCTCTGTCTCTCCTCCTCTCTGTATATCTGCTTTTTCAATAAAAACTAAATAATAATAATAATAAAAAAAGATTCGTGGCCCAGTGCAGTAGCCTAGTAGCTGGGATCATCACCTTGTACACACTCGGATCCCATATGGGCACTGGTCCGTGTCCTGGCTGTTCCACCTCTCTTCCAGCTCCCTGCTTGTGGCCTGTGAAAGCAGTGGAGGACGGCCAAAGCCTTGGACCCCTGCACTTGCATGGGAGACCCAGAAGAGGCTCCTGGCTCCTGGCTTTGGATTGGCTCAATTCTCTGTCCACTTGGGGAGTGAAACAGCAGACGCAAAATCTTTGTCTCTGTCTCTCCTTTCTTTAGATCTGCCTTTCCAATAAAAATAAAGATCTAAATCAGGAAACATGGGATGCAACCCAGGTCTCCCACGTGTGTGACAGGGACCCAATGACTTGAGTCACCCCCATCGCCTGTCTGTGTTGGCAGCAGCTGGGCTCAGGATCCCGGTTCTCTGGTATGTGGCACAGTAGTCTTAATGCCTGCTCCCTCTGGGAACTTATGGCAGCACTCTCCAACAGTTCTAAAGTTCAGGTGTGAGCTGGGAGCTGAAGCCCTGGTGGGCGCTGACGGGGGTCTGACGCTGAGTGGTGCAGCTGCGGGGGAGGGTGCCCGGATCACCTGCCTGGTGGCAGCGGAATGAAAGCAGCAAATGCAGACAGCCCTGGCAGCGCAGAGAAAGAGAATGAGAGGGTTGTGGAGTCACTTATTTATAGCATGAAAGAGATGGGCACATTTTCCCAGGCTGGCAGGTGGCAGAGGCACAAACACCAAGCATTTCACTGTCTTTGAGAAGGGACCTGTGACAGGGGAAGGGCCCCTGAACGAAAGGGACAAGGGGGCTGACCTGGTGCAGCTGTCGCGGGGCAGAGGGTTGGCACAACGACACAGTCCCCAGACTCTGAGACGGGAGGGGGCATGGTCAGGGTGAGGGTGGGGAAGGGGTCAGGGAAGGTGGGGCAGGTGACTCCTGGCTGCACGATGAGATGGCTGGAGAGGCTGGGGTGTCTGTGGACCGGGGCCAGGGAGCGTGGGTAACGTAGGTGAGGGTTGTTGGGGTGTGGGGAGGAGGGCAAGTGTGGAGAAGTCTGGGGACAGATGGAAGAGTGAGGAGGGTGGTGCCGGACAATCTCTGGTGGAACAGGAGCCCCTGGGACACCGAGAGAAAGAGAGAGAGAGGGAGAAAGAGGGAGGAAGACAGAAAGAGAGCTGAACTGTCTGCTGGGCCGTCCAGCCTCCCACCGGCACTGCAAGGTTGGTTCAGTGTGTCCGTGCCCAGGAATGTCTCCGTCCCTGGAGTACCAAGCCAGTGTCCTGCAGTGTGCACAGGCACTAGTCCCCAGCCTGTGTAACCTCCAGGATAGGAAAATCCCTCGAGACAGAAAAGTACACTGTGGATGACCAGGGAAGAAGGGAGCGGGAAGCAACTGCTTCCTGAATGTGGGTCTGTGTGAGCTGGTGAGTCGCCTGGACCTGGAGCTGGGTGACGGTGCCACACCGACTAGTCAGTTACACGTCAGGGGCGTCTGACCGCAGCACAGGGTCAAGGCAGAAGGAGCAAGGACAAAGTAGCCTGCATTGTTTTTCCCGACCTAGAAAGTCTTAGAAACTCCCTGTAGAAAACATGAAAACCACTCAACTAAAAAAAAAATTTTTTTTTTTGCAAATGCTCCCAAATATTTCCTATGCAAATATTTATGTGCAATTATGTATAAAAAGGCACTGCTGTGTGTTCTGTTTGGTAACCTACTTTATTTGAAAGGCAGAGTTACAAAGGAAGCTCATTCACGGGGTTCAGTCCGCAGGTAGCTGCAATGGCTAGAGCTGAGCTAATCCAAAGCCAGAAGCCAAGAGCTTCTTCCAGGTCTCCCACACCGGGTACGAGGGCTGCAGAGCTTGGCCCTTCTTCCACTGCTTTCCCAGCGCATAAGCAGGAAGCTGGATCAGAAGTGGAGCAGCCAGCTAGCTTAACTCCCTAGGCCACAGCACCAGCCCTGATAATCTACTTTTGTTACTTGCCAAGGTATCACATCTAGTTATTGGGGCATCATTTGTGTACCCCATATGCATGTCTGATGTTCCACTCAGTGGTACATGGTATGTTCCCCAAATTGCACAACCATCACCACAATCGATGACCTGTTGGACCACTGCCCAAAGAACCCCCACACTCCTCAGTCAATGCTTTCCATGCTATGATTTTAAATAAAGACTGACAGCATCATTCTCACTGGCCATTAAGATCCACATTGCACCAAATCCAAAGTATCATCCATTGCAAGATGCACTGCTTTAAAAAAAAAAAAAGGATTTATTTATTTTTATTGGAAAGGCAGATATACAGCGAGGAGGAGAGACAGAGAAGAAGATCTTCTGTCCAATGATTCACTCCACAAGTGGCCTCAATGGCCGGTGCTGTGCCAATCTGAAGCCAGGAGCCAGGAACTTCCTCCAGGTCTGCCACACCAGTGCAGGAACCCAAGGCTTTGGGCTTTCCTCAACTGCTTTCCCAGGTCACAGGCAGGGAGCTGGATGGGAAGTGGAGTAGCCGGGATTAGATCTGGTGCTCATATGGGATCCTGGTGCTTTCAAGGCAAGGGCTTTAGCCACTAGGCCACTGTATCAGACCCAAAAATAAATAAGGCTTAAAAATACAATAGGAAACCAAGAAACCATGACTCATGCTTCCTTGTCACCTCTTTTATTTGTTTAAAAAATTATTTATTTGAAAGGCTGAAAAGCAAAGACAGAGAGAGTCCGAGATTTTGCACGAGTTCAGCTCCTTTGTGGCTGCCCTAGCCGAGCTGAGCCAGGCCAAAGCTAGGTGCAAGCTGTCAGCCAGGATCTCTATGTCAGGGTCAGGGGCCCAAGCACTTGGCCCATCATCTGTTGCCTCGCAGGCTCATCAGTGGGGGTCTATGGAGGCAGCAGAGTGGCTGGGATTCGATCCCGCACTTTGCCATGAGATGTGGCTGTTGGAAGTGGCAGCTTAGGGTGCAGGGCCACAACGCTGGCCCCGTTGTCAATTACTTTAGTGATTCTTGAGGCAAGACCCTTAGGCTTATTTATGCATAGAAAGTTCTAGCAATATGCATGACTCGCATACTCATAGGATGACATTCGACAGCATCTCCCCAACAGAGATGTTCAGGATGGGGAAAAAAAAGCGCATTCTAAGACTCAGCGTTCCACAGTGCTGTCTGCGAGGGGGGTGCTCAGCCACGAAGCCAGGAGGGCGAGCATCAGGCCTGGGGGCTAAGACACAGATGGCCACAGTCTGCCCAGGAGTGCAGGGTCTGCCTCCACCTCCGGCTCCTGCAAACATGGCCTCACGCAGGCTCCGGAGGGAGTCAAAAGAAGACAATGAAGTCTGCTTGCCTTGCTTGGGTGGGAAGTGAACAGCCTCACTCATGCCATGCATTTGTCACTTCACGGTTAGCACAGATTCCTAGAGCTGAGCCCAAGGCATAGGACACACTTACCAAGCTGTCTTCCCCAAAGCCCATTGGCAGAGTGGGCCCTTGGCTGTTAGCGGCTAGCTTCTACCAGGAGATAAGGATGGGCCAGAAGGAGAGCCGAGGGAGCCAGAACTGAAGGCGGTGGGTGCTGGCGTTCGGCACGGTGGCTCAGGTTGGCACCTGAGACACACTTCCCCCCCATGACCCAGCTCCCTGCTCACGTGTGCATGCTGGGAGGCAGTGGGTGATGGCCCAAGTGCCTGGGTCCATTCTGCCCATGTGGGAGACCCATGTGGAGTTCTAGACTTTGGCCTAGCCCAGCCCTGACTGTGGTGAGCTTTTTTGGGGGGGGGGAGTGAACCAGCAGATATCCAATCTGTTACTCTGTCTCTCCAGTAAGGAAATAAATGAATCCATTATGCTATACAAGACATGCACGCCCCCGCGCTGTTGTGGGGCTGGGCTGTCCTGTCTTGAGAACTCAGCGAGCCATGTAGAGAAAGGGAGTGTAGTATTTTAATAATAGTAACTAGCAATTATGGGGTGCTCAGCGCGTTCTTGCCGTGTGTGGACTCCTTTGCTCCTGAGGGTGTTACGATGCCGTCTCTGCACTTGAATCCTGACGCCACAGCCTTGCAGCCAGCGTCGATGGAGGTGGGAACTGGTCCCCCCAAAGTTCCGATCCTGGAAATCCCTGCACCTATGTGTGCCTCAGTTTCCCTGCCCATGCCCATCTTGGAGGGTGGCTGCAAGGTCTGAGAACCACAGCGGGGGCGAGGAGGGTGAGTGAACCCTTCTTCCTGCGTCTCTCCTCTTAGGTGGATGAGATCCTGGGGGACCAGCTGAGCGCCAAGGAGCAGGTCTTTGTGGCCCTGAAGCACTTTGCAGCTGAGCAGCAGGTGGACGACCTGGTGTGGGCTCTCACCCTGGCCTTGCCGCGGGATGCTCGGGGGCCCCTGCTGGACAACCTCAGGTATCCTAGGCAGGGTGGGTCCTCCCGACCCTCATTTGCCCCAGCAAACCCTGCTTCTCAGCCTCAGTCCCAAACGGACTGAATCTGCCTACAGCTCTAGAGCTACACAGTGGGAGGACTCAACCCTGGCAAAAGCAGCTGTTAGCTCTGCTGGGTGCCAAGGCAGGGGCAGGGGTCTCGCAGAGGACCAAATGGGCTGTAAAATCACAGCCTGCCCTGCTCCTTCTGCAAACCCACAGAGACACTAGGACACCTAGGATTCTGTGTGGACCGGAGGTCAGGTGCAGGCAGGGGAGCATGAGAAGGGTGCCATGGGCACCTGCACATGATGTCCCTGCTGTGCTCTGGCAATGCGGACCACCTGCTAAGGACCCCTGCAGAAGCATTCTCGGGCCGAATCCCACCCCAGCCTCCAGTGCTGTTATTAACTCTGAATCACGGAGGCAAACCGAGCTGGGGGGGAGTAGGAGGGCCGTTTCTCAGGACGAGGCACCTGGTTAACTGTGCGCCCTCTGCTCTTTTGCTGAGCTCTGGACTGTCCCTTTAGGTTTAATATAAAAAAAAAAGGAAAAATTCCTGGGAGGGGCTCCTCGCCTGGGGCGACCCCGGAGTCTCCAGATCCCACTTCCGTCCTTTCAGGGAGACCCTCCAAGCCCTCCCTACCTCACCCCGGAGCCTGCGGCCGCTCCCCCATCCGCCGCCTCTCCTTCTCCTGGGCTCAGCCCACCCCCTCCCCTCGCTGCCATTCATTCACCCCGCAGCCTGCCCCTCCCTCTGGGCCTGGCCAATGTCAGGGACGGGCTGGCCTCCCCCCACCCGCCACCCCAGCCCAGCCCCGGAGGCACGGTGTCTCCTCTGCGCTCTGCCGCCGAGCCCCGGAGGCCACCATGAGCTGCTTTGGGTGAGTAAGGGGCTGCCCCCCGACAACCCCTTTGCTGAGAGCAATCCAGAGAGGACGGAGAAAGTTGTTTCCAGAGCCAATTTACCGCGGGAACGAGCGCTCCCTGCGGAGGTGCTGGACCGGAGCCTTCGGCCGCCTCTCGCCGAGGGACTGGGCCAGGGAGGGGGCGCGCAGCGGTCCCCGGGAAGTTGGCACGCGGGTCCCTGCGCCACCTGCCGCCTCGACCAGCCTGCCTAGAGGCCCTGCCCGTGCGCATCGCTCCCCCGGGGGCTTGCTCCTGCCCCTGCCGCGCTCCGCCCGCCTTTCCCGGCGGCCACAGCTGCTGGTCCCTGAGCGAGCGGGTCAGGAAGGGCGGGGGTGGTGCGGGGATGCCCAGCCGCGCCCAGAGGAGGCTGCGGCGGGCAGCTGGCTGAGGGCTGCTGGAGGAGGGGGCGGCGCCTAGCTGGGCCCTAGAAGGAAGGGGGAGCCCCTGGCAGGGGGCGGCTCCCCCAACCCCGCCATTCCATCCACTCCCGCGTCCCAATCCCTGTACTGGCAGGTGGCCAGTCTTCGCTACTGATGGTTCCAGCAATGGAGGTGATGCCCCACTGGGGGTGCAAGGCGCCTTCCCAGAAGACGGAGTAGGATGGATGTGTGTGTGCGTGTGTACGCGCAGGGGCTCTCCAGGCCAAGTTGGCTGTATCTCCAGGACCAAGGGACAGCCTGGGTGGCTAACTTAGCTCCGAGCCGAGCCATCTGGGCAACCTCCTTTGGAGAGGCAGCAGGTTGCACACTGTGGCGCAGAGAACGACTGCTGTCACGTGGTCCATGTCCTTTGGCCAGGAGGGTTGACCATCTCAAGGCCAGGCATCTGGCCAGAGAGAGTGTAGCCTCCCAGCATGGGGACCAAGGAGGGCCCAGGCTCTGACCAGGAGACTTTACACAGGGAAGAAACAAAGTTACAAAGGGGCAGGCTGATTGACCGAAAAGTAGTGAATGAAGCCATGGATGTGTTTGTGACGGAAGGAGGGGAGAGAGAGAGGGCTAGAACCAACCAAGTCAGGGATGTGCAGAAGGACATTGAGCCTGGGAGTCTGCGCATTCCAGAATTCACTTAATATTTAGTAATGCTGTATGTTTGAGCCCCACGAACTTATTTTGAGGCGTCTCGCTTGGCAGTGGTTACCCTGTGGGGTCGTGCAGACTGGGATGGCATGAGTCAGTGTGCCCAGGGTGCAAGCTGGAGGCGGCGGCTTCCTTCCCCATAACACACCTAGGTGCCCAATTTGGGTCTGTCCCCAAAGGGATGGATCCCCGGGCTGATGGAGCTATAAAACGGCTTTGGAATTAGGACAGACAGGCCATTTGGAAAGTGTGACGTGGCCGGGAGGGAGTAGGAGAGTAGGCAGCTTCGTGGCTCACTGGTGCTTCAAGGCATGGGCAGGGGGGAGGAGAAGGAGGACCTGGTGGGGGCACAGGAGGGGGCCCAAGGAAGCAGCTGAGGAGGTGGAAGAAGCTGGCATTTGGAGTGCCATGTCCACTCCGGGCAGCTCAACTGCCCGCAAAGAGAAGCAGTTCATCCTAGGTGCTGTCACCCACATCAATGAGCTTTTTTGTGTGTTTTTGTCCAGCTTCAAGCAGCACGAAGATGCATGGGTTCAGAACTCGGGGGTGGGTGGGAAGGACCCCCTGCCTCCCCTTCACCCTCCTCCACCAGGGGGTCAGGTTCCAGGGCCACTCAGCACTCACAACTGTTGGAGGAGACTCTAAGCTGGAAGTGCCAGGCTGCCTGGCTCTTTGTGGCCCCCACCCTCCCGCCCCAGCTCGGCGAGTTTCCAGAGCACATAGCACTAATGACACTCGGTGCCTAAGGTTTCTGTCCCTGTGGTCTGTCCTGTGCCTCGGATCGTGGTTAGCAGTCATCTCTGGCCTCTGATCCCTCAGTTCTAGGACCTTCTCATTGTCATTTTGTAATGATGAAAAATGTTTCCTGATGGTGCAGAATTACCCCCCCCTCGTTGAAATCTAATGCCCTGGAGAGGTCTCAGGCAGTGCCCTCACCTGGAAGTCCTGCTGTTGCCTGCCCAACCCCGTATTGCCCTGGGTCACCTGGTCACACTGCACCCATGGGAACCTGCTCTGGAGTGGCGTGCCTGGTCTCAAGCTGGAGGCTGCAATCCATGGTGCTTGAGTACCTTCTGCACATATCATGGGCAGGTGTTATAGATGCCAATAGGGCACACTTGGTCCTGGGTTCTGGGCCATGGCGCTTGGCACAAAGCCAGGAGTGGCTGCATCCTGACACAGTGGCTGTGCCCACTGTGGGGACCATCAAACACGAGGTGTGAGAACGAGGTGTGGGGAGGACATGGCATGAGGGGGCACTGGTTCTGGCTTCACACTGCTGCTAGGAAGTGCAGGTCAGCCTGGGAGGCCCCCGTGGAGTGGTGGTAGGGCTCACTGAGACCAGGAGTGAGGGGCTGAGTGAGGTGTGTTGGGGACATCTCGCGCAGAGCCCCAGAGACTGATGGCTAGTGGGGTCCTCTCGGTGTCGTGTCTAGGAAGGCAACAGGTAGAGCGTGGGGCTTCGGGTTTCTGTCCCGACCTGCCCCTTGTTGAGGTGTCTGGCCGGAGCTCTTCCCCAGGAAGCTCTGGGCTGAGGTCCCAGGACCTGCCACTATCTGCTCCCCTTCCAGATTCTGGCCCCCTGAATCTGGGGCAGTCAGGCCTGGGGCAGTGGCCATCCTGCACCGGTTCTCAGCTGGCAGCAAGGTCAAGGCCAGGGGACAGATCCAGGCCCCTTGCTCACCACCGCCCTCTCCTCCCGTTCAGCCATTGCTGGCTCAGGGAGGCTCTCCCCTCCCACGTGGGAGTTCTCCCCACCTAAACACTCCCTTCTCACTTGCACTGGCCTGACTCATCCCTTCTCTGTACCTCACAATCTAGCAGTTGTCGGATCTGGACCTCCCCACCAGCATGCCCCTGCCCCCGAGTGCCCCAATGGCAGGGGTGGGTCCCTTAGCTTCCCACTGCCCCTGTGGTAGTACAGGTTCAGCTGCTGGCCTTGGCATTCAAGCCTCTTCCTGTCTCTGGGTAGAGGGATGCTGAGCCCTGGAGGCTGGGAGCAAAGATCCCCTCCTCCAGAAAGTCTTCCAGGTTGCATCAAAGGCAATCCGTGCTTCCTCTGGCCCCAGCAGAGTGTGTGTGTGTGTGTGTGGTGGGGGATGAACCCTTGGCGTCACTGGAAGGCGAGCCTCCAGCAGAAACCCCTGGAGCAGGGACTCTCTCCTTGCTTCACCCCCAACCCCTAGGTCCCCCACGTGGCGCAAGGGTCCCCCGGCGGGGTGGGGCGGGGCGAGTGGGGCGGGGCCTCCCAAGCGGGGCGGGCACGGGGCTGCGGTCCGGGACTGCTCGGGAGGGGCCGCGCGGGCTCGCCGGGCAGAGGCGCGTGGAGTCGCGGCGCCCTCGTTCCGCTCGCGGGCTCGGCCACCCCCCACCCTTCCGCACCTGCCGCGCCGCTGTCCCCGGCTCCAGATGGGGAAGGACCAGAGCTTCTCTCGGCACTTTCGGTAGCTTCCCCAACAGCGCGCGTCCCCAGGAACCCCAGGACTCTGAGGCCCCTTCTCAGGCCGGCCTGGATGGGTGGGGGGTAGGGCTGGGGCAATGAGGTGCGTACCTGACCTGGGTGGGCACTCTCGGGCCCGGGAGTGAGCGGGGAACTCCCGGGTAGGAATAACCTGGGTGGTGGGAGAGCTCCACTTTGAGGATAGGAAGCTCCGGGCACGACCCTAGGAGTGGAGGCTGAGGGACTAAGATTGAAAAAGTCCTGGGTCCTTCCTCCGCTGTCGAGGGCACGAGGGAGGCTGGGATTGGCTGCTCTGGGTGAAAACCCAGAGTTTGATGGGCAGGGCACCTGTCGGGAGGCAGAGCATCGGGCTCTGCGTCTGACACTTGAGGGCCCGGCCTTCCATCATCACCACTGGTTGATGATCCTGGGTGAGATGGAAAAAGCTGGGCTGGGATGGGGATGCAGGAAAGAGAGAGAGAGAGAAACACAAACCTTAGGGGAGTCCTCAATAGGAACCTGGGGTTGGAGCAGAACTGAGCCAAGCACAAGATAGGTCTGTGGACACAGGAGTCCTGGGCAGCAGTGGGTTCCAGTGGTCCCTGCAGCCGCATTGCATCTGCTTTGGTGTGTTAATCCAGGCAGGGCAGAGCAGCCCCTCCTGCCCCGGGCCAAGCTGCGTCCCCAGGTATCTCAGGAGCTGACAAGGGTGTGTAGCCCTCCCCACAGCCTGGGTTTCCCTCTCCTGCTGCAAGCATCCCCAGCCGGGAGGGGGCCGCCCAGCCTTTCCCCACCTGTGCGGCAATGACTCACCCCGGCTGCCTTCCCCCCACCCTCAAGGGCTGGAGCCACGAGCTGGAATAGCCGCTTGGCCCCTACCCAGGCTGGAACTGCATGTGGTGTCTGCTGCGTTTCCAGAACCCTTGGGCCCTGGCCCAGAGTGTGAGGTGGGCGGTCTCGGGCTCCCTGCCTCCCTCCAGAGCTTGTGGGGAGGAGACGGGGGGGCTGCTGCGTGAAGCCCAGGAGTGCGTGAGGGCTATGTGCAGGTGGACAGATGGAGATGGCAGGCTCCCAAGACCCTGAGTGACCATCTGGGGTATTGGTGTGGAGCCAAGCTGGCTCTTCATTCATGCCCGCGACAGCCTCCTGATGCACGCAAGCCCTGGAGGGCGGCGTCCAGCACCCACCTGCTGGAGGGTCCCTACCCATTCCCTTTACCCCAGGAGACCCATCCACCTGCCTGGCTTCCTTAATCCTGCCGGCTGAGGGCGGGTGTGGGGACTGTGTGGGGAGCTAGAGAGATTGTGTTTCAGCTGGCTATGCAGGCCACTGCCCCCTCCCCACCATGCCTTTGGCACTGACTCCTGGTACAAAGAAGAGAGGAAGGGTCCTTGGGGTGAAGTCTGGCGGCATGGCTGGCCAGCCAACCTTGAAGGACCCTCTTCTCAAACCCCTGGCAGGGCTCCTGGAAGGCTGCAGTCCCCCTCAGCCATGGGGGCCTGAGAATCCTGTGGCTGGACCACTTGCAGACCCCTCCTTCCACCCTTTCCTGAGGTCCCTTCCAGGTGCCAGGCCCTGGCTGGTCATTGTGGTTCACTGCTGATGGACAGGGCCAGTCCTCGGAGAGTGGAGAGCTTGCAGCCTAATCCTGGAGACCCACCCCTTCCACCCTGGGGACCGCACACACCCTCCCTTATCATTTCCAGGGTGACCCTTTTGAGAGCAAGAGCCACGGCTGGCACAGACAACACAGGAGCTGAGTAATCGCAGGAGAGGATTACATTGAATGGAGGCCAGGACTGAGTGGGGGTGGGAGGACGAGTCCGCCTGAGCAGAGAGTGGGGGCTGCTGGGGCAGAAGCTTCAAGGGGTGGCCTGAAGATGGCAGACGCAGGCAGTGCCAGCAGGCGGAGTGGAGGTGTGCCCGGGTCTGGGGAGGGCAGGCCCTGACCCAGCGGTCAGCTGGAATCAAGCATGGGGGAGGTGTGCGAGGAGGGAAGATCAGCGGCCGGGGGGGTTGTCATGAGATGAGGGACTCCGGCGGGGGGAGGGTGGGGGAGGCTGGAAATGCAAGGTAGAGAGCCCCGAGGTTTGACCCGCGCTCAAGGGACGACTGTGCCGTCCTTGCCCCGCAGGATCTTCATCCCGAAGAAGCACCGGGCGCGCTTCGACGAGGTGGTGTCGCAGGGCCTGCTTGGCAAACTGTGCCGCGCGCGTCGGACGCAGGGCGCGCAGCGGCTGCGCCGGAGCCGCAGCGAGGAGCGGCCCGAGCGCCTCCTGGTGTCCACGCGCGCCAGCGCCGCCCCGCGCCGCCCGGACGAGCCGCCCCCACGCAAGGCAGCCTCACTGCTGGGCGGCCGGGCCGGCCCCGGGGGCGCGCGCAGGTGGGCCCCGCAGGTGGACGCCTCCCGCTTCTTGGCTTGGGGGAGGATGGAGATTTCAGGGTGGTGGTAAAAGAACCGTACGGGCGTCTCCCGGCCCTGTGTCCCCGCTACCTCCTCCAGTCGATCCCCCCCTCCCCGCCCACCCTTCCGCTGGAACAAACCCCTTTTCCATCCTCTGGAACAAACCCCTTTTCCATCCTCTACTGTCTCCCCAGGACCGTCCGCGTCTACAAGGGTAACAAGAGCTTTGGCTTCACGCTGCGTGGCCACGGGCCTGTGTGGATCGAATCTGTCCTGCCTGGTGAGGGATGGGCAAGGTGCCCACGATGCTGTGCAGGCCCCAATAATTATACCCTCTGGGCTACTTCACTCCCACTCCCGCCTGGGTGTCCTCAGGCTCGTAGGCCAACGTCACCCACCTGTCTCAGGGACTCCAGGTTCTGTCTCAAGCTCAGCACCACTGCAAGCCAGGTTCTTCCCTCTAGGAGGGCTGGGGGTACTGCCTTGGCTGTGTACCCCAAACCACAGACCCTGCCCACGATCGGTGCAAGCCAGCTTCAGGACCTGTGCGTGCCGGCTCTGCCCGCCTGCTGTCTGGGCTCCTATCTCCAGCACCTCTGCTTGCTCTTGGAATCCTGGCGTCTCGGAGCCCTCCGGTGCAGCGTTTTTTGTTTTTGCTTTTTTTGTCCCTTTCTGTCCCTCCAGGGAGGGTCAGGGTGGGGAGGGATGTGTGTTCATTTCCACTATGAACAGCCTTGTCGGGACGCTAGACTGGGACTGTCCCTCAGTGCACCCACCCCAGGGGGCTGGCTGTCTTGCGTCATCCCCTTCTCAGCGTGAGGCTCCCTGGAGGCACATCCCCACCTGTGCACCTGTGGGTTTGTAGGCATTCTCCCCATCCCTGGCAGCATGGCCCCAGTGCCTTTGTGTCGCTTTTCTGGCCTCAGCGGTCTTTCTGAGTGAGACATGGCAGGTCCAGATTCTTAACGGCGCCACTAAGCCCTGGACCCAGTGGTGCAGAGAGAAGGTTGGAGTGGCTCACAGGAGTTGGCAGCGGGGTGGGGAGAGGGGAGGCTCTGCCAAGTCCAGGGCCTGGGTGGAGTTCCGGACCCCTGGCCCTGGGACCATTGATCTCCTATGACACCCCCAGGTTCTGGTGTTCCTGCTTCCCCCACTCCCAGGCAGCTGTGATTCAACGAGTTCATCAGGTTCTGTTGGTATTTGGGCCTGATAAGACTGATGATTCAGGAGACCCCCCCCCCCCCCATTAACGCTCAGAGGCCCAGAAAGTTAAGTGTATATAGGAAAGGCTGCCTGGGGCCCTGGTGGTTGGTCAGCCCTGGGGGAAGGGGGGGAGAGGGGCCACCACCCCTCTCGACCTCAGGGTGCCGAATCATCTGGAAACACAGGAAATAGAAACAGGTGCCGGAGGGAGGAGGTGGCATTTTCCCTTGATGGAGGCACTGGGACGGGAGCTGCAGAAGGGGCCCCTCCCTGCCGGCCCTGGCCTGGACCTGTCCCCCCTGCCCCTGCCAAGGGGATCCCTGTGTCCTGAGCCCAGCAGAGCAGGGGCTGTTGCTGATCAGTCTCCGAGAGTGGCATCTGACCGCTGTGTCCTGTCTTCTCACTTCCAGGCAGCCCGGCTGACAATGCCGCCCTCAAGTCCGGGGACCGCATCCTCTTCCTCAACGGGCTGGACATGAGGTCAGGGGTTCCCAAGGACCCCGGTGCAGTGCGCGGTGCTGAGCCATCCCCCTCCTCCCCTGACAAACACCTGCCTGTTAGGACATCCAGATCACATCACATCTCTGGTGCCCAGGCTCTGTCCCTCTGCCTGTGGTCCAGGCTGGAGTCTCATCCCTCCGCCCTACCCAGGACCTCAGTCCCTGCTTCCTCCAGCTGCATGCTGGGGACACAGTGTTCCTGGGTCCTACGAGGTCAGGCGGTGGCCTGGCTAGTCCAGTTTGTGAGGGATTTCAAGCAGGAGAAGCAGAGCCTGGCTAACAGTGGCTTCTGCAGGTGGTCACAGCCAGGACTCACCCTGGCCCGGCCCTTGGGCGGTCTCTGCTCCGCAGGAACTGCTCGCACGACAAGGTGGTATCCATGCTGCAGGGCAGTGGTGCAATGCCCACGCTGGTGGTGGAGGAGGGACCCGTTCCATTTGCCAGTGGTAAGAGTCCTCTCGCCACCCCCGCCCCCGGCCCAGAGAGCCTGCAGGGAGCCCCTAGGAGTGGAATTCCTCAGCTCTGCTTTCCATAGCGGTCTCCTCCTGACCCCGTGGGGCTGGAACCTCAAGGGGGACCCCGCCCAGGGCTTTCCATCCCTTTCCGTCCCCAGCTGCTGGCAGCAGATGGCTTCCCTGTGCAATACTGGGCATTCAGGCTCTCTGCAGGACAGTGGCGGGAATGCCACTCACCTGTGCCTCTCTTCCTCGCCCGTGGTTCCTGGCAGACTCAGATTCGATGGATTCCCCCAACCCCACATCGGCACTCACCTCACTGCAGTGGGTGGCTGAGATCCTGCCGTCCAGCATCCGCGTCCAGGGGAGGACCTTCAGCCAGCAACTGGAGCACCTGCTCACGCCGCCGGAGCGCTACGGCATCTGCCGGGCCCTCGAGAGTTTCTTCCAGCACAGGTGGCCAGGCTAGAGCTGTGGTGGTGGCAATGGGGTAGGGAGACCTGTCCAGGGTGGCCTCTGAGTCCTGCCCACAAGCACCTGCTGGGCTCCTTACTGGAGTTTAGTCCCATCTCCTGGGGGAGGATTCCGCAAGGAAGCACCTGCCAGAGGCTCAGGGATTGGGGACGGTTGGATTGCCCTCCAACAATCCCCACCTCTGACACTCAGCCCCTAAGAAGTGAAGCAGCCAGGGGCCAGTGCCCTTGGCAGGGGTGTGGCTGGGAGGGCTTTCATGACAGCCTTGATTGTGGGCAGTGCCATGGGGGTTGGAGTTTGGGGGCTTCCTCTGTGACCTGAGCCAACAGGTGGCATCTGGAACGCTTCTCACTCCAGGGAACTGTTAGTATGATCTGTGGCAAGCCTCTCACTGCTCTATCCCCTTTTGGTAGTTTTTTAAAAAGATATTTATTTGAAAGACAGAGTGTCAGATGGAAGATCTCTCTGTCTCCCCTCTCTCTGTAAAATCTGCTTTTCAAATACACATACAGAAACCCATTAACGTGACTCTGTAAGTGACTGCTTCGAGGGCTGAGTGACACGGAGAGCAGGACAGAGAGGGAACAATCTTGCATTCATTTGATTTCCTGCCGCAGATGGCTGCAACAGCCAGATCTGGGCTGGGCTGGGCAGAAGCCAGGCCAGAAACTCCGTCCTAGTCTCCCATGTTGGGGACCGAGACCCAAGCCCCTGGGCCATCTTCCACTGGCTTTTAGGTGCATTAGCAGGGCACTGGGCAGCACTGGGGCTTGAATCGACACTCCAGTATGGGGTGTCATCATTGTTAAAGTGCTGGGCCACAATGTCAGTCCTGGGAGATGCAATTTTTTTTTCAAGAGTTATTAATTTTTGTTGGAAAGTGAGACATACAGAGAGAAGGAGAGACAGAAAGGTGTTTTTTATCCAGTGGTTAACTCTCCAAGTAGCCACAACAGTCAGAGCTGAGCTGATCCAAAGTTAGGAGCCTCCCATGTGGGTGCAGGGTGCTAAAGCTTTGGGCCGTCCCCGACTGCTTTTCCAGGCCACAAGCAGGGAGCTGGATGGGAAGGGGAGCAGCCAGGATATAAACCGGCACCCATATGGGATCCTGGGGCATGCAAGACAAGGACTTTAGCCACTGGGCTACTGCGCCAGGCCCTATTTTAATCCCAATTTTACACATCTGGCACAGAGAGGTTAAGTAACCCGGGAGAAGATGTGCTAAGTTGCCAAAAGGCAGAGCCAGAATTTCCATCTGGACAGCCTGTACCCTCAGAGCCCTCCTTCCTGCCCGCCGCTCCTTCCATTAGCCCGGAAGTGGGCTGGGAAGTGTCGCCCTGGTCCACCCCACCCACCGAGCCCTTTGTCCCGCACCCCTTTCTCCCCACCACCCAGAAACATCGACACGCTCATCGTGGAGGTCTACCCCGTGCTGGACACGCCAGCCAAGCAGGTGCTCTGGCAGTTCATCTACCAGCTGCTCACCTACGAGGAGCAGGAGCTGTGCCAGGAGAAGATCGCCTGCTTCCTGGGCTACACGGCCATGACAGGTAGGCTGCCCAGCTCTGTGCCTGGCTGCCAGCTGCCCAGAGGCCCCGCCTGTCCTCACGGGGGAGCCCTGACAGCCAACCTGGGCCCCTCCCAACCAGGGCGGGACACGTGTTCCTCCCCAAAGCTTTGGATGCCCATGGAACTGCCTGGGCTCAGGGCTCTGCTTTGCGTCCTGAGATGTATGTGTCAGGTCACACAGTTGGTGTGACGCACCAGCGCTTGCCACCTGGGTTGTGAGCACACACGGTCAGGTCACACCTGGTGGGTGTCCAGCACGCACGCACACACACACACACACACACGCGCGCGCGCGCGCACCACACCCATCTCGCCTGCATGTCCTGCAGCTGACTCCGAGCCGGAGCTGGAACCGGAGCTGGAGCCCGAGCCGGAACCAGAGCTCCAGCGCCACAGCTCCCTGCGGGCCTCCTCCATGTGCCGCCAGAGCCTTCGGTCCCAGGGCCTGGACACCAGCCGCGGTAGGGCTCCCCACTGCCTCTCCCCACACCTGCCATGGAAAGGCTGGGACGGGTGAGTGGGGTATTACCACCGGGGTTCAGTGCTGCCATCTGCAAGGTGTGTTTGTTGTACTGAGAAATGACAAGAGAAGGGGGATGCCCAGGACCTAATGGGGCCATCCTGGGAGTGCGAAGCCTGTGAGATCCTCGATGAGGAGACCCCCAAGGCAGGCATGACCTCTCCTGAGTCCCTGACCACACCTGATTCCTTGGCAGGCCCTGGGGAATGCCCTGACATGCCACTTCCTCTGGTCCCAGGCGAGCGCCAGGCCGGCGATGGCACGTCCCTCCCCGAGACCCCCAACCCCAAGATGGTGAGTCTTTTCTCCTTGGTGGGGGTGGGAGTGGGCCCACTCTGGGGCCAAGGTGCCCCTGTGGTGGCTGCTTCTGGCTGGAGGAGGCTGGGTCCCAGGCTACCCCCCATGGTGGGGGACACCGGAGCAGCTCGAATCCCTGTGTCCCATCCCCAGATGTCAGCCGTCTATGCCGAGCTCGAGTCTCGACTGAACAGCAGCTTCAAAGGGAAGATGGGGTCCATGTCCAAGTCCAGGGCCTCCCCACCGGGCCCCAGCCCAGCTGATGCCACAGGTAGGGGCTCAGCAGTCCAGGGCCTGAGGGGGCATGATCCCTCTGCCTGGCTGCCCCTGCTGTCCCCATAGCTGGGGGAAACATCCTTGGAGTACCCGTGTCTGTTCTGTGGGCATGAGATTGCTAGGGGGAACCTGGCCCCTACCTAGGCCTGCATGTTTGGGTTGCGACCATATAGAAGTCAGGGTGGTTCCAGCTCTTCCCGTGTCACGTGCTGTCCCCCCTACCATGGAGGTCCCCAAGGTACCCACGTAGCTCTTGGATGAATGATGATGCTGGGCTGGGCAGGGGCTGTCGGCAGGCAGAAGCCCTGGGTGCCCAAGGCATGCTGGACACGACCTGCTCTGGAGCCTGGAGAAGGCCCTTTGGTCCCTTGGATTATATTCAGTGGGGTTGAGCTGTGACTTGAGGTCTGGCCTGTCCTGGCACTAAATGGGGGGGTGCTCTGACCTTGGACCCACCCTTGGGCAGCTTGGAGGCAGATCACCCAGAGAGGGCAAAAGCAAGTGTCCAGGGTTACAGCTCTGACCTGCCCCGATCCCCCTGCAGCCTGTACCTTGTGTAACCCAGGCATAGGCTGATCAGGGGTCCTTACACCACATCACCACTCCCCTGCCAGGACCCAGGACCCTGTCCAACGTCTCCTGGCCCAGCGAGCGGCTGCTGCCTTCTCACTGCTACTACCCACTCTGCTCTGGGGACCTGGCCTCCCCCAGCAGCTCCGAGTCCCACCCCTATGCCAGCCTGGACAGCAGCAGGGCGCCCTCCCCACAGCCGGGCCCTGGGCCCAGCCACCCGGACAGCCCCCCTAGCCCAGATTCCGCCCGCCCACCCAGCCGCCGGAAGCTCTTCACCTTCTCCCGCCCGGTGCGAAGCCGGGACACGGACCGCTTCCTGGATGCGCTGAGCGAGCAGCTGGGCCCCCGAGCGGCCCTGGTAGATGATTTCCTGACACCCGAGAATGACTACGAGGAGGTGGGTGTGCGCAGGGGTGGGTGTGCAGCTGCCCCTTGGCCCCAGGCTAACCCATTTACCCTGTTTCACTAGCCCATCCCCATCTTTGTTCCTTTACCCAGATTATCCCACCGTGTGCTGAGGTTACCCCCTACACCTGGTCTGAGGTTAGCCCATTCCTTACCCCCGAACAATCCCATGCCCCCTCCAGTCACCCCCATGTTTCGCACATGGTGCAGCTGCTGCAGTCCGTCTGGGCCCAGCCCGCCCCCTCTTCTCAGCTGCTCCTCGCCCCCATCCCCTCCCCACCAGATGAGCTTCCACGACGACCAAGGCAGTTTCGCCACCAACGAGCGGAGCAGCGCCAGCGACTGTGTGAGCAGCAGCGAGGAGGGCAGCTCCCTGACGTATTCCTCCATCTCTGACCACATCCCCCCACCCCCGCTCAGCCCCCCGCCCCCGCCCCCACTGCCTTTCCACGACCCCAAGCCCAGCTCCCGCTCCTCCGATGGCCCCCGGGGTCCCAGTCAGGGGCTGAGCAAGCCCCTCCCTCAACTCAGCCACCCAGTCCCGCCCCCACCCCCACCACCCCTGCCTCCACCGGTGCCCTGTGCACCCCCCATGCTCTCCCGGGGTCTGGGGCACCGGCGCAGTGAGACCAGCCACATGAGCGTCAAGCGCTTGCGGTGGGAGCAGGTGGAGAACTCGGAAGGCACCATCTGGGGCCAGGTAGGCGAGCTGGGGCCTGCTGCGGGAGAGTGGCCTGGGGCAGCAACTCTGTCTGTGCCCTGACCTCTTGATGTTGGCCCAGATGTTCCCTGGCCCAGCCCAAGGACACACCCTCAGTGGGCCGTGCAGGGCCAGTCTGTGCCCTCAAGCCGGAGGGGATGCCTGGAAATGCTGTGTCCCCTACAGCTGAGTACTGGTTCTGGGCTCCGCCCTTCCACTTCAGTGTGTCGCCACCCAAAGCTGTCCATGAACACTGCTGGCCGTGGGGAGCTCACTGCCTGGCAAGGCCTTCCCTTCCAGACCCACCAAATCCACAGGACCGACGAGGCTCATCCAGCCCTATTGTTACATTATGCTCCTAGATCCCTCAGCCCCTTGCAAGAGCAGGCCCCGAGTAGGCCCCTCCCCGCCGGCCCCAGCCAGTGGGGTTAGACAGGTGCAGAGGAGGGCACGGGCTCACTCCTTCCTTCCACCTGGAGTCCACACTGCAGCCTGGGGGCCCTCTGGCACCTGGGGCTGTCCCACCCTCACCCTGGACTCACCTGTGCCGTGACCCGCAACCCCCCCGTCTTTATTTTCTTCACCAAGAAATGGAGTACAGCTTACCCCATGATCGGGATTCAGGCCTTGGCCTCTTCCAGGGCCCCGTGGGAGGTCTGCCTCAGGGACCCTCCCACCAGGGTGGCCCTGGACTGGAGAGGGTGGGGGTTGGAGAGGGTCCACACAGCCTTGCTTGTTCCTTGGGGCCTGAGGAATCCGCCCTTTCTTGAAGCTCGGGGAGGACTCCGACTATGACAAGCTGAGTGACATGGTGAAGTACCTCGACCTGGAGCTGCACTTCGGCACACAGAAGCCTGCTAGTGAGTGTCCTGAGGGCCGTGGGGGACAGCAGACCCGGCGCCATCCAAGGTGCCTTGCGCCACTCTCGGGCTGGGCTTCTCCCGTCCCCAGATGGGGAGATTGTAAGAACGGCTGGCATCGCTGGCATGCAGACCAAGCGCCAGGCACTGTTAATTAACTCCGTGGTCACCTCTGCTTCCTAAGCACAGAGAGGCTGGGCAGAGTGGATGGGAAGTGCACAAGCCTGGCTCTGCTGACCCATCCCTGGCCGTTGGGTAGGACTCCAAGCAAGGCAGGCTCTCTGTGTGTGGCAGGTGGAACCGGTGTGACCCAGAAAGACCTCTGCACTCAGGGGTCCGCTAGGAGGTGGAGAGGTGGTTGGTTCTCTTCCCCCGCCAGCTCAGTCCCATTGGCCCAGAACAAGAGAGAGGGCGTGACTGTGGGGCTTGGACGCCCACCACCCATGCCATGTGTTCCACTGCACCTGAGTGCGCAAGTGGCAGGGCGAGTGTCGGCTCAGAGCCAACATCTGAGGGCATGATGCGTGGGTGATGGTGGTGGTCTTGAGACCTGCACCCTCCCCTCCTCCTTCTTACACCATCCAGAACCGGTGCCGGGCCCAGAACCCTTCAGGAAGAAGGAGGTGGTGGAGATCCTGTCCCACAAGAAGGCCTACAACACTTGTAAGTGCCGGGGTCCGAGGGGCAAGCAGTATCACTCATTGCCACCTATCACCTGGCTGGACCCCCACCACCAGCCTGATCCCGCTTGGGCACAGGTGCCAGCCTTGACTGCAGCTTGGGCTGCACCTTCCCTCTTCATCCGAGTTCAGGGTCTCCCCAGATCCCCGTCCTCCCGCCGGGCCCCCGCCTCTGCCCCCCCGACCCCCGCCCGCCTCGCCCCCCCGCCCCCCTCGCCCCCCGCCCCTCCCCCGCCTCCGCCCCCCCGCCCCTCCGCCCCCCCGCCCCTCCGCCCCCCTCGCCCCCCTCGCCCCTCCCCCGCCTCCGTCCCCCGCCCCCCCGCCCCCCGCCCCCTCGCCCCCTCCCCCCCCCCCGCCTCCGCCCCCCCGCCCCCCTCGCCCCCTCCCCCGCCTCCGCCCCCCGCCCCCCTCGCCCCCCTCGCCCCCCGCCCCCCTCGCCCCCCGCCCCCCCGCCCCCCTCGCCCCCCTCGCCCCCTCCCCCGCCTCTGCCCCCCCGCCCCCCTCGCCCCCTCCCCCGCCTCCGCCTCACCCCGCGGCCCCGTCCACAGCCATCCTCCTGGCGCACCTGAAGCTGAGCCCAGCGGAGCTGCGGCAGGTGCTCACCAGCATGGAGCCCCGGCGCCTGGAGCCCGCGCACCTGGCTCAGCTGCTACTCTTCGCACCCGACGCCGACGAGGAGCAGCGCTACCAGGCCTTCCGCGAGGCGCCCGGACGCCTCAGCGAGCCCGACCAGTTCGTCCTGCAGGTTCTGTGCCCCACCCTTGGGGCTGCCCACCTGGGTCCCCAGCTTAGCCCACCTGGATCTGGGGTGGAGGGGTAGAGGACGGCCTGGAGGAGCTGTGTGGGCCCACACTGCCAGGCCGGCATGCTGAGGCCCTGGCCTCCCCCCCCCCCCCCCCCCACGTAGATGCTCTCGGTGCCCGAGTACAAGACTCGTCTGCGCAGCCTCCACTTCCAGGCCACGCTGCAGGAAAAGACCGAGGAGATACGAGGGAGCCTCGAGTGCCTGCGCCAGGCCTCCGTGGAGCTCAAGAACAGCCGGAAGCTGGCCAAAATCCTGGAGGTCAGAGGCACAGCCTAACCCCAGGGGTCAGGAGGTCGCCAGCTGTGTGTGTGTGTGTGTAGGGAGGGAGAACCTTGCACAAACCCACCCACCTCCCTTCCTCTCCCCAGTTTGTGCTGGCCATGGGCAACTATCTCAATGATGGCCAGCCCAGAACCAACAAGACTACAGGCTTCAAGATCAACTTCCTGACGGAGGTGAGTGGTCTGCCAAACCAGGCCAGGTGTAATTGCAGCAAGGGCTTGAGGTGGGGATGGGCAGGGGCAAGTACTGGGAATGGCAAAAAGTAGGAACGGATGCCGTGGTCCCTGGGAGAGGCCAGGGCTGGGGAGTTGTCTGCTGGGACCCAGGAGGAGGAATGTGTGATGATGGGTTGGGGGCTGTCATTTGCAGCTGAACTCCACCAAGACCGTGGACGGCAAATCCACCTTCCTGCATATCCTTGCCAAATCGCTGAGCCAGCATTTTCCAGAGCTCCTGGGCTTTGCTCAGGACCTGCCGACCGTGCCCCTGGCTGCCAAAGGTAAGCTGGCTGCAGGGAGCGGGGGGCCCAAGGGTGTCCTAATGGCCCCTGAGGCTCCTCTGCCCTTCTCGGCAGTGAACCAGCGGGCCCTGACCAGTGACCTGGCTGACCTGCATGGCACCGTCCGTGAGATCCAGGATGCCTGCCACACCATGTCCCCCTCCAGCGAGGACAAGTTTGCCGTCGTCATGGCTGTATCCGCTAGAGCTCCTTGCCCAGCACCAGGCTGGGCCTGGTGGAAGGGGGATATCCTCCTCCCCCCCACTTACCCAGAGTCGCTTTGAATCCTCCACATAGGAATGAGTCAGACCCGGATTCCTTCGAGTGCTCCAAAGCCATTGTCTTGTTCCTCTCCACCCTTATGGGCAGCGGGGCCCAGAGTGAAGTGCCATGGCACAAGGAGGGACAGTCGAGGGAGGGGGCATCTCCTGGAGGGAGGGGGCATCTCTTGGAGGCAGGGGGTGAGGGTGGGGATGAGCCTTGCAGTGCAGGACCCAGGCAGCACAGAGCGGGCGGTGCCTCTGTCTGCCCCTTGCGTGCAGACCCCAGTGCTCCTTGGTAAGGAAACAGGATTTTCCCTGCTGGCGTGGACACTGGACCAGGTGCTGGCCCCAACCGAGGCCTGCACAGCCTGTCATGTGTCCATGGCCCCAGAGCAGGGTGGAGGTGAGTGGACCTGAGGAAGATTGCCAGCTGGTGCCATGCCGGGCATCTCTGAGCCTGTGACACGTGCGCGACTCCTCTCACCTCTGCCTCCTTCTGCCATGTCCCATCCAAGCTGGAGTGCGGCTGTGAAAGCAGCTGGGGGCCTGTCTGCTGTGTTCTCACATCCCTCGGTGCAGAGGGGCTGGGCAGGGGGACCGCTGGTGTTATCTCACAGACCCTCCTTTATCAGGAGTGAAAGGAGATGCTGAGAACCCTAACCCTGGCTTGGGACTGGGGCTAAGGGATCACGCCACATCGGGTTGGGGGCTGCTGTGCCGTTAACTGATGGCAGGACAGCTGAAGCCAAACCCTGGCCCTGTGGGATGTGGGCTGCCTGAGAAACTGCTCCGTTTCAGTTTCTTTCCTGTAAGGTGGGGATGCTCTGCCTCCTATCGGTGTCAGGACGTTAAATAGGAGCTGTGTGCAGTGAGCTCGGGACCCTCACTTGGCACAGCCTAAGTGCTGGGAACGTTACACTGGCCCAGCCGTGGGTCTTTGGACGTAGAGTAAGCTGGGTGTCCCTAAGGCCTGGCGGTGCAAAGGGGACTACTTTGCATTTAGGGGACAGCCCTGAACTTGGGAACAGAGACTGACCAACACTCTAAGAAAATAAATGTGCAGCCTGGTGGAGAGGGAGGAGGCTGTGTCTCAGAGAAAACTGCCCCAGGAGGCAGGCCAGGCCAGGCTCCTGGTCGAGCTTTGTGGGCAGTGCGCAGGCTGGGCACGGGGAAGCGCAAGGGCAGGTCTCGGGCAGGAGCCTGCAGCACCCTGCACCCTGGCTGTTTCCTTGACTGAGACTGCACCAAGTCCTTCCTGGAGACGGCGCAGCCGGTACTCCGGGCGCTGGACGGGCTGCAGCGGGAGGCCATGGAGGAGCTGACCAAGGCGCTGGCCTTCTTTGGGGAGGACTCCAAGGCCACCACCTCCGAGGCTTTCTTCGGCATTTTTGCGGAGTTCATGAGCAAGTTTGAGGTGAGCCACAGCGGACTAATGGACACCCTGGACAGAGGTCAAGGCCACAGGTCATGTGACGGGGTCTTTGTGTGAAGCTGGGTTGGGAAGGGTCCCCCAGTGGGTGGTGACACGTGCCACCTCTCCCCAGGGTGGACAGACTTGGATGGAGGGGTGTAAAGGCTCCGAGGTGCACTGACTATGACCTCTTCTGTGTCGCCCCATCCCCAGCGAGCACTCAGTGACCTGCAGGCTGGAGAAGGGCCCCGCAGCTCCGGGATGGTCTCACCTCTGGCCTGGTGATGGCCCCATGTGCCTTGCAGCCTGAGTGTGGAAATGAACGTACAGCGAGGTCAAACCCAAGCTGGCCATCCAGACTGAGAGGTCCCAGCCTCAGCTTGTGGCCTGACCGCTGGAGGGTTGGACCTGGGTACAGGGCCCACCCACTGCCCACGACTCCAGCTACCTCAGCTGCCAGGCTTGGCCAGCCGGGACCTCCTCTGGCTTGCCCCAGGCCCTCCCAGGGTGAAGTGCAGACTCCCTGGGGAGCAGAGGCCCCAACAGCCCTGCCTGGCTTGTTCCCCACTGCCCACCTCTCCTGGCTCTCTGGGGACTTGAGGTCTTGAATGCAGCAGACAAACTCAGATGCAGTCCAGAGGCAGCCACATCCGGTTGGAGAAGCCACCATGGCCAAGGGCGGGGGGTGCAGGGAGATGCCGCCTTTCCTTCCTGCAGGTCATGTGGGCAGGGCAGGTCTGGGCGCAGATGGCACAGTCTGGGACACACGTGGGCTTCTGCCGCATGCTTGTCTGGGTGTCAGCGAGGGGTTACCTGGACACAGGAACAGCTGTGCAGAGGGGGAGGGTGTGGTTGCTTTCATGCCTCTGTCAGTAGATTCCCACATCAGGTGGCTTCCTTCCATTGGGATGTTGCCCCTTAACTTTGTGCCCAGAGAAGTCCCAAGTGCTTTTCAACCTATGTCTCGAATCCTGTCCCTCCTGCTACAATCAAGTGACCAACAGGAACCCAGGCAGGCTTGGGAATCTGTTCAGTACTTCCTGGTCTCTCTCTCTTCCCTGCTCGGTGTAGAAGTATCTGAAGGAGGTCTGGCCTGCAGGATGCATTGCTCCCATAGTTCCTCCTGCTGTGTCTGGAAAGCACATCAAAGATCACTTGGAATCCCCGGATGAGGGCCTAAGACCTATAGACATGATCAGCTTTGGCGGGTGTGACCCCCGGGCCCAGCAAGCACATGGGACATATTCCTGCAAGTTAAAAACGCACCTCCCCACGGGGCGGGGTGGGGGACCAGTGCCACTCCCACCAGGAGCAGTTCGTCAAGACAAGCTCTCTCTGGCTGGGTTTCCTCCATCCTGTGGCTTGCCATGTGAGAAACTATCCCCCAGAACCCAATGGCTGCCGGAAGTTTATAGACCACCTGGACAGTTCCGGTTTGAGCTGGACTTGGACAGCCCACTCAAGCACAAGGCATCCTTGCTCCCCTGCAGAGGCACTCTCCCTCTCTCTCCCACCCTGCGGTATTAGCTGGGAAAGCCAGAGTAGCTTCTCATGGGCTCTCCTCCTGTGCCCACGTAGCCTGGTTGTTCCCATGATAATGGCCAGTACCCAGAAGAACAAAGCTGTTCTCCCCTGGGGGCTGAAATTCTGAACTGTGCGCCATCCTTCCCAGCATGTCCTGTTACCAGAGCAAGTGACAGGGCCTGATTGTCATGGAAGGGAAACCAGCTGGATTTACCCTAAAAAAAAAAATATATATAGATATATATATATATGTTTATTTGGAAAGCAGAGTGACAGAGGGAGACAGATCTTGCACCTGCTGGTTCACTCCCCTAAACGGCCGCAGTGGCCAGAACTGGACCAGGATAAATCTAGGAACCTGAACCTCCCTCCAGGGTTTCCACATGGCTGACAGGAGGCCAAACACTTGGGCCATCTTCTGCCGCTTCCCCTGGCACACTAGCAGGGAGTTGGGTCAGAAGTGGGACGACGGGGACAAACAGGGTGCTAATGTTGCACAAGGGGGCTTACTGTGCTGCACCACCACGCTGGCCTCAAGGCCCCGTCAAGGACAGCAGCGGAACGAGGGCGATTTTTGCCATGTCCCCTTGGCTAGACATACTAGCATGTATCCTAACACACTTAACATCACCAGTGACTGGTTCTGCTTGAGTCTGGCTTGTGTCCCCACCATGTATCCCACAGGTGACATGCTTCTTTTACCTGTCACCATGACTTACCTGACACACGGCTGTCATTTGTGCCTGCCTAGCAACCAGGCTCACCCCTGTGCTTGGGGAAGGTCCTGGTTTTCCCTCCTCTGGGGAATTATCCTGCTCCCGTCCCCAGGCCCGGGAGCTGTGCTCGTTGGGTCAGGAGGGCCTCTAACTCCGCCTGGGTGGTTCAGAGTCAAACCAAGCCTCGCACGGGGCAGTTGGAGAAAGGAGCCCCCGCTTTCTGCCAGGCAGTCCCAGGCAGGGTCTCCCCCCCAGGCCCCCGGAGAAGCCGCCAATAGCCCGGAGAAGACAGGGTTAACGCTCACATCTCTGGAAACAGACATTAGGACTTGTCAGTTTCTTTTTAGATTTTTTTTATTATTATTATTTAAAAGGCAGAGAGAAGCAGAGACAGAGAGGTTGGCCATCCGTTGGTTCGCTCTCCAGATAGCCACAATGACCTGGGATTGGGCCAGGCTCAACCTAGAAGCCAGCAGAGTCTCCCACGTGGGGTGACAGCGTCCCAAGCACTTGGGCCGTCCTCCACTGCCTTCCCAGGCCGTTAGCAAGAGCTACAAGAGAAGTGGAGTAGCCGTGACACGAACCCTCATTCACAAGGGAAGCGGGCACTGCAGGCTTAGGGTGCGATGACCTGTCGCAGGCCCTGGCCCATGTCAGCGTCTGAGCCGACAGATCTCCTTTTTGAGTAACTTTATTCTCCATTTCTTGGCCTAGTCTGGTCGGAATGGACCTCTGGCTCTTGTCGCCTGAGAACCGCCGCTTGTAGACACTCGGTCTTTTTCACACAGGCTCCGTGAGCTCACTTCAGGCGTAAGCATATCCACTCACCTGCTGACTGCTTTGTGCTGGCTGTGGTGCTGTCGGCAGCAAACATCTCGGGACAGCCCCTCTGGGGTTCCTGTGTTGTACCCCAGTACAGGTGCGGAGTCCTAAACAGGAATCAGTGGGTGCCCCATGTCCCCAGTTCCTCAGCATGAGATGAACGGGAGGCAGGCGCACGTACCGGGAGATGACTCATCTCCCAACGCTGCTAACGAAACCCCATAACCTCGTCCCGTGGCCCCTTTCCAAACAACATCAGTTCGTGTTCACCATGAGGTGCCCTGAGAGTTTTACACATCATTCCCACCCCCATCCCGCCCCCCCCCCCCCAGCTAGTTTTGTTACTTCCCTTTTTACAAATAAAAGTTGGAAACTTAGAAAAGTTTTGTGGCTTGAAGTTTAAACCTTGGGTCTGTGGAAACCCAAAGCCCGTTCCGGAGTAGCAACACCTTCTGTGTCTTGCTTCATGTAATGACTTTGGGGCTGCCCTCTCCTCGCTTTATTTGCGAGACAGAGACAATGGGAGACGGCTCTTTACTGCTGGGTCATGTCCCCAGATTCTGGCTGTGGCTAAAGCCAGGAACAAGGCCCTCAATCTGGGCTTCCTCTGTGGGTGTCGGGGACCCAGGTCATTGAGCCGTCATCAGCAGTGCTTCCCAGGGCTTGGGTTAGCAGAGCCAGGAGCTGGAAGCTGCTCTCACTCATGCGCAGGTCCTCCCCGCCAGCGGGCTCACCGGGAGCCTCAATACTCACCTCCCTTTTTCCTATATCTACCTTCTAAGGCCATGGCTGCCACTCAGCTCCTGCTGGGGCTTGCTGTAGGGAGACACCACCCTGACCGGATAGCTCTAAGGGCAGACCTTTATTTTCCCCTGGCTGCAAAGGCTAGGTCTGGTTTCTCCCGAGGGCACACTTTTACTCTCACCCCTTGGGGTGGGTCTTTCCTTGCACCTGTGTGTCTGGAGTCTTTGGGTCCTGTTGGACGAGGGCTTAGCCACAGGGCCTCAGTGCGCCTGCATTGTCCCGTGCACAATTGGTGCGCCTGTGTTCTTCGGTGCCACTGTGTGAGTTTAGTGCACAGTGAGATCGGTAACACTCCCCCGCTTGCAGGGCCTGAAACGCTTCCATCAGGAAACCCCCTACCCTCATACACACACACCTGCAGGATTCTGTGCTGCTGCCCCAGCCCCGCCCTCGCTCAGCACTCCTCCCATTCGGAGCTAATCCCGCACCTGGGTTAGACACCTGCCTGCCTGTCCAGGGGCGAGTGACCGTGACTCTCCTCCAGCTCGTTGCTTCTCCTGTGTACTCTGCCCTGTCTCCGGCAGCTGCAGAGCCTGGCTGTCAGTGCCCCACATGTGCCACCTCTGCCACCCTGCGGCCCATACACAGCCTGCCGTTGCCCTGCACCTGCTGTGGCACTGAGAGGAAGTCCCGGCGGAGCTTGTTTGTCCTTATCTCGCTTGACCTTTTTGCAGCACTGAGCACTGTTTATCCTCCCTTGGCAAATTTATGCATGCCCAGGGTTCAGGCTCTGATAACCCTGCCTCTAGCCCGATTCCCAGGCCTGGCTGCTGGCTGCTTCTGCATACCCCGAGCGCTCAATAATTGCCCATTAAATCACATTGGATAGCATCCAACTAGCGGGCTACCATGTTGCTCAAGAACATGCCTTGGGGTGGGCGTAGGGGTTCGCGTTGGGCTTAAACGCCCACATCGTCTCCAAGGCCTGCTTCAAGTTCTGGATCCATTCTCCATTCCAACTTCTTGCTAGTGTGCGGCCCGGGAGGCAGCAGGCAATGGCTCAAGTGTTTGGGTCTCTGCTCGCGGCTTTAGCTCGGCTGCAGCCGTTGTGGCCACTTGGGGAGTGAATCATCAGGTGGAAGAGCTTTTCCTCTGTCTCTCCTCCTCTCTGTATATACGCACTTTCAATAAAAATAAATCAACAGATCTTAAAAAAAGTAGCCTAGTGGCTGGGATCCCATATGGGTGTCAGTTCATGTTCTGGCTGCTCTGCTTCCCATCCAGCTCCCTGCTTGTGACCTGGGAAAGCAGTGGAGGACAGGCCAAAGCCTTGGGACACTGCAACTGCATGGGAGACCCAGAAGAGGCTCCTGGCTCCTGGCTTCGGATCAGCTCAGAGCTGACTGTTGTTGGGGAGCAAACCAGTGGATGGAAGATCTGTCTTTCCTCACTGTATATCTGCCTTTCTGGAAAAAAAATTAATTAATTTAAAAAAACACGATTCTATCAGGAATCTTTTTTTTATTTTAAATATTTTATTTATTTATTGGAAAGTCAGATATACAGAGAGGAAGAGAGACAGAGAGGAAGATCTTCCATCCAAGCATTCACTCACCAAGTGAGAGCAACGGCCGATGCTATGTCGATCTGAAGCCAGGAGCCAGGAGCCTCTTCCGGGTCTCCCACACGGGCGCAGGGTCCCAAGGCGTTGGGCCATCCTTGACTGCTTTCCCAGGCCACAGGCAGGGAGCTGGGTGGGAAGTGGAGCAGCCAGGATTAGAACCTGCACCCATATAGGATCCTGGTGTGTTCAAGGTGAGGACTTTAGCCACTAGGCCACGCCTCCGGGCCCCCCCCCCTTTTTTTTTTAAAGATTTTATTTATTTATTGCAAAGTCAGAGATACAGAGAGGAGAGGAATCTTGTTTTTAATGGCAAGTAGATTTGTAGCAAATAACGGTTGGCCATCAGAGTTGCAGGCAGCGTTACCTTCTGCCAGCACCTGCAGGTCCTTCCCAGGCGAGGCTGTCCCTGCTGAAGCAACAGTTGTAGCACATTTTAGGCTTTCTAATTAATTACTTAATTAATATTTATTTATTTAAAAAATGTCCCCAGCTTGGCATGCTGGCTTAGCCGCTAAAGTCCTCACCCTGAATGCACTGGGATCCCATATGGGCGCTGGTTCTAATCCTGGCAGCTCCACTTCCCATCCAGCTCCCTGCTTGTGGCCTAGGAAAGCAGTCGAGGATGACCCAAAGCCTTGGGACCCTGCACCTGCATGGGAGACCTGGAGGAAGTTCCTTGCTTGGGATCGGCACAGCACCAGTCATTGCAGTCACTTGGGGAGTGAATCCTTGGATGGAAAGTCTCTCTGTCTCTCCTCTCTCTATTATCTGACTTTGCAATAAAAATAAATATGTCTTTTTAAAAAATATTTCCTGGGGCCCGGCGCGGTGGCGCAGTGGTTGGGGTCCTCGCCTTGCACGCCCAGGATCCCATATGGGCGCCAGTTCTAATCCCGGCAGCCCCGCTTCCCTTCCAGCTCCCTGCCTGTGGCCTGGGAAAGCAGTCGAGGACGGCCCAAGGCTTTGGGACCCTGCACCCGTGTGGGAGACCCGGAAGAGGCTCCTGGCTTCAGATCGGCATAGCCTCGGCCGTTGCGCTCACTTGGGGAGTGAATCATCGGATGGAAGATCTTCCTGTCTGTCTCTCCTCTCTGTATATCCACCTTTCCAATAAAAAAAATAATAATAAAAATAAATCTAAAAAAAAAATATTTCCTGAGAAACAGCCTGGCATGCTAGCCTAGTGGCACGGTAGCCTGCATTCTTGCCTTGCATCCATGTGGGCACCAGTTTGTGTCCTAGCTTCTCTGCTTCCTCCGGTTCCCTGCTTGTGATCTCGGAAAGCAGTAGAGGAGGCCCCGTGGGACCCTGCACCTGCGTGAGACACATGGAAGAAGCTCCTGGCTGCTGGCTTCGGAGCAGCTGAGCTTCGGCCATTGATGCAATTTGGGGAATGAATCAGCAGATGGAAAATCTTTATCTCTGTCTCTCCTTTTTCTGTATATCTACCTTTCCAAGGAAAAAAAATTAAATAAAATCTTAAAACAATAAAGAAAAATGTCCTGAGAAAACAGCTCCGAGGTGGCATTTATTTTCTTTCTTTGTTTTTTTTTTTAATTAAAGATTTTCTTTCTTTAAAATTTTTATTGGAAAGTCAGATATACAGAGAGGAGGAGAGACAGAGAGGAAGATTTTCCGTCGAGCGCAACAGCCGATGCTATGCCGATCCGGAGCCAGGATCCAGGAACCTCTTCCAGGTATCCCACATGGGTGCAGAGTCCCAAGGCTTTGGGCCATCCTCTGCTGCTTTCCCAGGCCACAAGCAGGGAGCTGGATGGGAAGTGGAGCTGCCGGGATTAGAACCGGCGCCCATATGGGATCCCGGTCTGTTCAAGGCGAAGACTTTAGCCGCTAGGCCACGCTGCCAGGCCCTATTTTATTTTTTTTAAAGATTTATTTATTTTTTTATTACAAAGTTAGATGTACAAAGAGGAGGAGAGACAGAGAGGAAGATCTTCCATCCGATGATTCACTACCCAAGTGGGCGCAATGGCCGGTGCTGTGCTGATCTGAAGCCAGGAACCGGGAACCTCTTCCGGGTCTCCCACACGGGCACAGGGTCCCAGGGCTTTGGGGTGTCCTCAACTGCTTTCCCAGGCCACAAGCAGGGAGCTGGAAGGGAAGTGGAGCAGCCGGGATTAGAACTGGCGCCCATATAGGATCCTGGCGCGTTCAAGGTGAGGACCCCAGCCGCTAGGCCACGCTGCTGGGGCCCCTGGACTGGCATTTAAAGCAAATATTTGTGTCACCTGTCATCTTCAGGGGACACCCCAGCTGCCAAGACGTGTGGGGACTGTGTAGGGCTGGCTGCTGGTTCTGGTTTCTGGGTGGAAAGATTCTTTCATCTGAGCAGTCACCTAGGACCAACAGGTGCTTTGGTCACAGGAAGACAAGGCCTACGCAGTGAGCCAGCACCAACTGTGGTCACCCTGAAACTAACTAAAATCACAGACAGAGGGGCTACAGGTCTGTTAATTGTGCAAAGTGACTACAGCTTTTTTTTTTTTTTTAAGATTTATTATTGTTTATTGGAAAGGTAGATTTACAGTAGAAAGGTCTTCTGTCTGTGGCTTCACTCCCCAAGTGGCTGGAGACGAGCTGGTCCAAAGCTAGGAGCCAGGAGCTTCTTCTCTGGGTCTCCCACACGGGTGCAGGGTCCCAAGGCCTTGGGCTGTCCTTACTGCTTTCCCAGGCCACAAACGGAGCTGGATGGGAAGTGGAGCAGCCACATGGGATCCCGGTGGGTGCAAGGCAAGAATTTAGCCACTAGGTTATCATGCCAGACCCAGAGTGACAACATTTGAGCTTGAAAGTTTCCTGGAAAGTTACGAAAATATATACCTAAGAAGTTTTATTTATTTGAAAGGCAGAATTACACAGAGAGAGGGAGAGACAGAGAGATCTTCTACCTGCTGGTTCACGCTCCAAATGGAAAAAACAGCTGGGAATAGGCCATGCTACAACCAGAAGCCTGGAATTCCGTCTGCTTCTCCCAGGAGAGTGACAAGAGCGCAAGTATTTGGGCTTCTTTGTTGTTTTCCAGGCACATTAGCAAGGAGATGGATCCGAAGCAGAGTAGCCGGGATTCGAACCTTCACTATGATATGCATGCTGGCAGCATTGCAAGCTTTGCCTTAACCCACTGTGCCACCACACTGGCCTCATTAGTACATTTTTTGTTTGTTTTTAGTTGGAAAATTCCTGTTGTGAGAGTCTGTTGGTAATCTCCATGGAAAGAAAATGATGTATTGTTTCGAACAGCAGAGTGATAGAACTGCACCAATTCACGGTGATGCTGGGAGACAGGAAGACATCCAGACCAGACACCTGCCCATCTCTGTTTTGACATCTGAAAGTGGCTTTGCATTTCATCACCCACGCTCTTGCAGGATAGTTTCACAGGACTGACAGTTACTTGTCACCCTTGGGAAGCTATTGCTCCCTTCTGTGTTTGCACTTGTCGACTGTCAGTCCAGGCAGGGTTGTGCTGTGAAATGTGGTAGTCCGCATTCCAGAGGTTTCTGGGACCTGGGAGGGCAGCATGCAGCCAAGGGGCTGGCTGGGCGGGCGGCTTTCAGGGACCTGGGAGGGCAGCTGGCTGGGCGGGTGGCTTTCTTTGGGAGCTCCAAGACAGAGTCTGAGTTTGAGGCCTTTCTCCAGCGTGTGTTGGCGTTGCTTGGCTTGTCAACGCATCCTGTGCCCTCTGCCAGAATGTAGGGCACCAGACCTGCTCACGCTGCTCAGCACCCAGACAGCTCTGGACTCCACCTGTTGACAGTGTTCCCAGCAGGCGCAGGTCAATGCTAACTGCCTCCCATCGGCAGAGCTATTTCAAGTTTTATTTTTTAGGCATTTTAAAGAGATTCATTTTTATTTATTTATTTATTACTGGAAAAGGCAGATCTGTAGAGAGAAGGAGAGACAGAGGGAGAGATGCTCTATCCGCTGGTTCACTTCCCTAGTGGCCGCAATGGCGGGAGCTGAGATCCTCAAACTCTTCCACACAGATACAGGGTCTCAAAGGCTTTGGGCCGTCCTCCACTGCTTTCCCAGGCCACAGGCAGGGAGCTGGATGGGAAGTGGAGCAGCCAGGATTAGAACCAGAGCCCATATGGGTTGCCAGCAGTGCAGGTTGGGAATTAGCCAGTTGAGCCACTGTGCTCCTTGAGGCAGGCAGAGAGCCAGTCTGCAGGTGTGTCCTGCTGTCCCCTGTGGCAATCGTGTGGTGCCAGGGTAGGGACTGAAGCCCGTGGCGGTGTAGCTGCAGGGTGGGCTGGGTCAAGGTCAATGTGGAGGTGACCTGTCTGCGCAAGTCCTAGTGACGGTTACCCACCAGGGTGCATCTGGTGGGACACCAGGCAATGGCAAGGCCCTTTGCCAATCCCAGTCTAGGCTCCTGGGCAGGGCCGCGGTTGTGGCACCCGGAAGAGAGCTATTCTTTTTTTTTTTTTTAACTTTCCCTTAGACTTTTTCATGCAAGAAGCCTGCAAAGCTCTGAGGCTTACTGGACGGAGAGAGGGGATAAAAAAAGAGAAATAAACCATCACCAAGCCTCCCGAGGGGAGTGTCGCTTCAGCAACCAGAGGAAATGGCTGGCAGGCGAGGGGCGGGGCCCGGCTCCGAAGGGGGCGGTCCCGGGGGCGGGGCCTGGCGGCGGCTCTCCCAGGCTGCCCCGCGCGCGCGCCGGCAGTTCGGCCACGTCCCCCGGCCACGTCGCGCCTGCTCTCGCCATCTTCGCCGCTTCCTCTCGGGCGCCGCCGCCGCCGCCGCCGCCGCCATGAACATATTCCGGCTGACCGGGGACTTGTCCCACCTGGCGGCCATCGTCATTCTGTTGCTCAAGATCTGGAAGACGCGCTCCTGCGCCGGTGAGGTTGGGAGACGGGGTGGGGGGGAAGACGGCGGGGCGCGCGCGCGCGGGCCGGACGGGCCGGCAGAGGCAAGGACCCGCGTCGTCCACCTCGGCCGTGCCCTGCCTGCGCTGGCCGGACACACACTCACACACAGACCCCGCTCAGACACCCTCTCGGGGTGCCCTCCGGGCCGGGCCGGGGTGTCGCAGTGCACGGCGGCGGGGTGGGTGCCCCGCGACACCCGGAGCCGTCGGACAGTGGTTGGGGTGGGGAGGGTCCCTGGAGAGGCGCTGGCCGCACCGCACGTTGGGGAGGGTGTGTGTGTGTGTGTGTGTGTGTGTGTGGGTTTGGGGAGGGGAGAGCCCTGTCTGGTCTGAAAAGTTGGGAGGTGAGAGTGTCCGGCTGGCCCCGATGAAGGGGCGGGGTCCGGGTGGCGGGGGGTGCACGGCTCCCCACGCGCGAATCAATGGACGGTGAGCGGAGGCCCGCGCCCGGCTCGCGCGCACTCTCCTTTGCCTGACGTGGCAGCCGGGCCAGCGTGGGGAGGTGGGGACCGCCCGGGTTGGGGTGTGTGTGTGCTGTGTGTAGGGGGGTGGCCAGGCCTGGACTCCCGAAGAAGTCTGTGCTGACGGCATGAGGCCTCGTCCTTAGTTTTAAGAGTCACACCCGCCAGGTGGACGCTTTGCAAGGAGAAGAGGAACCTTTTTTTTTTTTTTTAAGAAAGTGCGTTTCTTGGCGCCATTGCATGCGGTTTTGTGCAAGTGTCCAGTTTGCTGGTGGCGCCGGGGGCCGCTGCGGTCCCCCGTGGTCTCCTGCGGTTCCTGGTGTCCACGTCATCAGCGAGCTGGCCCCGGGCCGCCCTCCCTCCTCCCCTCCAAAGAGGGCGCATTTCATACAAGCGAGGCTGGGAGCAAAATTTTTCAGGCCCCTAGTATTTCTTCTTTTATTTATTTAATTTTATTTTATTGCATTTCGCTAGCCCTGCCTGCCTCAAATTGCTGTTTCTTAAAAAGCCCCACCTACCGTTGCACTAGAGTTTCCTGTTGCAGCCTCAGTGGACACTAAACCACTTGGGATGAACTCAGTTTTTTCAGGAACAAGTCTGAAAGGGCTGCAGGGTAGCTGGGCTTCCTTCCACCTGTCTGACTTCTCGAAGCGTCTCCTGCGCCTCATCTTCAGTCTCCGGCTCCACCTTGCTCCCAGGAATGTAGGGGAGTGGAGCAGCCTTCCAGGATCCAGGAAGTTAGCAAAGCCGGGGCTGACCTTCGGCCACCCAGACCGGTGTTACAAAGTCCACGTGTGTGACAGGGACGTCGGAGGCTCACACCCTGGCCATGTACCCAGTGGCCAGTGAAGGGCTTCTGGGTGGATTGAAGGGCCTTAGGGTGAACTGAGGGTGTCGGTGCTGAAGCAGGGACCTAGGTGCTGGAGCCAGCAGTAATTGACAGCTCAGGGTTTTGCAGAAGGAGCACTTGTTATCAGTCTTTCCAAGTGTTGTTCAGCTTCAGGTTCACTGTCAGGGAAACCTGTCTGTCTCATCCTCCTTGCTCTGTTTCTCCATCTCCTGGTCTGATATGGGGTGTCCCCCAAAGTTGTGTGGTTGCGAGAATTCAGTGCCCCTGGCTTGGGAACTGGGACCCCTCAGGGGACCTTGAGGCACAAGGAGAAATGGAAGTTTCCAGACATTGGTGATTTCCACCTGGGAGATTTCAGAGCACTAAAGCGAAGAGCAGACATTTCAGCTAACAGGCTAAGAGAGGGAGAGACGGCGGTGAGTTGGGGCCGTTGGCCGGTGAGCCTGGGCGTGCCAGGCTCCGGAAGTTCCTTGCTGCTGCGTGCTTCTCCTGGTTTCTTAACGGGCACCATCGCCAGCCTCGCTTCTTCAGAGCCAAAGGCTGCGCGGGGCCAGCCACTTTGTTTTTCCGTCCTGAATTACAAAGCTGTCTGGAAACTGTTGAGAGAGTAAGAATTTGATCCGAGTTTCTCAGATAGCTGTCCGTCTGGGGTCTGGGTCGTGTCTCTGTGAGGGTGCTGGCACTGAGTTTCCTGGAGGGCTGGCCTGGCCTCTTGACCCGCAGCATGATGAACTTGTCACTGTGACCGTCCTAAACTCCGGCCCAGAGAACCTCGGGAGAGCAGAGGGCTCCCACCTAAACTTCCCTGCAGCCCAGGAGTTTACTCAGGGGTGACCCCTACCCACTGGGATGATGGTTAGCCGTCATTCAGTAGCCTGCAACCTTCTCGTCTTACGGGCTGCCCCTGCGTGCACGGCAGACCACAGATGTTCTGGAAGTAGGTGGAGAACACCTCATCTCTGGTCAGTCAGCCAAGGATCCTAGAGAGATTTTCACATGACATTCCTTTGTAGCAGCTGCCACCTCCTTCCTTTGCTGTCACCTCTCCTGGGTAATCCCAGCTCTCCAGGGTGGATGGGCCACCCACTGCGCGCAAGGCAGAGGAAGCTGCAGCTTAGCCAGTGGTGGGAGGTGCCAGAGAATGTACCAGGGAAGGGTCTAGCGCAGGGGCAGGACCTCCTCCGCCTGGTGCCACGTGGCAAGAAGGATCCCAGGGCAGCTGCCCTGTCCCACGAGGAGTGGCTGAGGCTGCGGGAGCTGGCCTGCACGTGTGTCCAGCCCGTGGGTGTGGACGAGGAGGCGAATGGCACGGCTCTCCCAGTCAGTGTGTCATTTCTCCCAGGCCTCAGTCTCAGAGCAAAATTGTCACCTGTAAGATTGCTGCCGTAATCAAGTATTCACATGTAAAGAACAGCTGGTATCAAGTGGGCAAAGTTGGCAGCTCTCAGGAGAATTAACAGAAGCCGACCAGGCGTGGGGGAACACCCGGCCCCAAGGGGCAGCTGCTCGGGCGTGAGAGGGGCAGTGCGCGCTGTTTGCCCGCTGTGTTGGAAGGAGGTGGGGAGTGGGGTGTGAGAAGGGCGCCGGCTGGTAGTGGGTCTGTGAATTGGCCTAGGCTTTCTAGGGAAAATTTGGCAGCGTTTATCACAATTTGAAACGTTATGCCTTGGGGCTGGTATTGTGGTGCTGTGGGTTAAACTGCTACTTCCCACATCAGCATCCCCTGTCAGAGCACCACTGCAGTGTCCTGGGAAGGTGGCACAAGGTGGCCTGGCTGCCACCCACAGGGCGGCTCCCGGCTTCAGTGACCCAACCTAGGGGTGTGAACCGGAGGGTGGAAGATGGTTCCCCCCACCCACACCCATTCACTCCCCTGCTCTGCCTTGCAAGTAAATAAATAATTTTTTTCCTTTAAAAAAAAAAACAGATCTCTAATAAGATCTAATACAATTGGTCATTTAGAAAATGTTTTGCCTTATCTTGGTGATTCTAGGAAGTTAAACATTTTTGTTTAAAACTTTTGTAGCGGTCTGGTGCTGTGGCTCAACAGGCGAATCTTCCGCCTTCAAGAGCCAGCATCCCATTTGAGGGCTGATCCGTGTCCCAGCGGCTCCACTTCCCATCCAGCTCCCTGGCTGTGGCCTAGGAGAGCAGTGAAGGACAGTCCCAAGTCCTTAGGCCACTGCCCACGTGGGAGAACCGCAAGAGGCTCCTGGCTTCAGACCAGCTCAGTTCCAGCCACTGCACCCGTTTGGTGGCATGAACCAGCGGATGGAAGATCTTTCTGTCTGTCCTTCTCTGTAAATCTGCGTTTCAAATAAAAATAAATAAATCTTTAAATTTGTTTTGACTACTGCATAATGTCTCCGTTTTGATGGAGGTGATTCTAAGCTGAGCTACATATTGTCAGTGTGTGAACAAACTGTAGGTGTACTGTGTGTGTTGCACTTGAGGAAGTCCCAAACACTGGCTAGAGAGTAAAGTGGAAGGCTGGCTCCTTCGTAGGGGTAAGCATGATGTGGGTGTACACACAAACGTGTGAAGAAGAGACTTAGAGAAAGCTTGGGGGCCAGTGGTTTAAGATGCTATCTGGGGCCTGGCACAGTTTCCTAGTGACTAAATCCTTGCTTTGCATTCACCGTGATCCCAAATGGGTGCAGGTTTGTGTCCCAGCTGCTCCACTTCCCATCCAGCTCCCTGATTGTGGCCTGGGAAGGTGGAGGACAGCCTGAAGCCTTGGGACCCTGCATCCGTGCGACAAAAATAAAAATTTTTTAAAGGCTGTTGCTTGCATTGCTGGTATCCCGTGTGTGGGTGTCAGCTTGTATTTGTTCTCCCACTTCTATTCCAGCTCCCTGCTAATGGGCTGGGAAAGCAGCAGGACATGGCCCAGTGCTGGGGTCCTTGCAACAGGACATGGCCCAGTGTTGGGGTCCTTGCAACAGGACATGGCCCAGTGCTGGGGTCAGCAGCAGGACGTGGCCCAGTGCTGGGGTCCTTGCAACAGGACATGGCCCAGTGCTGGGGTCCTTGCAACAGGACATGGCCCAGCGCTGGGGTCCTTGCAACAGGACATGGCCCAGCGCTGGGGTCCTTGCAACAGGACATGGCCCAGCGCTGGGGTCCTTGCAACAGGACATGGCCCAGCGCTGGGGTCCTTGCAACAGGACATGGCCCAGCGCTGGGGTCCTTGCAACAGGACATGGCCCAGCGCTGGGGTCAGCAGCAGAACATAGCCCAGTGCTGGGGTCCTTGTAACAGGACATGGCCCAGTGCTGGGGCCAGCAGACAGAACATTTCTCGGTCACTCTGCCTTTTAAGTAAACAATATCTTTAGTACAAAATGGAAAGCCTAAAGTTAAAATGTGATATCGAAAAAGGCCTTTTCATACCTTATTCTGTATATTTTAGCCCAGTCCTTTAATGGTTTATGAGAGACAGAGGAAGATCTTTCATCTGCTGGCTTGTCCCCTAAACAGCCAGTGCTGAGCTGATCCAAAGCCACAAGCTTCTTCCAGGTCTCCCATGTGGATGCAGGGTCCCATGGACTTGAGCCATCCTCCACTGCTTTCCCAGGCTGCAAGCAGGGAGCTGGATGGGAAGTGGAGCAGCTGGGATACGAACCAGTGTCCATATGAGATGGCAGTGCGTGCAGGTTGAGGATTGGTCTGTTGAGCTATGGCGCCAGTGCCACCAGTGCAATTTTTTTTTTTAAGATGTGTTTATTTATTGGAAAGTCAGATATACAGAGAGGAGGAGAGACAGAGAGAAAGATCTTCCGTCCGATGATTCACTCTCCAAATGAGCGCAATGGCCGATGCTATGCCGAACTGAAGCCAGGAGCCAGGAACTTTTTCCAGGTTTCCCACGTGGGTGCAGGGTCCCAAGGCTTTGGGCCGTCCTCGACTGCTTTTTTCAGGCCACAGGCAGGGAGCTGGATGGGAAGTGGAGCAGCCAGGATTAGAACTGGCGCCCATATGGGATCCCGGCGCGTTCAAGGCAAGGACTTTAGCCACTAGGCCATGCCGCTGGGCCCCACCAGTGGAATTTTTAATGAAGTAATTATCACAGATTTCTTTGAAAAGGAGGAGGAAATGAGGATAGTAAGTAGTGAAAGAGCTATTCTAATGAAGCATTTACAGTGACAGAATAAAGCATTTTAACTTTTTCTCCTGCACACCCACAAAATTAGTATAATTTGTCTGACAAATGCAGAAGGGGAGGGGAGAAGCTTGATGTGTAAGGGAGCAGGCTTCCCGCCGGCCCGCGGGCTTGAGCCCATGGCTTCCAGTGCCCTGAGTCTGCTCCCAGGAGGAGGCTGAGTGTCAGGTTGTTGATTCCAGAGGCAAGGGATGGGCTCTGGGAGAAGCCCGTGCCCTCTGACACAGCCGCGGGGTGGGGGGCTGGGCCTGGGTCTGTTCGAGGCCTGACCTGCAGTGCAAGGTTGTATCCCTGTGCTTAGCAGGGTGGTGTGAGTTCAGGACCTTTTTTTGTTAGGCTGAGGATGGAGTAGTTCTATAAAGCAAAAGGAATATAAGAAATGGAACTTCCGACCCACAGTACCCATGGTATGGGTGGAGAACGTTGGGCCCCCAAGCCACATTAAGTCCACAGAATCATATTGTCTGACCCTGCTGAGGAAACCAAGGTGGGACGTGAAAAAGTCAGTAGATTTACAGCAGACTAAACATTTTTTTAAAATTTATTCATTTTTATTACAAAGTCAGATATACAGAGAGGAGGAGAGATAAAAATATCTTCTGTCTGATGATTCACTTCCCAAGTGACTGCAGCGGCTAGTGCTGTGCTGATCTGAAGCCAGGAGCCCAGATAATCCTTTCCTGGGTCTCCCATGCGGCTATAGGGTCCCAAGGCTTTGGGCCGTCCTCTACTGCTTTCCCAGGCCACAAGCAGGGAGCTGGATGGGAAGTGGAGCAGCGGGATTAGAACCAGCGCTCATATGGGATCCCGGCACGTTCAAGGCGAGGACTTTAGCCGCTAGGCCATGGGTCAGGCCCAGCAGACTAAATTTTAAAAAATGAGTTACTGTTATTTGAAAGGCAGATTTTATGGAGAGGGAAGGAGAGATAGAAGGTCTTCTGTCATCTTGTTAACTCCCCAAGGGGCTGCACTGGGCAGAGCTGAGCTGATCTGAAGCTGGGAGCCGGGAGATTCTTGTGGGTGTCCCAAGCAGGTGCAGGGTCCCAAGGCCTCCAAGAGTCGTCCGCTGCTTCCCCAGGCCTTAAGCAGCTGTATAGGCGGCCAGGTGGAGGATAGCCTGCCACCATTCTGCCTCCAGGCTAATTCTTAAGTTGGTAGTACGGTCCAGAATGCTGTTGTAAATACGCAGTGGCCCTTGGCAGAAGGGCTCCCCACCCTGATCTGAAGCAGCACACGCTAAGTATGTAGTTGTGGACTTTTATTGAACTTCATTTGGCCTAATGGAAGGCAAGAGTGATGTCCAGTTTGATGATTGATTCCCATTTAGCTAGTTACACCCTTACTACAGATGGTTTAGCACGTTAGTGTTGCGATGTCAGTGTCAGACGCATTTACGGTGAGTCCTGGACGCACACCCTACTGAGCACCTTTCCTGTGGAGACTGCAGCCGCTGAGCTGGGGCAGATGGCCCCACCCCCCTTACCCTCTGTCCTGGTGGGGATCCGGCCTGCCTGTGCATCCTGGCCAGGGAGGAGGGGGAGCGCTCGCTGTGAGGCCGCCTCAGCTTGCCGGGGGCACTCGGGGACTCCGCCGCACAGGCCTGTGTCTGCAGGATTGGACGTTTAGAGGGCTCTCCTAGATAGCACAGGATGAGAGCCGGCCACTGGTGCTGGAGTTCCCCTCCGTTCCTCGGGTGGATGGAAGTGCAGCCTGCCTTCTGAGAGCTCCGCGTCCAGTGGGACTTGGGGGGCAGGAAAGGCGGAGGCTGGCTCATTTGGGTATTTTTGTACTGTAACGAGCTGAGGCTGGCAGCGGGCAGGAGTGCTGGTTTTCCGCCTTAGGTGCCTGCTGAAGGAGCGGAGAGCACTGCGGGAGCCTGTTCCAGAGGCCACCTTTGGGGCCGAGGGAAGCCGGGTGAGGGTCCCAGGCTTTAGTGTGGGGATCCTGAAATGGAAGGCGTGATTTCCTGCTTCCCAGAGTGCCGCTGTGATGGCCCCTTGGCATCAGGGTCTGTTCTCTGTGTTGGAGGGCGCAGCGGGGCTGTGACTAGGACCTCCCCCAGACCCCGCCTGGGCCGCCCTGGACTTTGTCCAAGGAGTACTCCCTTCACTTTCTCCTTTGGAACCTTGATGGGAAAATGTTCTCCCTTACTAGGGCAGAGGCTACACAGACCAGACGTCCTGCTCGTCCCCCTCCTTCGGCCCTCGAAGTTGATATTTGGCAGGATGGAGTCTGTTTAGCTTGAGTGAGTGCACTGGTACTGGGGACGTGTCAGCCACACGCTCCCCTTGTAGCACGGAGAGGGAGCTGAAGGCAGAGTCCCGTCACAGCTCTGAGGCGCGGCAGTCACGGGACGAGCTGCTGCCCAAGAGACTCGCTGCACGCTCGTGGCCTGATGGAAGACTTCCTGAGGAATCCGACGTCGTCCGCAGCTTTGTGTGTTGGAAGCGGTGTGATGGAGTCGTTTCACAGTCATTGTGAAAGAAAAGTTCTGAGACCTCCCGTGGGGTGTGCTCGGGGCGCTGAAGGCAAGGGAAAGCTTTTGTTGATTCTTGCACGGGGGGGTCTGGGAGCCTGGCCTGGGGTCCTTCGGCACCCCCAGGTCAGCAGAGGTCCGCAGCCATTTGTGGGCTCCCCCTGCTTCGCTAACGCGTATCTTTTGTTTCTTTAGGTATCTCTGGGAAGAGCCAGCTTCTGTTTGCACTGGTCTTCACAACCCGCTACCTGGACCTTTTTACTTCGTTTATCTCCCTCTATAACACATCTATGAAGGTATGGCACAGCACCCGACGCGGTGTGTGTTGCGCTGGCAGACCGCCTCACCCGGGTCTGGGAGCTCGGTCGATAGGGGCAGCCGCTTTCCAAACAGTTGACGAGTTAGCCCAGGTTTGCAGTCTGCGGATATTTCAGCAGCAATATTTGAGAGTTACCATAAGTGGTACAGTTATGGTTCAGTTTGAGCTTGGGACAGGATACGCTACAGTACATTGAATTTGCCAGTGTTCGTTTGGGTTCCTCAAGCACGCGAGGTCTTCCGCAGCTCTGCAAAGCTTGTCAGGAAGAGGCTGTGGGAGTGGTCCAGCGCGTGCGCCCAGCGCGGGGTGGCCCAGGCCGCGTTGCTGCAGCTCGCTGTTCAGCTGTGTGCCACACTGTGTGGGCTTCTTCTTTCTCTTAAATGTCTGCTTGTATGCTTTGGGGACGTGTATATCACATCAACCATATTTTACTTACTGATTAAGTGCTAACTTCCCCTAAGCAGTAGTATCCATGACACCCTGGTGTCTTCCTTAAAATTCTCCTAATTCCCATGGAAGCAGAGGTATGGCTGGGAAAATGTGAAATGTTTCCACACGACGCCTTGTTGACAGTGGTGCTGCAGAGCCTGCCCAGGAGGTGCCGGGCAGGGTGGCCCGTGTCTGCCTGGGGTCATTGAGCTTGAGCTCTGAGCTGCGGTGGAAGTGGGCAGTGAGGCGATGCTGGAACACAAGCCTGGGTCTTCCAGGCTGGTGGGCGAGTCGGCCGTCAGAGCCCTGGGCGATGGCGGCAGTTAGGGGAGCTGGGAAGGTCTCATCTCCATCACTCATTGCTTCCACCCATGATGAGCCAGGAGCTTCGTTATTAACACATACTGGGAAGTCAGGCTTAAATGGAAGCCTACTGATTTGGATGTTTAAAGATTTATTTTTATTTATTTGAAGTCAGATTTACAGAGAGAGAAATCTTCTATCCACTAGGTTTATTCTCCAAATGGCCACAATAGTCAAGGGGCCAGGAACTTCCTGTGGGGTTCAGGGACCCAAAGACCTGGGCCATCCCTCCACTGCTTTCCCAGGCCATTAGCAGGAAGCTGGATAGGAAGTAGAGCAGCTAGTGGAGCCCATGTGGGGTGCTGTACTGTAGGCAGCTTAACTTGCTATACCATGACGCTAACCTCAAAAGCAAAATTATATACATACATTTTATTTGAGAGAGGATTTTCCATGTGCTGGTTAGGCCAATTCTGGGAGCCAGGAGCTCAATAAGCGTGTCCCAGGGGGCAGCAGAGGCCCACGTGAGCACCACCTGCTGCCCCCAGGGTGCACATTAAGGGAGTCAGCAGTGAAGCTGGTGGGGTTGGTGCAATGGCTCAGCTGGCTAACCCTCTGTCTACAAGCACAGGCATCCCAAATGGACGCTGGTTCATGTCCCGGCTGTCCCACTTCCCATCCAGCTCCCGGCCTGTTGCCTAGGAAAACAGTAGAAGACAGTGCAAAGCCTTGGGACCCTGCACCTGCATGGGAGATCTGGAAGAGGCTCCTGGCTCCTGGCTTTGGATCAGCTCAGCTCCGGCCATTGTGACATTTATGGTGTGAACCAACGAATGGAAGAGCTTTCTTTCTGTCTCTCCTATCTGTTAATCTTTACAATAAAAAAAAAAATCTTGAAAGAAAGAAAGATGGAGCAGCACCTTGAACCCAGTGTGTGCATCACAAGCCGTGTCTGAACTGCTGTGCCGTATCCCCAGCTTAGAAGTGCTTTAGCAGGCCGAGGTCCGAGACCCAGGGCTGTGCGGTCCGTGGGTTTCACTTTGACGTGCCTGGAATCCCTGCAGTGATGGGGACCCAGTCCTCAGGAAGCAGTGAGCTCACTTCAGAACGGCATCCTGCTGACCCTGCTGGCATCCCTTGCTCTTGGGAACCTTGGCTGGCATGGTCATGCTGAAAGAGAAGCAAGAGGCAGAGGGCATGTACCTGGCTCGCCCTGCGTGGCCTGCCAGGTGCAGGACAGGAGCAGAGAGAGGCAGCCACTCTTCAGTGGCCGTGATGGACTTGAGCTGGCCGCAGGCTGGTCCTGCCTGAGGTCTGTCGGGGAGTCGGGGCAGATGCACGCTGCAGCTGTGGGCACTTGCCAGTGCTGTGCCTGGGTACATGCATTGTCATGGCAGGAACTACCCTCACATGAGGCCTAGGTTCCTTGGGTTTTTATGTTTAAACAGTGACGGTTCTTTGATGTGTGTGTGTGTTTTTGATATTTATTTTTCTTTAAAAATTTTTTAAATTTTTTAATAGCTTTTTTTAAAAAGATTTGTTTATTTTTATTGGAAAGGCAGATATACAGGTAGGAGGAGAGACAGAGAGGAGGATCTTCTGTCCGATGATTCACTCCCCAAGCAGCTGCAATGGCCAGGGCTGTGCTCATCCAAAGCCAGGATCCCAGATCCTCTTCAGGTCTCCCTCACAAGTGCAGGGTCCCAAGCGTTCCCAGGGACCTCCAGTGCTTTCCCAGGCAGCAAGCAGGGAGCTGAATGAGAAGTGGGGCCACTGGGATTAGAACCAGCACCCATATGGGATCTTGGTTTGTTCAAGGTGAGGACTTTAGCCGCTAGGCTACCATGCCGGGCCCTAATAGTGTTTATATAGTTGAGAGGGATACATGCCCGTATGGACCTCTGATTAGGGTGGGCAGGGTCATGTATGGAGGAAGGTGAGTGGGGCAGATGTGTATGTGTGTATGTGCTTTCCTGCGTGCACAGGGAGGATGGGGAGAGGGCCCCTCCTGGCTGTCAGTAGCACCTGGGGATGGGGTATGATTTTTTGATGACGTCTTGGAGACCCCAGTGTGGGGAACGGTATTTGAAGTATGTTACTGGAGTGGTTTTGATAATTCTCTGAGGAGTTGTTGGTATTGCTGCCTCCTGGGTTGAGAAAATCGTTCCAAGGTCTTTTGGTTGACAGGTCCACCTTAGGCTCTCACCTGTGGGCGCTGTTGCCTAGGCCACCTTGGTCTACCCCCAGACCTGACTCATGTGACCTGACTCGTGACCTGGTGGGTGCAGCAGCAGAGCCTGCACACCCAGTGTAGTTCTTATTAGTGCCAGCAAGTGCTGGAGCCCAGCCCAGTCTGGCCCAGCTCTCCAGACCCAGCCCAGACACATGCCGATGGGCGCTGCAGCCTAGCCAGTCTGGTTCACCCACAGGCCCGTTCCCAGCCCTGAATCTTGTGCATGTTGCAGCTTAGCCTGGCGTGGCCTGTCTGCAGCCTCAGCTCTCACTGGCTGGTTTTGCAGCCTAGCCCAGCCAGGTGCAGCTCACACTCTGTCCTTGCTCTTACGCATACCAGCAGGTGCTGCACCTGCCTGGGCTTGCTCCCAGCCCCGGCTCTTGTGTTCCCCGGCGAGAGCTGCAGCCCAGCAATGGAATTCAAGTTCCCTACCAGGCCTAGTCCTGGACCCAGATCTCGTGTGTGCCAGCAGGTGCAGTGGCCCTACTTGGCATGGTCTGCCCTCGGTCTCAGCCTTTGCATATGCGGGTGGTGCTGCAGCCTGGCCCTGCCTGGCCTCCCAGCCCCCAGCTCCTGTCCAGTTCTGTGGTCCAGCCTGGCTCAACCCAGTACCATTCCCAGCTCCCTGTGTAAGCTGTTAGGTGCTGGAATTCCACAGAGGCTAGCCCACGAGTACCCTATAGAATCTGCGCCAAGATCCACCTCTCTCATGTTCTGGTAGTTGCTGTGGCCCAGCCCACACTTGTGGGTGTGTTCTGTGGCCTAGTCCAGCCAGGCATGACCCGCAGCCCAAACTTTTGGGTGTGCAGTGGGTGGCTGGCTGATTCTGTTTAGCCCAGCCCAGGTCTCTGACTCGGCAGGTGCCTTGGCCTGACCCCAGCTGTGTCCTCCGATTTCCCCTCCCCTCAAACACTCTCTCTCAGCTCCCACAGCTACCTGTGAATGCAGTGGCCTGTGGAAGCACCCAGAAGTCATTCCTCCCCTGTCAAACACCCTCAACACTCCCATTCCAGTACCTGCTAGGGCCCCTTGCCTGGGTAATCTGTAGCTCCCCTGCCTGGGCGCCAAAGTGTCATGTCCTGGCCCAGGGAAAAAACAAAACAAACCAAGAATAAGCAACTTTGAACTTTGCTGGTACAGTGGTATGTTAACACATTTGGCATTAACCATGCCAGGATGCCCACCAGCTAGTGGCTGCTTTTCTCCCAGCAGTGTTAACACTTGCCTAGGTACAATGCAGCCTAGACCGTTGCTTACGGCTTGGATGGTGTGTGGTTTTGACTAATACTTTTTTTTAAGACATACTTTTACTTGAAAGGTAGGTTTTACAGAGAAAGAAGGAGAAATGGAGAAGGTCTTTCATCTGCTGGTTCATTTCCCAAATGGCTGCAATGGCCAGAACTGGGCTGGTCTGAAGTCAGGAGATTCTTCCCAGTGGCTCACACAGGTGCAGAGCCCCAAGAACTTGAGCAATTGTCTGCTGCCTTCCCAGGCCATAAGCAGGGAGCTGGATGGGAAGAGGAGCAGCCGGGACACAAACCGGCACCCCTATGGGATGCCAGCCCTGGAGACTGAGGAGTAGTGTGCTGCGCCACCACAGAGCCAGAGCAAGAGAGCGTCCGTGCACTGGTCATGCCCTGATGCCTGTTGAGGCCGGCTGGGACAGGAGCCAGGAATGCAGTCTAGGGTTCCTCGTGGGTGTTACCTTGCTGCTTCCTGGGGTCTGCCGTGGCAGGTTTCTGGGGAGTCAGGAGCTGGCCCTGGGGTGGAGCCCACTCACTGCACGTGGGTCATGGGGATCCTGACCACAAGCCTGTTGCCAGACCAATTACACTTTAAAATGAGATTGATTTATTTGGAAAGCAGAAAGAGAGAGAGTGAGCAATCTTCCATCTGCTGGTTCACTTGCCAAGTGCCCGTTACAGCCATGCAACCCATTGACTGGGGTTAAGGCAGAGACTAGATCCCAGTCTGGGTCCCATGTGGGTGGGAGGGACCCACGTAGTTAAGCAGCCATCCGCCACCTCCCAAGGTGCTCTATGGGAAGCTGGATCGGAAGGAGACCAGCTGCAGTTCCACCTGGCCCTCTGCTGCGAGAGGCGTGCATTCCAAGCAGCAAGTGAGCTGCCCTACCGAACCCTCGGATTATGAACGTCTGAGAGACTGCACTCCCATTTACTGCTTCACTGTCCAAATGCCTGCAGGGCCCTGGTCCCGGAGCTGGGAACCCAGGCCAGACCCCCACGTGGATGACAGGAACCCAGCCCCTTGCCGTCCGCGCTACCTGCCAGGGCCTGCATCAGCCCGTCAGCTGGAGTCAGGAGCGGGCTCGAACCCTGGCACTCAAGTGTGGGATGTGGGTCTGGGAGCTGCCGTCTTACCCCTGGGCCAGATGCCAGCCATGCCAGCCTCTGGGCAAGTGGGGATGCACGTAACAGGTTTGGTTGACTGTCAGCTGAACTCCAAAGGCAGCGTGCTGTGTGGGTCTGTTTATGTGGTAATTGAGGAAAAAAACAAAACTCTGGACAAAGTTCACATGGTGATTGCCGGGCGTGACTCGGTTTGAGGCTTAAGTAGAAAGAAGTGGTTTGTGGGGGTTCTTGGAGCAGTGAAACCCTTCTGTGTCCCAATTGTGCTGGTCTGAGAACTGTGCATCCTCCGCCAGCACTGACTCGTGTTTTGGGGGATAAAAAGCTGAGAGGAAAAGTCTTGCGTGTCTGGCTTGTGGTGTAGGGAGCGGAGCCGGGCGTTGCGGGCGGAGCCGGGCGTTGCGGGCGGAGCCGGGCGTTGCGGGCGGAGCCGGGCGTTGCGGGCGGAGCCGGGCGTTGTGGGCGGAGCCGGGCGTTGTGGGCGGAGCCGGGCGTTGCGGGCGGAGCCGGGCGTTGCGGGCGGAGCCGGGCGTTGCGGGCAGAGCCGGGCGTTGCGGGCGGAGCCGCGCGTTGCGGGCAGAGCCGGGCGTTGCGGTCCTCACCAGCTGTCTTCTCTTCCGCGCTCAGCTTATCTACATCGCCTGCTCCTACGCCACCGTGTACCTGATCTACATGAAGTTCAAAGCCACCTACGACGGGAACCACGACACCTTCCGAGTGGAGTTCCTGGTGGTCCCTGTGGGCGGTCTCTCGTTTCTGGTCAATCACGACTTCTCTCCACTTGAGGTGGGTCACGAGGCTGCAGTGGGCAGGTGCTCTGCGTGGGCAGGTGCTGCTGCCGCCTCCACTCTGTCAGTGCTGCTGTGTGCTCACAGCCGCCACCAGCCGGATACTGTGCTGCAGGACACTGGGCTCTGCGGCCTCGGGTTTGCAGAACGTGGTCCCCCTGCCCCCCGGCCCCACTGGGACCCTGTGTGCGGATGGCAGCACCGTGCACGAGTGGGGCCTGGTGCTGGTACAGGAAGAGTAAGGTGTTGAAGGGACAACGTTCTGAAGACCCCGTGAGGTGGACGTGTGCTGGGCAGGGCTCTGCCTCCTGACTTCCTTCCTGCCTCCCTCCCTCCCCCTTTCCCTCCCTCTCCTTTCCTTGCCTGCCTTTCTCTTCCTGCCTTCCTTCTTTCCTTCCTTTCCTTTCTTTCTGATTTATTTTTTACTGAAAAGTCAGATATACAGAGAGGAGGAGAGAAAGAGGAAGATCTTCCATCCAATGACTCACTCCCCAAGTGAGCGCAGTGGCTGGAGCTGAGCCAATCTGAAGCTTCCTCTGTGTCTCCCATGCAATTGCAGGATCCCAAGACTTTGGGCCGTCCTCCACTGCTTTCCCAGGCCACAGGCAGGGAGCTGGATGGGAAGTGGAGAAGCCAGAATATGAACTTGTGCCTGTATGGGATCCTGGCATGTGCAAGATGAGGACTTTAGCCACTAGGCTACCCTGCTGGGCCCTCTTGAATTTCTTTGATGGGTGGGGTCGCCGGGCTGCACCGCTGGAGTGAGGCAGGAGGCCCCCCCACATGCCTGCTGACCTCTGACCTCACGCCCCCCGTGCAGATCCTCTGGACCTTCTCCATCTACCTGGAGTCGGTGGCCATCCTGCCGCAGCTCTTCATGATCAGCAAGACGGGCGAGGCGGAGACCATCACCACACACTACCTGTTCTTCCTGGGCCTCTACCGCGCTTTGTATCTCGTCAACTGGATCTGGCGCTTCTACTTCGAGGGCTTTTTTGATCTCATTGCGGTGGTGGCCGGCGTGGTCCAGACCATCCTGTACTGTGACTTCTTCTACCTGTACATTACGAAAGGTACGGGGCACTGCCGCCTGTTCCCGGGTCGGGGCTGGGTGAGCTGGTACTGCCGCCTGTTCCCGGGTCGGGGCTGGGTGAGCTGGCACTGCCGCCTGTTCCCGGGTCGGGGCTGGGCTGGATGAGCCGGTACTGCCGCCTGTTCCCGGGTCGGGGCTGGGTGAGCCTTCCCGGGTCGGGTCGGGTCGGGGCTGGGTGAGCCAGTACTGCCGCCTGTTCCCGGGTCGGGGCTGGGTGAGCCTTCCCGGGTCGGGGCTGGGCTGGGTGAGCTGGCACTGCCGCCTGTTCCCGGGTCGGGGCTGGGTGAGCTGGCACTGCCGCCTGTTCCCAGGTTGGGTCGGGGCTGGGTGAGCCGGTACTGCCGCCTGTTCCCGGGTCGGGGCTGGGCTGGGTGAGCCGGTACTGCCGCCTGTTCCCGGGTTGGGTCGGGGCTGGGTGAGCTGGCACTGCCGCCTGTTCCCGGGTTGGGTCGGGGCTGGGTAAGCCGGCACTGCCGCCTGTTCCCGGGTCGGGGCTGGGCTGGGTGAGCCGGCACTGCCGCCTGTTCCCAGGTCGGGGCTGGGTGAGCTGGCACTGCCGCCTCTTCCCGGGTCGGGGCTGGGTGAGCTGGCATTGCCGCCTGTTCCCGGGTCGGGGCTGGGTGAGCTGGCACTGCCGCCTGTTCCCGGGTCAGGGCTGGGTGAGCTGGCACTGCCGCCTGTTCCCGGGTTGGGTCGGGGCTGGGTGAGCCGGTACTGCCGCCTGTTCCCGGGTCGGGGCTGGGCTGGGTGAGCCGGTTCTGCCGCCTGTTCCCGGGTCGGGGCTGGGTGAGCCGGTACTGCCGCCTGTTCCCGGGTCAGGGCTGGGCTGGATGAGCCGGTATTGCCGCCTGTTCCCGGGTCGGGGCTGGGTGAGCCTTCCCGGGTCGGGGCTGGAATGGCTGATGCTGGTCGCAGTTGTAAGAGTTGGGAGTCAGGGTTATTGGTCCTTTCATCCTAAGGATCTGTTGGCTCTTATTTTCTTGTAAGTCTTTAGTTTCCTGAAATAGCAGATTTTATTATATAAAATTCAAACAGAGCTAACAATTTCTAAGACAGTCCCCTAAATCCTACCACGCAGAGACAGTTCTTATTTTAGTAACTGACTGCAGGCGTTCCCTTCTGTGTGCGTAGGCATGCATCGCCTATGCTTAAATATCCAGGATTTTAAGCCACATCCTTCTGCATGTATAGTTTTTTGCATTTGTATGAACGTGGAATGAGTGAACTCTATAAAAACCTAATGAGAGCTGTGGTCCCTGCTCAGGAGAAAAATGCCTGTTTATACACCCTCACACAAATGTGTGCACACGGGTTAGGGGCTCAGGGTCCTTGGGGTCGAGCCACAAGTCCCGGGTAAGCATCTGATGTCGGGCTGGCTCAGTGTCTCAGTGGTAACCCTCCCCTGCAAGCTCCAGGATCCCATATGGGCACTAGTGGCTAAATCCTCATCCTGCAGGCCTTGGATCCTATGTGGGCACCGGTTCACGTCCTGGCTGCTCAACTTCCCATGCAGCTCCCTGCTTGTGGCCTGGAGAAAGTGGAAGATGGTCCAGAGCTTGGGACCCTGCACCTGCATGTGGGAGATGGAGAGAAGCTCCTGGCTTCGGATTGGCTGAAGTGTGGCCCTTGTGGCCATTTGGGGAGTAAACGGGCGGATGGGAGATGTTTGGCTCTGTCTCCTCCCTGTAAATCTACCTTTCCAGTAAAAATAAATAATCTGTGCTCTATATCTTTATTTATTTGAAAGAGTGAGAGAGGCACAGAGGGATGTTCCATTCAGGTTTACTACCCACATGGCCACAGTAGCCAGGACTGGGGCAGGGTCAAGCCAAGATACCAGAGCTTTCTTGATGGTCTGCCTAGTGGGCGTGGGGCCCAGCCCTCCGGCTGTCCTCCACACATGCGCAGGGAGCTGGTGGCAGCTCAGCCCCTGCAGCACAGCACCAGCCCGAAGCGCTCGTGTAGCTTATCTTTTTTAATATTCAGGATGTCATAGATCTCCATGTATATTGTATTTTGATGTTTATTGAGTAGGATAAGTCGTAGCAACAAAACTGTTATGAATTTATTGGCATATTCAGTCAGACGCAAATTGCTTCTGGTGCCTTGCGGGTGGCATGGGGAGTGAGAAGGGGGCACTGGGAGCCGGCAGTGACGTGTTGCTTTCTTTCCATTCCAGTCCTCAAGGGAAAGAAGCTCAGCTTGCCAGCCTAAGTGCCAAAGACCATGGCCGGCCTCTGTCCTTCAGGGTGCTCGGACAGAACTCCTCCCGCAACACAGGCGTAAGATGCTCGCGACGGAAAGGCAGGAAGGTCATCGTGTCGCAGGTGGTCACCAGTGGCTCCGCGAGGACGCAGAGGACAAGAGCCAGAGGCTTCTGTTTAATGCATCTTGCCTTATCTTGTTTTATTACTATGTACAAAGATTTTTTTACACAAAGAAACTTAATGCTGTATTAATAAATTCAGTGTGTAGCTTCAATTGGGATAGTTCCAAAAGTGAAGGTTTTGTGAGGAGTAAGTGCAAACTTTTTTTTTTTTTTTAATTCTTTGACATTTTTGATTCTTGGTGTCTACAATGAAGTTAGACACCGACAGTTGGTACAGAACATATCCTTCCACCTGGCCAACTCACATTCCGCTATATTTATTTTTATTTTATTTTTTTTTTGCCAAAAGATGAATTTGTATTTGTTCAAGTTTGTTTCCCCCTGCCACAGAAGTCTTTCCTGGGACATCACAACACTACATTTAAGGTTAGGGTTAGGATGACATGCAAGCCCTACGGTTCTCATGATAGAAATCGGAAGGCTCTGAATGGATGCAGTCTTAGTCCAGAGTCCCCAAATCTGGCAGCCCTCCTTCCCTGCTCAGAGTCTGCCTCCGACTCCCGGGGGTGCGGGTGACTCGGGGCACGGTGGGGGCACGGCGGGGGCACGGCGGGGGCTGGGGGGCACAGGATTCTGTTTCTCTGAGGAGTGGAACCCAAGTATTCTGATTGGCAATTCCAGATGACCCCAACCATGTCCATCCACGCACAGATCCAAATAGTTTCTTAGGTGGAAAATACTTTAGTTTGTTTTGTTTTAATTGGCAACATCAATTGCCATTTCATATATTCTTTTTGTGTTTTTTTTTTTTTTAAACTGAGCTCTTGCATGAATTATCTTGTGTTACCATCCTGAATAAACATTTTATGAAACACGGATTGGTGGTCTTTGTGTGAGTGGGCTTCCGCAGCTCCCAGTGTCGGCAGACATCCGGGCTCCACGGCGCATCGCGGCCAGCGGCCAGTCTCTGTGAGCTCCCTGATGCTGCCCTTGTCTTGACTGGCTACATGTTTATGTTTTGTGCAGAAGCATTTGCACTGGAAATGTTCAAGTACTGAAGACCAACAGTTTTTTGTTGTGTTTTGTTTCTTTCTGCATGAAGGGAGTGGGGCGGGCCGGCAGTTGTGTTTATCTGGTGTGGGCCTTCACATCTTCCTGGATCTGCAGTGCCACTGCAGGTGAAATCTCTCTCCTTTGTCCTTTGACCTCTACGGGCGTGGCAGAGCATCCCGTCCAGCGTCCCGGGAGTTGTTCTCAGAACAGTTCTTAGCATCCCGTCTGGTTCCTGGGGGCTGTTCTCTGACGACAGTTCTTCGTGTGGAGAGGCAGGTTGGGAGAGCCAGTCCGTCTTGGCAAGGCCACCTGACTGCTCGGTGCCTGCCCACCAGCGGAGGGAGTACCATCTGCTGGAGCCCTAGGCAGAGAACAGGACCCGGGGCCTTGGTGGCCACTGCCTCGGCAGTGATCCTGAGGAACCACTGTTTTAGTGATTTCACTTCCTGAATAAAGCTTATTAGCTAGGTAATATTTTATCAAGGTGTGTGGATTTCTTTTTTAATTTATTTTTCAAAATTAGAGCACGACGGGAAATAAAACAAGTTCGCCCGTCTGCTCCTTGGAGGGTGGGCAGCACGGAAAAGCCGCTGCACAAGACCGGACCGTTCCCTGTCCACTTCAGAGCTGCCTGCCTCTGGTCCAGAGGAGCAGGTCAGGAAATGGTCCAACTAGAGAACGGGCCAAGTGCATCAGCTGTGTGTGAAGTGTCCTGGAGCCTCGCGCCTCCTCTGTTGCCTGGTGTGGGGTGCAGATGAGCCAGCATTGGAGAGCTCTGAGCCCGAGCCGGCCCAGCTGAGGGCGGTGGTCCGCGTGGCAGGAGAGGGATGCTGGAATGGCCAGGAGTGGACACCTGGGGACGCGCGCAGCCCCGTCCTCTAGTGGCTGCTTGTGGCACTTCAGAGGAGCCTGCTGGCCCTGCTCCCTGGGTTAGGCTCTGTGATGGGTGCGGTGGGTGTTTACCAGTTTTGGAACAATTCCTACTTCTAAAGTCCCCACAACTTCAAGTTGCAACCAAGTACCAATCCTGTCAAACACTGCCAAGGATTCTTTATTAGCTAAAACATGCTCAACTCCAGCTCGTGGTCACAATTTAACTCCAGGCACTTAAAAATCTTGTAGGGCTGGTGCAGTGTCCTTGCATGCTAGGCCTCACAGCGCCGGCCTCCCCTGTGGGCGCCAGTTCGAGTCCCAGAAGCTTCACTTGCAATCCTGCTCTCTGTTTGTGGCCTGGGAAAGCAGCGGAGGATGGTTTGGGCCCCTGCTCCCGCAGGGCAGACCAGAAGCAGCTCCTGGGTCCCAACTTCAGACTGGCCATTCGGGCAGTGAAGCAGCAGGTGGAAGATCTCTCTTTCCTTCTCTGTAAATCTGCCTTTCTTTCAAACACAAATCTTAAGGAGTTTTGAGGCAGATAGCACACTACAGTTGACTCAGTTACTAAATGAATTGCATGATGAAATGCCATGCGTGTCTTGGGAAAGGCTGGTCTGACCTCATCCCCTGGCCTTGCAAACACTGCAGGAGCCCAGTTAATACTCCGGGTTTGTGACAGGCAGGCAGAACACCGGAGCATCAGCCGAAAAGGCTCCCCTGGGGCGCAGGTTCGTGGGCAAACTAAAAGGAAGTAGCGATTGGGGTGTAAGGGCAAACTGCCATCGACCCTGGCTGCAGACACATTTCGCCCACAGACCTGGCAACCCCAGCATCCCGGCAGCTGACTCAGGGAACTCAGGGAACTGAGGGGGATAAGCGGCTGAGGGCCAGAGCAGGGCCAGGGAGGAGTGAAGGTGCCCCACCAGGAGGTTCTCAGAGACCCTCCAGGTCCGTTAGGGCCCCGGCAGTCCTTATCTACCAACTGCAAGTATTAGGGGAACTTTCTTCACAGGTGTGCAGGAAGGCACCTGACTCCGGGTGGGACGGGGGCGGGCGCGCGCAGGCGCAGAGCGCTGCGGCTGCCGGCGGCGGCGGGGAGCTCGGTGCGCATGCGCCGGCCTCGCTCTCGGCCCGCCCCCGCGCGCCGTGGGCTGCTCCTGCGCCTGCGCGAGGTCGGGGGCCAGCAGCTGTCCGAGCGGCCCGAGGTGTGGACGCTGGCCGGGCGGGCGGCCGCACCGCAGCCATGCCCGGGATGGTGCTGTTCGGCCGGCGCTGGGCCTTCGCCAGCGACGACTTGGTGTTCCCAGGCTGCTTCGAGCTGGTGGTGCGAGTGCTGTGGTAAGCTAGCCTTGGGACGGCGGGGCCCTGTCCACTGGAGCCCCTGTCCACACCGAACCCCTCCGCGTGTGGGGGCCGAGGGGCGTCCGCGCCCCGGGGCCGGGCCCTGCGAGCCTTGCAGGCGGGGCGGCCTGGCAGGTGCCCGGCCGAGAGCTGGAGCTCGTGCCCTTGGAAGCCGTTCCTGGGACGGCTGCACCGGGGAGAGTTATCTGTTAAAAAAGAAAAGAAACAGGAAGTGTGAGGTGCGTCCCTGGAGCTGTGCGCCTGGCAGGGCGACCTCTTCCTGGCGTCTGGGTTTTGCGAAGTTAATGGAGTCAGGTTCCTGCAGTCCTTTGCCAGGGCGTTGCTGCCCCAGGCGCGCTGGCCCTGGGCCCGGAGATCTCCGGAGTGACGTGGGGTGGGGGGGCGGGTAATGGTCCTTGTTGCTTTGCCTCGTGCAATTGCAAAATACAGCTGCGAGACTTTAAAGGGTTGTTTTATTATTTTATTATTTATCAGTGTTCGACACTCTTGGTGCTGTCTTCTTCAGCCAGGAAAGTCAGGTTGTCTGGTTAGTCATTTAGCAGCCATAGGAGACTAGTTCAGAATCCACGGTGTGGGGCTCGGGTTGGGGGCGTGGCAGATAAAAGAAATGAAACAAATAGGCTTATTTCGATGCAGAATAATTTGAAAGAGCGAGGGGTTGTTTGTCAGAAACTTCATACCAGACGTGTATTCTGGGAAACGAGGAAGAAGTTTTTTCTTTTTTTTTTTTTTTAATAAGGCTTTTGCTGTTTGTGGGTCCCCCCTCCCTAAACTTTTCATTATTGGTTGCCCAGTTCTGTGTGTCTGAGTCACGGAACAGTGCCTGTTTGTTTTGAGTTTGAGGGTCTGCCTAAACTCTGCAGCCATCTGGTCTCCCAGTGAGTGGCACGGGCCTCCCCGCCTGTTCCGAGGCAGCTGGGGGACCCAGGTTCTGGGGTGTGGGGTGTGAGGGCCGCCCCATGATGAGGCTCTTCGGGCAGCTCACCGTGGATTCCTTAAGGCTGTGGTGGGCGGGCAGCAGGACCCTTGCTGGGACACCAAGCAAAAGCACTTTGGGCTTTGGAGTTGCCATGGCGGGACTTGTTTGGGTTCAGGCGGCTGTGCGTGGGGCGTGGCCCGCAGCTGGCGAGGCTGCATCGCTGACCGGCCCCTCTGCCCACAGGTGGGTCGGCATTCTCACCCTGTACCTCCTGCACCGAGGGAAGATGGACTGTGCTGGCGGCGGCCTGCTCAGCGCCTACCTGGTCGTGCTGCTCGCGCTCCTGGCGCTGGTCATCGGCTCCGTGCTCGCCATCGTGTGGGTCAGCATGAGAGGTCAGGAGCGGCACCACACGGGGACGCTTGGCCTTGCTTTATCTTACCAGCTTTGTTGAGACAGAATTTTCGTTCTTAGGCAACTAACCCGTTTGTTCATTGGTGACATTTATTTTGGGGGGAGACAGAGAGCTTCCGACACCCTCCTCCCCCAGGTCCCCACTGGCTCACGGCTGGGACTGATGCTGGGAGCTGGACCCTCAATCCTGATCTCCCGAGAGGCCAGACTCAGTGCCCGAGTCGTCTCGGCTGCCCCTCAGTTCTGTCTCGGCAGGAAAGCAGAGGCGGTATTCAGCCGATGCACTGCAGCGTGGCGCCAAAGTAGCCTTCCTTATTTATTTAGTTTAGTTTAAAAGATACAGAAGGAGGGACAGATCTTCCCTCCACTGGTTCATTTCCCCACATTGCCACAGTGTCCAGTGCTGGGCTGACCCAAGCCAGGAGCCCAGAGCTTCTTCTGGATCTCCCACATGAATGCAGGGGCCCAGGTGCTGGGGTCATCTTTCACCTCTTTCCCAGGCGCATGGGCAGGGAGGAGGATCAGAAAAGGAGCAGCCGGGACTTGCAGCAGCACTCATATGGGATGCTCATATGGGATGCCGGCAGAGGCTTAGCACATGCCAGAGCACCTGCCCCCCGTATGGAAGCATCCTGCCCCTCGGATGGAAGCATCGTAACCATTTCTGTAATGGCCAGGCTGAATGCCTGCTGCCATGATTAGGTCATATCACCAACATTGTAATCCAGTCATTGTCTCCAAATGATGGCCTGTGCCTGTCAGCCCTGGCTCTTGTTGCCCCCTGCCCAGTCCTCACCATGCCCTCCTCGGCCCCCGCCTGCCCCTGTTCTGGACGTCACGTAGGTGGAGTGTCTGTTCTGTGGCCATTTGTTCTGACTTCACGTCCAGGATTCTAGGTCCCTCCATGTGGTAGTACACCTCAGTGCTGAATAATACCACATCGAATGGCTGTGCCGTTCTTCATTGGTAAGCATCGGGGTTGTTTTTGGCCATTGCAGGTCACGCCAGGAGCATCTACGTGCAAGCTTTTGTGGAGATAGCAGGTTTTTCATTTTTCCGGAGCGTGTCCCTGGGCACAGGACTGCTGGGTCACATGGTTACACTGTGTAGGGTCTGAGGAGGTGCCTGGATCTTCCTAGCAGGAGGCCTGGGCTCCAGTGTCCTGGTGTCCTTGCCAAGCCTTGTTAGCTGACTTCACTTGCAGCCACCGTGCAGGCGGAGCTGCATGACGTGTGACTGGCGTGGGGGCGGCCTTTCAGTGCGGTTAAGCCCCCGTGTTATCACTTGGGGAGGTGTCTGTTCAGATCACCGGCCCCGTTTTGGACTAGGTTATTGATCTTTTCATGAATGGATTGTAAGATGCAGCTCCCCCCTTTTTTTAATTTGTTTTCTATGAAAAGGCAGAATAGATGAGAGACAGAGGGAGAGAAAGAGAAAGATCTTCCCTGGGCTGGCTCACTTTCCAGAGCCCACAAAAGCCGGGTCTGGGCCAGGTGGAGGCCGGGAGCTGGAGCTCGGGCCTGGTCTCCCACAAGGGCCCAGGTGTCTGTGCCGTCCCTGCTGCCTTCCCAGGCTCGTTGGAGGAGCTGGGATGCCGCTGCCCCACGGTGTCAGCTCCCACGATGGTGAGAACCGCCTTTCTTGGTGTGATGATTATCTGTGGACCATTGCTTCTGGAGAGGTTGAACCCTTGGCTGTTTTCCTGATGACCCTGGCTTGTCGGATGAGCCGAGCATGCTGCTGACTAATGAAAAAAACACATCAGTAAGTAAAAATTTGTCAGCCTGCGGCAGGGCTGAGCCGCGTGGCGCTTTCCGCCACAGTGGTTTATTTCATCACAGAGCAAGTTAGCTGTTGGAGGTACGCTCTTCAGGCTGTGGGGGGCAGTGATGGACGTGAAGGGATGGTGTGGCCGCACGCATGACAGGATCCAGGCTCACAGTCTGTGGTGATGGCGTGGCCGTGCATGTGACAGGATCCGGGTATCACAGTCTGTGGTGATGGCGTGGCTGTGCATGTGGCAGGATCCGGGCTCACAGTCTGTGGTGATGGCGTGGCCGCACTCGTGACAGGATCCGGGTATCACAGTCTGTGGTGATCGCGTGGCTGTGCATGTGGCAGGATCCGGGCTCACAGTCTGTGCTGATGGCATGGCCGCACTCGTGACAGGATCCGGGTATCACAGTCTGTGGTGATCGCGTGGCTGTGCATGTGGCAGGATCCGGGCTCATAGTCTGTGCTGATGGCGTGGCTGCACATGTGACAGGATCCGGGCTCATAGTCTGTGGTGATCGCGTGGCCGTGCATGTGGCAGGATCCGGGCTCACAGTCTGTGGTGATGGCGTGGCCGTATGCATTGCAGGATCCGGGCTCACAGTCTGTGGTGATGGCGTGGCCGTGCATGTGGCAGGATCCAGGCTCACAGTCTGTGCTGATGGCGTGGCCATGCATGTGGCAGGATCTGGGCTCACAGTCTGTGGTGATGACGTGGCCGTGTGCATTGCAGGATCCGGGCTCACAGTCTGTGGTGATGGCGTGGCTGTGCATGTGGCAGGATCCAGGCTCACAGTCTGTGGTGATGGCATGGCCGTGCATGTGGCAGGATCCGGGCTCACAGTCTGTGGTGATGGCGTGGCCGTGTGCATTTCAGGATCTGGGCTCACAGTCTGTGGTGATGGCGTGGCCATGCATGTGGCAGGATCCGGGCTCACAGTCTGTGCTGATGGTGTGGCCGTGCATGTGGCAGGATCCGGGCTCACAGTCTGTGGAGATGGCGTGGCCGTGTGCATTGCAGGATCTGGGCTCACAGTCTGTGGTGATGGCGTGGCCGTGCATGTGGCAGGATCCGGGCTCACAGTCTGTGCTGATGGTGTGGAGTGTTGAGAGACAGAGATCTTCCATCTGCTGGCTCATTTCCTGTGTGCCTGCAGTGGCTGGGGCTGGCCATGCTGAAGCCAGGACCTTCCGGGTCTCCCATGTGGATTGCAGAAGCCCAGCCCCGAGTCATCCTCCACTGCCTTCCCAGGTGTGTTCATAGGGTGCTGGTTCGGCAGTGACCAGCTAGGACTTGAGCTGCACTCACGATGCTGGTGTTAGCAGGTGGCGACTTAAGTGCTGCACTACAACCCAGCCTCTCGTAGAACCTTTTAGCAAGTGCACATCTTAAAACAGCGTGGTTTGGAGGCCAGGAAGTGTGGCATGTCCAGCTTACTGCAGTAATATAGAAAATAGAGCCAGCTGTGTGCTGGAGCATCCCTCTGAAAAGCATGGGTCTGTGTGGATCGCAGAAGGTTCAAGTCCTGAGGTCTGTGTGGTCAGTGGTGCTGGGCACTGGGTGAGGAAATAGTGAGTCTATTGTTGCTTAGTCCTGGGAGGCTTCTTGGTGAACTCGGACCCCTGAAAGGTATCATTTCAGAGGTGGCATTATCTAATTTATTTGTGTGTGTGTGTTTCTGGACATGTCACATTCTGGTTAGACCAGTCTTTGAAACTGACAGGAATTCAAGTTCGAAGCCATGTGCATTTGTCTTTCTTCAGGCATGTTGGGTGGTGTTCGGGCATGCTCTCCCTCCTGTATGGGCGTTCTTGTTCACGCTCCCAGGCCCCCCTTGCCCGAGCTCTGGCGTCATCTGCAGCTTTTACAGGGGGTGGTGGGTTGGCCAGGTCACAGCCTCCTCCACATGGAACCCACTGTTGTTCATTGGCAGGCCCATCCTCAGGTGCCAAGAGTCATGCCCATGTCTGGTGACTGGTTCAGGCCAGTGAGGGGGACTGTCTGCCTCACTCATCTAAGACGGATCTGGAAGCCGCTTGGTGCTGGTCTTCTGGGCGACGCTGTCGCTCTGCTCTCAGCTCAAGGTCAGGTGACTTAGGGGGGCAAAGCCAGAGCCCGGGGCGGCCCTCCTGCTCCTGCAAGTCAGTCCATCCAGTGCAAGGTTGGGTGACTTAGGGGAGCAAAGCCAGAGCCTGGGTGGCCCTCCTGCAGGTCAGTCCATCCAGCGCGAGGTTGGGTGACTTAGGGGGACAAAGCCAGAGCCCGGGGCGGCCCTCCTGCTCCTGCAAGTCAGTCCATCCAGTGCAAGGTTGGGTGACTTAGAGGGGCAAAGCCAGAGCCCGGGCGGCCCTCCTGCAAGTCAGTCCATCCAGCTCCCCCTTGGCCTTTCAGGCTGTTTGAGTTTAATCTTCTGTTAGTTGTGACTAGAGCTTTGCCAGATAACTTAAAAACATGTTATGAGCATATGTTAGCTTACTTCTCATTTTGATAGAAATAATTAGTATTGAATGCCTTGTGAAAAATGCAGTGAAAATTCTGTGAAGAACTGTTCAAAAAGAAGATGTGACTCGGTGTTGGGGGGCAGTGAGTGAAGCCACCGGTGGGCTGCCTGCGACCCACGTGGATGTGCCTGGGACCATCACTGCCCCTCTTGCACCTGCCCCCGTAGACGCACGTGGGGGATCCACGCGAGTTTCGGGCTTTCGACTTGCTCCTAGACCCTCCTGTTGGAGCCTTTTGGGCAATGAAGCAGTGGATGGAAGATGTATTTTCTCTCTGTCTCTCTTGCTCTTCCTTTTTAAAAAAAAAGTAAAAGTGAATGAAATGACCATTTTTTTAAAAAGGCAAATGGGAAAGCTGTAACACAGCAGAGCCAAGGCAGTCAGCTTCAGCGTGAGCTGCACTAACGGGAAAGCGAGTAGAAGCACAGCCAGGCCTGGGAGCACTGCAGGCACCACACACGGGCTTTAAAGGCAGGGGTTGCTCCGCCGCCCCAGAATGCCTTGCTGTCCGTGGCTCATTGAGTTGGTGAGGAGCAGTCAGCTTGTTTTGCTCGTGTGACTGTGAGTGAGTGGCGGTTTTGGGGGGAGTCAATATTAATAATACTTGCAAACATTTTGTGTAGGGGTGTTTGTGTCAGCAGGTCACTGGTCAGGTGAGCTGTGGTCCAGCCGTATGGTGTGCTGTGCACCTGTTACCGATGGAAAAGTGCTGGGTGCAGCGTGGGAGGAAGCCAGGGTCACTGGTTTACTTTTCAAGGCGAGGGACCCGAGGATCGGGGTGGGTGCGACTCCCCAAACCTGCTCTGAACTTGTACTGCATGGCCTCCGTCCTGTGCAAGTGACACCTGCACAGAAGCAGAGCCACTTGTGACAAGTTAGAAATGGTAGCTTTTGTTTGTTTGTTTGCTTGAGATTTTAGTTTTATTGGAAAAGCAGAGTTACGGAGAGAAAGAGAGATAGAGAGGACGGCCGGAGCTTGACTGGTCTGAAGCCTGGAGCCAGGAGCTTCTTCCGGGCCTCCCAGCACGTGGACCGTCCTCTGTGGCTCCCCCAGGATGCTTCATGAGCAGGAAGCTGGGGTCTGGGGTTGATGGCAGGGGTCCCGCAGGGGATGCAGGCAACTCAGCCATGAGGGCAGACGACCCCGATCTTAGGTCAGTTTGGCACATGGCACTCTCCCCTTCACATAAGTCTTGCTCGACCGCAGGACATCTTGCGTCCCCCGTGCTCCGGCCATTGGTATCCTAGGTGCTCTCAGCCCATCTCCAGCCCGTGAGCTTGCTGCGGTGGCTGGAGGCGTTGCCTGGCAGTTCAGTGACACGGGCCTTCCTGCTGCCGTCACTGATGAGCGAGTGGCCTTGCCTGAGGAGGGGCAGCACTGCTGAGGGCGTGACCGTTGCCCTTTGGAATAGCTGCCGCCCTCCTGGATGACTGCCTGTTGGCACCACCCCACCCCAACTGCCGCAGCCACATGCCCACCCCGTGTGCCCAGACACTGTTTCCTTTGGCTCTTTGTAGTCAGTGACTGTGGGGCATAACAAGTTCTCCCAAAGGACTGAAAACAGAAGTACTGCAGCCTCTGCACCTGCGTGGTACAGCTAGCTCCGTCTCAGACTGAGGCCCGGCGGGGCGGGGTGGGACTCCACGCAGGGCATCCTAGTGGAAGCTGGTTACGGGAATTCAGAAGCTATTTCTTTATCAGGTCGTTCAGCAGCTGTCGGGTTTTTGTGTTACTCCTGTGGTGTGAGGTTTGTCTAGGTGAGTGCAGGCAGTAAATTTCCCCTGCAAAGCCCAGAGCCCATGCTTCACACCAAGAAGCCAGGCACGCAGGTCCCTGAACCCGGACAGATCTCAAGACAAGTCGGGCCGGAGTGCCAGGCTTATCAGGCATGGCTTTCCCTGACAGGAGGGTGACCAGGTACCAGGTCCACGTGGGGGGAGGGACGGAGTGAGCTGGATGTTTTCTGTTTCAGGAACCATCTGCAACCCTGGACCCCGGAAGTCAATGCCGAAGCTGCTGTACATCCGCCTCGCGCTCTTCCTGCCAGAAATGGTCTGGGCTTCCTTGGGTGCCGCCTGGGTGGCGGACGGCGGGCACTGCGACAGGACAGTGGTGAACGGCATCATTGCCACTGTCGTCGTCAGGTGAGGGTATCTGCCTGTCACGGCTGACGCTGGAGACAGGAGTGAGCGAGCCCCCTGGGCCTGACAGCCCCAAGCAGACTCAGAGGTGTCATCCACCACCGTGTGTCGTCACTGTCTTCCTCACGGTCCCCACCTGTTCACCTCCCCTGTCTTCTCTAAGAAAGGAAACCACGGCAGAGACTCAGAGGAGGGTGAAGGAGGAAGAGGGGGGGTATAAAGAGGAGGAGGATGAGGAGGAGGAGGAGGAGGAGGAGGAGGAGGGCACCGCAGGACTTGGGCGAGGAGTGATGCTCTGGCTGGAAAGGCTTTCAGGTCTGTGGGGGAGGTGACCTTCCCGGGGTGGTCTCCCCAGGGTGGACGGAGGGGGTCACGCCTCCACAGCCGCCCAGCAGGGGGCAGCAGCATCCCTCAGAGCTGCGCTGGCATCTGGAGAGCGAGCGGGCCTTGTTTTGGTTTGGACATGGAGGACCCTGAGCGCTGTGGAGAACAAGTGCCAGCTGCAGCCTGCCCGCCTGGCAGCTTCCCTGTTTCCTTCGTGGCCTTCAGTTTTTCGGGCTCTGACTTTTGTGGGGCCTAGGTTAGCTCTGGGTTTGTGAGGAACTTGCTAGAAGAAATTGGTTGCTAGCCTCGGCTCGCCTTTGGCACAGCTGTGGTCGAGGTGCACAGACCGGGCGTGAAGGAGGCGGCCCGGGCTCTCCCGTCACCCGCCCCGTCCTTCCCCTGATTTGCAGTTGGATCATCATCGCAGCCACCGTGGTCACCATTATTATCGTCTTTGACCCGCTGGGGGGGAAGACGGCCCCCCACTCCTCGGCCGGGCCCGCTCACCTGGATACCCGCGAGTCCAGCCAGCTGCTCAGCGGCCTCAAGACGGCAGCCACCAGCGTGTGGGAGACCAGGGTCCGCCTGCTGTGCTGCTGCGTCGGGGCGGACGACCACACTCGAGGTGCTTTTACCAGTACGGCAGAGCTTTTCTCAACCTACTTTTCAGTAAGCTCCGGGGGTCTGCTGTGGTCTCTTTCTGTTTCCCTCACTGCTGCTTCTCCCGGGCCCCCGTCCCCGCCCCCACGCGCAGTGGCCTTGGAGAGCCTGGGGCCTGGGCCGAGTGCTCCCTGGGGAGCGGTGAGCGCCCGGGGCGGCCCTCTTGCCTTTGCCCTCTCTCTGGGATGGCTTCACGTGGACACCTGTCCAGTCCAGGTTTTGAATGAGTTTTTTTGGTAATGTGTGTTTATTCCCATTTCTTGGAAAGCAGAGTGGCAGACAGAGGCAGATCTTCAGTCCTCAAATGCCCACATGGAACTCCGTCCCGGTTTCCCAGAGAGGCCAAGGAACAGAGGACTTGGCTCTGATCCACTGCCTCCCAGGATGAGCGTGGGTAGGAAGCTGGATCGGAAGCAGAGGTGCCAGTTGGTGCCAGGCCCCATGAGCGAGCTGTGGGCCTCCCAGGGAGTCCTAACTATTGTGCTGAAACACCCTGGAATTCCCGCGCCCGTTTGTTTTTTTTTTTAAGTTTGTTTATTTGACTTTTCTTTGGAAGACAGAGAGAGAGATTGCTCTTCCATCCTTTCATTTACTCCCCAGTTGCCTGCAGTAGCCAGGACAGGGTGAGGCTTAAGCCAGGAGCCTGGCACTGCAGCTGGCTCTCCCAAAGGGCTGGCAGGGATGCACGGACGTGAACCGCTGCCTGCTGCCTCCCTCGGAGCAGAGGCTCTGGGACTCAAGCCGTAGCGCCGGTGTTTCGCTGTTGTTGTTTTAAACATGTACATATAAATGTATTTTCTGAATTTTCATTTATTTACTTGAAAGAGTTACGGAGAGGGAGAGCCAGAGAAAGACATCCTCCACCTTGTGGTCTGCTGCCCAGATGGCCGCAGTGACCAGGGCTGAGCCAAGCTGACTGAGTGCTTCATCTGAGTCTCCCGCGTGTGTGGCAGGCCCTAAGCGCTTGAGCCGTCTTTCACTGCTCTTCTCAGGCCATTAGCAGGGAGCATCAAAAGTAACAGGTGCCTGTGGGCCTTGAACTGGCTGGTGCCCAGTGGAATGCCGCAGTTGCTGGCAGTAGCTTTAGCTGCTATGCCACAATGCTAACCGCACATGAGCGCTCTGAAATGGGTGTGGGTGTCCTGAGCAGTGGCTTAGCTCACCATGTCTCTTTGTTCACTGCTCGAATTAGTTTTTAAGAAATGAAATAATGGAGCCTATATGCTTGGGGAATAATCCGCCAGCTATCTTTTTATGTATCCCCTCTCTGGCTGCCTCTCAGCGTAAACCAGGCACAGGCAGTGCCGTGCACCCGCGGCAGGTGGACGTGGTGACGTCATCGTATCAGAGTGGCGATGGAGGGTTCTGCTCGCGGAGGGAGGTTGGACTGGAGCGCGTGCGGAAGCGGGAACGCTGTCCACATTCCCCAGGGATTTCTTGAGCAGTTCGGGACTGTTTCTCTTCAGTGTGCAGTGCGTGGTTTTGGCTCTTTCTAGAATGTTCTCCAATAAGCTGACTTGCAATCAAGCCAGGGAGGCATGGTTGCCTTGCTGTGCACCTACCATGTCCATCTCAGCTCACCAGGTGCCTGACTGAGCCCGTGCAGCGCTGGCCTCGTGGCCCTCCGGGGGTCAGAGAGAGGTTAGGCTGTGTGTCCTCAGAGTCATTTCAGAGCAGTGTGAGCACAACCCGGACGGAACAGGGAAAGGGGGTTTTCACAGTGAATGTCCTAAGAAATTATTTTTACTTGAAAGATAGAGAAGAACAAAAACAGAGAAAGAGCTCCCTGTTAGGAATAGTAATAATTAGAAGACAGACAGAAGACAGACCTTGGTGAAGAGGCAGAGAGGTCAGGGGTCCCAGGACCATTCAGGAGCCCGCAGCATGCTGCAAAGCGAGGTGTATTTATTTATTTTCTTGTTTTTATTTACTATTGAGAGTGTGGAAGAGCAACTTTTCGTCCGGCATAGGTGGGAGTAGGGGACAGGGGACTAAAATTATCTTCTGAGAAGGCCAGGGGTTGGTCGCGGGAGGCCGTCTCCTGGAAGGCCAGGGGTTGGTCGCGGGAGGCCGTCTCCTGGAAGGCCAGGGGTTGGTCGCGGGAGGCCGTCTCCTGGAAGGCCAGGGGTTGGTCGCGGGAGGCCGTCTCCTGGAAGGCCAGGGGTTGGTCGCGGGAGGCCGTCTCCTGGAAGGCCAGGGGTTGGTCGCGGGAGGCCGTCTCCTGGAAGGCCAGGGGTTGGTCGTGGGAGGTGCAGAGGCACTGGTGACCTTCGGGGAGAATGGATGTTTCGCAGGGGCTTGGAGGGGCGCGTGTCCTGCACAGGGAGGCTGACATTCCCAGAGTGCCCACGCTGACTGCCCGAGGCCAGGAGTCCGACCTCCATCTGGCTGTCACATTGGCGGCAGGGACCCAAGCATGTGACTTTCTCTGCCAAGTCCCAGTGTGTGTGTTAGCAGGAGATGGAATCGGGACGCAGCCTGGACTTGGCCCCGGGGACTGTACTGTGATGTAGCGTCTTAACTGTGTGAGCCACTCAGCCTGCGTGAGGAAGTCTTCATTTGGCTCATAGCTCAGAGGCCAGCGTCCACTGTGTGGTCCTTTCTCAGGGGGTAGTGGATGCAAATGATGGGACTTCCTGCATCTCTGTTGTTGCTGTCTGATTTTATCTCACTGGAAGGAGTGGGACAAAGGGAGAGAGATTTTTGGGGGTTCATGCCCCACATGGCTGCAGTAGCCAGGTCTGGGACGAGGATGGAGGCAGAAGCTCCACCCAGGTCTCCCACTTAAGTGGCTTGGGCCATCACTGCTTCCCCTCCCCCACCAGCCATGTGTGCAAGGAGCTTGGTCAGAAGCAGAATGGCCAGGACTCGAACCGGTGCTCCAGGGTGGGATGTGGCATCACAGGCAGCAGCTTCCCCTGCTGTGCCGCAGTACTGGCCCTGCAGTGAAGTGTATGTTTACCTGAGTGCAGGTTGTTAAGGTGTTCTGCAGGGGACTCGTCTCGGGAACACCTGTGAACCTGCAGCTGTGTCTGTATGTGCCTGGGCACTGCACTAAGCAGAGTCTAAAGGAGCTCCCGGGCAGCTCTTGCTGGGTTCCTGACCGGCTGCTGGGGCTTCCCACCTAGGACACAGACCTGGTGCCCAGTGACATCGCGGCAGGCCTGGCCCTTCTCCACCAACAGCAGGACAACATCCACAGCGATCTGGAGCCTGATGAGGTGGTCAGCCGCTCCCCGGAGCCCTCTCAGGTGAGCTGGCAGTGTCCCCAGATGACAGGTTGTGACACCTGCACCATGTCGATCCTGACAGCGAGCCAGGGAGCAGCGGCGGTGGCATCTGACCTATCACCTGTCAGGTCATCTCCTCTTCGCCTGCAGCCCAGTGGGGCAGCTGATCCTGGCCAAATCACCCTGGTGTTTTATTGGAAAGGCAGATTTAAAGAGAGGAAGAAAGATGGATAAAAAGATCTGTCCACTGGTTCACTCCCCAAGTGGCTGCAACGGCTGGAATTACGCCAGTCTGAAGCCAGGAGCCTGTGGCTTCTTCCGGGTCTCCCATGCATGTGTAGGGTCCCAAGGCTTTGGGCCATCCTTGACTGCTTTCCCAGGCCACCAGCAGGGAGCTGGGATACGAACCAGTGCCCATATGGGATCCCTGTGCATGCAAGGCGAAGATTTAATCTGTAGGCTACCACGCCCCGTCCGTGCTGTTTTTAGGTTTTCTGTTGTAGGAAGTGCACCGTGGAGTCTGCACTCTGAGGTGTTTGCTTTCTCCCTTGGGGCTGGAGAGCAGAAACAGAGCAGTGTAACTGGCTGTGGTTTGCCTGCCACAGGTTGTTAGAGAAAGTGACTCATAGGCCATGTGTGACGTGGGGACTGTGTTAACGCACACTACAAGTATCACACGTAGACTATGACACAGGGAGTGTACGTGTCACACGTGGACTGTGTCACGTGGACTGTGTCATACGTGGACTGTCACACGTGGACTGTGTTTCACAGACTGCATGTGTCATACGTGGACTGTGTCACAGCAGACGGTGTCACGTATGGACTGTATGCTTCATACGTAGACTGTATCACAAGTGGCCTGCATGTGTCACCTGTATGTGGCCCTTGCTGGAGTACCCAGCTCGTGCCAGATGGCTCAGGGTGACTGCAGCGTGGGGGCTGCTGGTCCATGGTTGCAGGCGGGGTGCTGACGAGCTGCCAGGCTGCTTTGCTGCCTACTGTGGCCATGCCTGCTGCATTCCTGCACAATGAGCCGTTCACCTCTGATGTATTTTAGGGTCGGTTTCCCATGTGGGTGTTCCCCGAGAGCTCTGTTCAGTGAGGGAAGGGTGGGGGGTGTGTTTGTGTTCAGGGTTCAGCTCCCAGTGTGTCAATCCTCTGCCTTATGAATTCCCTTCAGCAAGAAGCCTCTCTCTCTCTCTCTCTGTCTCAGGACGCTGACCTGGACACCGAGTTGGAGAACTGCCGTCATTATATGCAGTTTGCAGCTGCCGCCTACGGCTGGCCCCTCTACGTGTACAGAAACCCCTTCACGGGCCTCTGCAAGGTCGGAGGGGACTGGTAGGTTGGCACTGCCCCAAGGGGGAGACTCAGATGCTTTCAGCTATCTCCTGCTTAGAGCAGTGTGAAGACCTCGCATTTGGTTCATCAGGAGTCTCCAGGGTGCTACGGCGTGCTGTCTGCGCCCTTGACTAGCCCGAGCCCTTGGGGTTTTGCGGTTGGCCCCGCCCCGTGCCTGTCATTTCTTCAGTGAGTTGCAGAGGATGCTCTTCTGCATAACCACATGAAGGTGACAAAATGGATGAGGAGGCTGCGGCTTAGGTTTGCATTCCCTGCACTTCATTAGCAACTCTCCTCCCGGTCTAGCATTCTCTGAAGCATCGGGCCGTCGTGGCTCGCTGTCTCTCAAGTTTCAGAAGGCCCACAGCCGTCCTTTGCCTTTCAGGACGCTGGCGTTTCCAGCAGGTCAGAGTGGACACTGTGCAGTGGCGCTGGGTCTGCCCTTCCTGCTGACCCCTGCCAGCGGCTCCGGCTGGGCCTCACGCTGGGCTGTGCTGCAGGGCCAGCACTGCCCTCCGGGTGTGTGACAGCTGGTTGTTAGGGAAGCGCTCTGAGACCGTGGGTCGCTTCCTCTGACACCCACCCAGTAATTCCTGTTTAAATCATTCATTCTGTCAGGAATGTGTAATTTTTCTAATTTCACCATGAAGTTACCTTCCTGTTCTACTGATTGAGTTGTAGTAACCCCTCACTGTTTGTTTGTTAAGAAGGGTGATGTTTATTAGACCACCCTGCCCCAGAGCAGGCCCTCAGGCTGGCCTGGGGGTGGGGGCTGGCCTGGGGGGCCTGGCCCCCCTTTTGGAGCCTGTGTGATTTTCCTGTGTAAGCTGCTGCAGCCGGGTCTTGGCTTTCCCTGGAATGCTGCTCTGGGTCCCACTTCTCTCTGGGGGTGGCGGGTGGGGGGAGTGAAGTTTAGAGCTTGAGATCTAAGTGCTGTGTATGCAAATTACTCCCAGGCTCCCGCCGCCTCAGGGCCCTCTCAGTGGACAGATTGGGGCAAAACCTGCAACTTTGATGGATTTGCTGCGGTGTTTGTATTTTACATTGGATTTTCCTTGCCTTCTCCCGTACCTCCCTGTGTCCGCTCTCTTCCCCAGGGAGAGCCCTGGCCCCAGCAGCGTCGGTGGCCACTGGCGCAAGGCAGATGGGCTGACCAGGGTGGCTGGCTTGTCTGTGGTCCTTGGCTTTAGGCTGGGAACGCTAAGCTCTGGGGGACTCCTCTGGTCGTGGCTGCTTCACCTGTGTGGGGCAGTACTGCCTTTCAGGGTTCCTCCCCTCACTGATGTCTGATTGTGTGACTGTGGAAGGCGTCAGAGCTGTGGCGGAGGGCGACACTCCAGGACGAGGTGCGCAGAGAGGTCTCCCGTCTCCGTGCCAGCCAGGCCACGGCCTGGAAATGCTCCGTCCTTATCCTCACAGTTGGTGGCAGTGTGACAGTGGGGATTGCTCAGCAGGTGGCCCAGGCTGGGGTGCTGATGGGCTTGTCCCCCCTTTTCCAGTTGCAGAAGCAGAACAGCCGAGTACGACCTGGTCGGGGGCGATCAGCTGCACTGTCACTTTGGCTCCATCCTGCACACGACAGGGCTGCATTACAGGGACTTCATTCACGTCAGCTTCCATGACAAGGTGGGCGTGGCCTGGCGCTGCAGTGCTGACTCTGAAGGAGTTAGGAGTCAGGCCCTGTGGGCCCAAACTCCCGCATGGGAGACCAGGGACACTCCCAGCTTTGTCTTGGCTCTTGCAGCCATCTAGTGAGTGAACCAGCAATGGGAAAATCTACGCCCCCCCCACACACCCTGCCCTTCAATTATCTGTAACTCTGCCTTTTAAATGAAACATAAAAGCCAGGCCTGAGAACAGCACTGATAGGCTGTGGTGGCAGCCTGTGCCCCAGGCCAATGGGCTCCCAGGTGCCCGCCCCTCAGGGAGTCTGCTGAGGATGGCTCCCAGGTGCCCGCCCCTCAGGGGGTCTGCTGAGGATGGCTCCCAGGTGCCCGCCCTTCAGGGGGTCTGCTGAGGATGGCTCCCAGGTGCCCACCCTTCAGGGGGTCTGCTGAGGATGGCTCCCAGGTGCCCACCCCGACACTCAGCCGGCGGGTCCTGAAGCTGCTGGTTGGGAAGGGCGTGTGGCTCGACAGGGAAGGTGCTGGTCGACCGCGGGCTCCAGCCTCCCCTGGCTCACACCTTAGGAGACAATTTGCCCTGCTCTCTTTTTTTAATGCTTTATTGGTTTTTTTTTTTTTTTTTTAAGATTTATTTCATTTTTATTGGAAAGGCAGATATACAGCGAGGAGGAGAGACAGAGAGGAAGATCCTCTGTCTGATGATTCACTCCCCAAGTGACCACAATGGCCGGTGCTGAGCCAATCCAAAGCCAAGAGCCAGGAACTCCCTCCAGGTCTCCCACGCGGGTGCAGGGTCCCAAGGCTTTGGGCTGTCCTCGACTGCTTTCCCAGGCCACAGGCAGGGAGCTGGATGGGAAGCTTGGGCAGCCAGGATTAGAACCAGTGCCCATATGGGATCCTGGCATGTACAAGGCAAGGACTTTAGCCGCTAGGTTGCCATGCCAGGCCCTTGTCTCACGTCTCACTCTTAAACAAATAGTAGTAATAGTTCAAAAAGGTCCTGTGGGAGGACACTGTGACGCACTGACATCTGTCAGAGTTGGGCTAGCTCCCTGCTGATGCATCGGGGGCAGCCGGTAGGGGCTGAGGCGTGTGGGTCCCTGCCACCAAGCCTGGACATCCGGCTGGAGTTCGGGCTCCTGGCCGCAGCCCAGCCCAGCCCTGACTGTCGCCAGCAGCTGGAGAATCTGTGTCTTTCCTTCCTTCTCTGTCGCTGCGTCTTCCAAACATAGTCACTCTCAAAGGAAACCCTGGTGCCAGCCCTCCCTTCCCCGTGACATTGGGCATCTTCATCGCTGCATCGGACTCTGCCCTAGCACGCCTGTGACAGACAGCAGTGTCACAGTTTGGGGCTTTTGGAGGAGAGGTGTGAAGGTCCTTGTCCTGCCAAAGCCGGGGACGTATAGGAGCAGTTCGGTCCCTGCCTGCTCCGCGTGCCAGACTGGCCGCAGAAGGTGGCACCTTCACAGTAACTATGGCCACCCACTGCCCGCCATGAGCAAAGCCTGCTCTCCAGCCTCAGCTGCTCGGTGATGCCATGTGCTCCCCGAGATGGGGAAACGCCCCACGGTGCTCAGAGCGCCGACTGCAGCTCACACAGCGGGGGAGGGGCGGGCAGAGCTCCAGCGTGTCTGCCTCAGCCCTTCAGGGCTCTGGGTTTAAAAAATGCATTTCTAAAATGTAAAAGTCAAATTACAGAGACAGGTATTTCACATGCTGGTTCACTCCTTAGATGGCTGCAATGGTGAGAACTGGGCCGGGGCAAAGCCACGCTGCTTCTGGGGTCTCTCCCGTGGGTTCAGGGCCAGCCTCTACTGCTTTCCCAGGCACATCAGCAGGGAGCGGATTGGAAGTGGAGCAGCCAGGACTTGAACCAGCACACCTGTCGGGGCTCTTTCAGGACTTGGTTCCGAAAGCCTGAGTCACTTGTCAACAAAAGGGCCCAAAGCCTTTTGCCTTCTGCCCAGATTTATACAGGGAACCTCACAGTTTCTGGAATGTGCTTTCTGAAAACAAAACAAACCTGCATGGATTTCAAAGTTCTATTTGCACCAAAATTACTTTTTAAATCCCATTGAAATCTCGGTGTACACAGTCTTGGGTTTAATTTAATTAAAACCACTGAGCCCTGCCCCATGAGGCCAGGCGGGGGGGTCACCTGAATGGTCGGCACCCATGTGCCGACCCCAGGGGTGGCGTCTGGCTGCCCAGCACAGTACTTAGCCATGGGCTCTTGGGGAGACTGGGACAGAGTGTGGCAGCTGGGGGGAGATGGTATCCACACAGGGTGGGGCAGGCCTGACTGGGGGGCATGGGAGAAGCTGGTGTCATGAAAGCCTGCCATTTGCAAAGGGTCTGGGGAGGAGGGGGCAGGAGGGCAGCCCGAGGAAGGCAGGGGCAACTTGGTGCCCTTCCTCCCGGGGCTGTGGCGGTCAGCTACTGGTCACTGCGGGCATTGCTGCGGTGTGAGGCTGTCAGGGTGCATGTTTGCGTCCCTCACGCCGCTCCCCCTCCCCCTGCAGGTGTACGAGCTACCGTTTCTGGTGGCCCTGGACCACAGGAAGGAGGCTGTTGTGGTTGCGGTGAGGGGGACCATGTCTCTCCAGGTGAGCCTGGGGCCCGCACCGGCCACACTGCGGGGAGGGCAGGGGCAGGCACTCATCAGAGACAGCACTTCTGGATAACAGCCTGGGACACGGAGGACAGGCAGGCAGGATGCAAGTCCAGGGCTGGCTCACGCCTGTTTTTTCGAGCGGCTGCAGGCAGGCTTGGCGTCCCCTGTGCTCAGAACTCCCACCCTCCCGCTGCCTTTAGCCTGAGGCTCGTGCTCCTTATGCCCTTCGTGGCTGTGTGGGTGTTTCAGGAGCCTTCCCAGGCCCGCTCTCCACCCAGGCCAGGGCCTCTCCCTGTGGATCCGGGCCACCCTGGGGCTGTCTGTGAGTGCAGCGCCCCCTGCTGATGGCTGCTCTGTCACTGCTGTTGTGTAGGACATCCTGACTGACCTGTCCGCAGAGAGCGAGACCCTCGACTGCGAGTGCGGGGTGCACGACCGTCTGGCCCACAAGGTACAGCCCTGGGGTGTCCCTCCTGCCAGCGCTACCCCCGGTGCCCCCTGCTGGTTGATGGTCACAGCGGCCTGAGGTTGTGTGTGTACTTGTTTGAGAGAGAGGCTGCGGAGACCGAGTCTGACTTGCCCGTGTCAGGCCAGCTGTTGGCTCGTCGTGCCCTCGGCTTGGCAGTGGCCTCCCAGTGAGAGCAGCAGGGCTGTGGGCAGAGCCATGCTGCAGAGAAGACCCCCCACCTCTCCCGGCTGCGCCCACATGTCCTCCCAGAGCTTCTCTGGGCTGGGGCTGTGTGCACAGGGAGACAGGCTGGGGCTGACCCGTGCTTTCCTTAAATATGGGTAGGATTTTAAATTTGTTTTTAAAGATTGATTTTATTTTTATTGGAAAGGCAGATATACAGAGAGGAGGAGAGACGGAGAGGAAGATCTTTCATCCAATGATTCACTCCCCAAGTGAGCGCAACGGCTGGAGCTGAGCCAGTCCGGAGCCAGGAGCTTCCTCTGGGTCTCCCGCACGGGTGCAGGGTCCCAAGGCTTTGAGCCGTCCTCGACTGCTTTCCCAGGCCACAGGCAGGGAGTTGGATGGGAAGTGGAGCAGCTGGGATTAGAACTGGCACCTATATGGGATCCTGGTGTGTTCAAGGCGAGGACTTTTACCCTGCTACGCAATCACGCCGGGCCCAAATATGGGTAGTTTTAAAAAATCACGAAACATACATTAAAAGCCGCTAGGTGTGTCCTGGCCACTAGCATGCGTGCAGGTGCCTGGCGGCCCAGGCACTCCCAGGATCCTCCACCTTCAGGGCTTCCCCAGGATGCTTGGATCCCTGAATGCTGCGTGGTCATCCTAGCTGCCCCATGGGGCCTCATCCCTGTGACTGCACCTGCCCTAGACATTCACGTCGGTGGCATCCCAGGGCCCGTCTGTTTGTGACTGGCTCATTTCACTGGGCATGGTGCTGCTGTAGCCCATGTTAAAACTGATTCACTTCATTGGAAGGGCAGAGAGACACGTTACATTGCCTGGCTCACTCCACAATGCCTGCGCAGGCTGGAACCGGGCTAGCTTGAAGGCAAAAGCCCAGATCTCAACTCAGATGGCACATGTAGGGGGCAGAGGCCCAAGAACTTAGGCCAGCACCTGCTGCCTCTTGGGGGCATTAGCAGGCAGCCGGAATTAGGGGCTGAGCCCTCGGAAGTGGGGTGCAGGTGGCGTGTCAGCTAGCTGCGGTCTTTCTCCCTGAGGCCGAGTGATGCTGATCAGAGAGCCCGTGCAAGGCTTGGCCTTCTCCCAGGGCGGGGTATTGTCTGTCGGCTGCTGTGCCCAGACATGGGGCCGCAGTTCTGTGACTTTTCGGTGGGCCACTGTGTTCTTCACCGTGCAGGCCATGTTGGGGGCCCACCAGCATACGCCATCTGAGCTTGGTTTCCGCACAGCCTTGTCAAGACTTGCTGGCTCCCCCTTTTATTTTCTCGCTCCCTAGTGGGTGTGCTGTGGCTTGGAACACGTGGGGGCCAGTGTGCAGTGACTCACTGCGAGCCAGCCCAGCGAGGACTCCCAGGAGAAGGCGGTGCCCGGAGGACGTGGCCTTGGCAGTGTTGAGGTCCAGAGGTGCCCCACCACTGGGCTCAGTGCCTTTCACACCCACCCTGTTGTTGGCAAAGCAGGCGTGTTGTAGCCTGCACTGCAGGCCTGGGAGGGCCGAGAAGGGGCCTTGGAGCAGAGCCATGCGAGCCTTGCCAGCCTGGGAGTGGCAAGTTTTTTCTTTAACCCTTAGCTGGCTTTTGGTGCCTCCTCCATTCACAAGACTCCACTTTAACCGTTACTGCACATGTGTGAAGAAAAAGAAAATTTTAACCCTTATTACAGAGACGTCAGCCAGTTGTCCCTGGCTACCTTAGGCGTGCCACAGGCTCTGGCCAGGCTGTGGTTTGCTCAGGTGAAGGTGGTGTGTAGCACTGGCCACGGCCTGATGGAGCAACACCCATGCCCTCTGCCTCGCCGTGCCCTAGGCAGGCGAGCCCTGCTGAGTCCTCACTGATCCAGGTCTCATCTGGAGCTGCCGAAGGCCGCCTCCACCTGGAAGGCTGCCAGCTGCGCAGGGACGCATGGCAGCAGTGCGTGGGCTCCAAGCTCGGCTCAGCTCCCAGGGCTCCGAACCGCTGTGTCGTCCATGCGGGTCCCAGCGGGCCGCAGGTGACCGCTTTAACTCTGGCAGGGTGCTTGGGAGGTGAGGCCTGCCTCCACTGTCTTCTCTGGGGCCAGGAACACCCCGGGAACCCACAGTTCCTTTACTCGGCAGTGTCCTCCAGTTCCCCGCAGCCCTCTGCATATCCTGCCGGAGCGTGGGCCCTAGCACGGAAGCTGCCGTGCTGGCCCAAGGGTGGCCCTCCGGCCCGGGGCAGGTCTCTGCTGTGCCTCACTTCTTGGGAGCTCCCTTTAGATAGAGGAAGAGCTTACTGTTGGGTTAAAACTAACACCCTTTTAAAAGATGAGCCGGGGTAGGTGTTTAGGCTGGCAGTCTGGAGGCCCTAGGAGGCGGCAGGGACAGCACAAGTGGTGGGTTCCGCCTCCTCCGGAGAAGACCTGGGTGGATTGCCTGCTCCTGGCTCCTGGCTCCTGCACCAGGCAGCTGGGGAATGAACCAGAAGATGGGAAGCCAGTTCCTCTCCCTCTCTCCATCTCTCTCAAATGTAATAAGAATAAAAAGGTCAGTCATCTAGCTAAATCTGGAGAACTCCAGGGGCCTTGGCTCACATAATGTGATGCATGCTTGAAGCCAGCTTCCCCACAGCTGCAGGAGAGACTGCAGACGGGTCTGAGCCTGAGCCCCTGCCTGTGCCCAGCGCAGTACGAGGGGCTGCAGAGCCCCTGCTGGGGTCTCCTGTCTGGGTCCAGTCCAGGAACCTGCAGCAGGTGCACTGCGCCCTGAGCCATCCTGACCCCGCCCCGCGTGTCCCCAGGGCATCGCACAGGCCGCCAGATACGTCCACCGCAGACTCATCAACGACGGCATTTTGAGTCAAGCCTTCAGCGTTGCTCCCGTAAGATGTTACTTTCTTTTTTCTCCTGTGTGTTACGTGCGGCCTTTCCCTCACTCTGCCTTGCTCCTGCAGGAGTATCGGCTGGTCACCGTGGGGCACAGCCTGGGCGCGGGAGCCGCCGCCCTGCTGGCGCTCATGCTCAGGAGCTCCCACCCGCAGGTCCGATGCTACGCCTTCTCCCCGCCCCGGGGGCTGCTCAGGTACTGCCCTGCCCCCACGCATCCGTGCGCTGGAGGCTCTCTGTGGTACTCTTAATCACCCTTAGGGTGTGCCGAGGGGCCACGTGGGGGCCCATGCATCTGCCCCGCGAGGTGTCTGTGCCCGTGGGCAGGTTCCCGGGGGCCCATCTGCTAGGCTGAGCTGGTCTGAATGTGAGCTGGTGCTGGGCTCGGTCCAGCGGGTCCAGGGCGGCTGGGCTGCCCCCGGACTCTCCCACCCCTTCAGGGCCCAGGGAAGCCACAGTCTCGCTGCCTTGGCCTTGTGCGCTGCGGGCGGGCAGCTGACTCGTGCTGTCTGGGGCATTGCAGCAAATCCCTCTGTGAATACTCCAAGGGCTTCGTCGTGTCGCTCGTCCTTGGCAAGGATGTCATCCCCAGGTAGGTGTGGGGCTGGGGCTGGGGCCGAGGTGGCCGGAGCCCCGGTGCCCCGTGCCTCAGTGGGACCTGCCCCTCAGGTTGAGCGTGACCAACTTGGAGGATCTGAAGAGGAGAATCCTGCGTGTGATTGCTCACTGCAACCAGCCCAAGGTAAGGGCTGTGCCGGCAGCGGCGGTGGCTGGGGAGTGCAGAGCTGGCCGTGGCCAGTGCTCTCCAGACAGGGAGGGCACTGCCGCCGGGCCTGCCGCTGCTCGCCCGCCGCTCGGTGGTGCTGCCCAGCAGGCCGACGGCTCAGCGGGCACACGCACTCGGTTAGCACTGTCCCGGGGCCCATCCACTGCAGGCGGGCTGCGGCTCCCAGGGCGACGGCTCCGGCTGTGCCTGCTGGGGGCTCTGTCCCCAAGCCAGAGGGAGGTTCTGGTGTGCCTGTCCTGGGGACGTGGCCGTTTCCCGGGGCGCATGGGCATTGCCAGGGTGCTCCCGTGCGTTTCTTGGAGCCTGAAAAAGCATGTCCACCTGTGCTTGCTTTGGATAAGTTCACTGGCGATTTTAGTTCATTAGCCACCATTTTGGTTTTGGCTTTGTTTTGCTAATCAGAAAATCTTCTCCACATACTTGCCCCTCCCCCAGCTCAGCATTTAGTAGGTAACAGGCGGGCATGCTGCTTGGCAGAACTTCCTGAAAAGAACCAAGGGTTTTCTGTGGGACCTCATCTTCTGCGTCCTGGCCTGGGTCGGCAGGGGACTGTGAACTGCAGCGTTGGGGTGTGTCGGGTGCTCCAGGCGCCTGTGCAGGGTGCTCCCGCTGAAGCACAGCCGCCCTCTCCTCACCCTCAGTACAGGATCCTGTTGCACGGCTGCTGGTACGAGCTCTTCGGAGGGAACCCTGACAACTTCCCCACCGAGCTGGACGGGGACAGCCAGGGGGAGCTGACGCAGCCTCTTCTCGGGGAGCAGAGCCTGCTGACACACTGGTCCCCCGCATACAGCTCTTCCAGTGACTCCCCACTGGACTCCTCGCCCAAGTACCCGCCTCTGTACCCCCCTGGCAGGATCATCCACCTGGAGGAGGAGGGCGGCTCAGGGAGGTGAGTGCTTACCCTGGGGGGCGCCATGGCCCCCAGCCCCTCTCCACGGGGCAGCGGGCACGGGCGGCCGTCCCAGAAGCAGTGCCCGCCACTTGCTCCTGCTTGCAGGCTCGGCTGCTGCGTGGCAGCGCGCTACACTGCCAGGTGGTCGCACGAGGCGGAGTTCAGCCGAATCCTCATCGGACCCAAGATGCTGACTGACCACATGCCAGACGTCCTGATGAGAGCCCTGGACAGCGTGGTGGCCGACAGGGGCGTCTGCGTCTCCTGTCCACCACAGGGGCTGCCCGACGTCCATGTGGTGTGAGCGGGGACCGTGTCAAGGTTTCCTGACTGGTGTCTGAGTGAGGCCAGGACACAGGACACCCTCAGTAGGAGCCCTCGGTGACAACACCGGAATGGACAGCAGGGACAGGAGGCTTGTGGGGTGCAGTGGGCACGGTGCTGGTGAGGTGCCACGGACAGCCCTGGGCTCGGCCGCTTTCCTGCCACGGCTCAGGTGTGAGCTCTTACAAGTGCATGGGGCATGGCATGCCAGGGCTGCCACCTAAAGGCACCCAGGGCAGGGCTGGGCACGGGAGTGGACACGTGCTAGCGCCCCCTGCAGGTGGCTGGTCAGTGGACTGAAAGGGAGTGAAGGGAATAAAGCATTTAACAGGTCCGTCTGCGGCTCTGTGCTGTGCCTAGGCCGTTTCAAGGAGCAGGTCTAAGGCATCGGCCGGCGGCGTTAGTTCTTCTGAACAGAAGTGAACCGCAGACTGTTCTTGCAGTTCTGCCTGTAGGCTGAGCAAGGCGGCTCTCATCTGCTCCCTAGCCCCTCAGCAGGTAGTGGAGATGCTACGAGAAACACCAGGGTGGGAGCTAGGAGCCCAACAGGTGGTGGGGAGTGACCCCACTGGGAGGAAGGCTGCATCCCGCCGCCTGCCAGTTGTTTGGGAGCTGGCTGAGCCCTGACTCTGCTCCGGCAAAGCAGCTGAGCGTTACCGCCAAGCGCCCTGTGCTGGCTCGGGTGTTGTCAGCCAAGCTCCAGCTCATGGAGGGGAGGCAGGACAGCAGCCTGTCACGTGTGTGAGCCTTTGGTATCTTCGAGCACCAGCCAAGACCAGACATGAGGGCAAGACCAGGAGTCACGGGTATGCTTGAGACAGCAGCCCCAAGTGACTGTGGCTCAGGACAGACAAGAGCCACAGTCCCAAGGCTGGCCCAAGACGAGATGTGGCTAGCCAGAGGGGAGTGTGGGAGGGTCAGGGATGCAGCGGGAAGGTCCTCGGGAGACTGCACAGACGTGTGTCGGGTGGCCAGGACACACCGGGAAAATCCTGAGATTTGGTTTAATTGCCTGGAAAACAAAGGAGTCTTCCAGGAAACTGCTCAGGACTGGTCATCCGCCCCTTGGGCCCTGAGGCTCACAGGCCACGCTAGCCTGGCAGCTCTGGCCTTGCCCACCTTCCCCAGGAGGCTGGTGACTGCCCCCATGCTCCGGTGTGGGAACGGGCACCAAAACAGGGACCAGCCGGGCCTGCCGGGGAGGCGGCGGGAGCCCCGAGAGCTCGTGCACACACACGTCAGAGTTCATGCATCAGTTCACAAGAATCCGAGTATGCCTGGTCGTATGATTCAAGGATTTATTAAGTCATACATGCAAAACATACTGCTAATTGCATTAGCAAAAGATCAATGTAAAAACACTCCACAATTCTGCAACTGTCAATTTAAAAAATGTTGTTTTAGTGGTTCAAAGTTCCCACGTGGTTTTCTTGCCAGTGAGTGCAGCTGTACGGACCGTCGTTAGCACTAGCAGTTTACACAACCTCACAGACCCAGAGGAACCCTGCTGGGAAGCCACGAGGGAGCGTGTCCGTGGGGTGCGGTCGCGAGGGTCAGTGTGGGTGAGTGTCGGGAGCCTGGCAAGACAGTGTTGTTAGGGAGGCTCGGCGTTCACGGGAGATCATCTAAAATACCTGGAAAGCTGCAACACATGATTTTTACACCTAGTAACTAGAAAACTAAGGAAAGCGTTTAATTAGCTTTGAATAAAGTAATGCGATAACAGGAATGCACTTTTACTAATCTACAAAAAAATTCCTACTGCGTCATCAGATGTTATCATACAAGGAGGCATATTGCTCGTTGAGAAGGGGCTCTAAGTCGGCAGCTACGGGGAGGACCAGTTCAAAGATGGCTCCAGCGGCCGACTCGGCGAGGGCCGCCGGGCGGAAAGCAACGGCTTGGGAAACACTACTGCTAACACGGACTGAACCCTGGGGAACGCGGCGGCTTTACGGAGCTCACTCCGCGGACAATGTAGTGTCACCTCTGTCTCTTCATCCTGTGGTCGCATCTGGCACTTCACTCCCCACACCCCCCAGCACACACAGCTACGGAGACTCGGTTAGAAGAAACACATGAACACGAGGCGTGGCAGCGTCTCGGCAAGCCGCTCGCTAGGAAATGGGACTGCTGCGGAGTGGCACTGTGACACCTGCTCCGGGCGTCCAGTACAGGGTCAGGACCGGGCACCGTCACAGGGCGACGTGCCTGCACGGAGGCTGGCCGCCTCTGCTCCGGGAGCCGCAGTCCCCTTACGGCAGCGGTCAGCGCTCGGTGCTTAGTGTTCTCAGCACAACGCAACTTAGTTCACGAAGGTCTTTTGGCAACTTGGACTCTGCGCAAGAACAGGGGCTTCTGAACAATAAGGCTTTAAGAAGGCTTGTCATTTTAGGGCTAAATTTTAATAGAAGGTGAGTCTGAACTCTTACATTTAAAACAAAACCTTAAAATTATTGATTGGTTCAAAATGGTTTATGGAAAAATTAATCTGTAACAAAAACTTGGCATTGAGTGCGAAGGCTCCACCGTTTCTCAGCAAAGCGGACGAGGGCTGTGGGCGCGGGGCCTTCAGAGCAGCAGGCACTTTCTCTTCCTCTTCTTGACGGGGGGCGGGCAGAGGACGGCGCGGATGGCCTCATCGAACACGGTCTTGAGGCCTCGCTGCGTGAGCGCCGAGCACTCCAGGTACTTGACGGCACCTACGAGAGACGGCGCCATGGCAGCCACGCCACAGCCACCCCGCTGCCCCGCCGCCCCCCGTGCCCTGCTCCTGGCACCCTCAGTTCACCTACCGATCTCCTTGGCCATGGCCAAGCCCTGGGGATAGGTGATGGGGGTCAGCTTCTTCTCCTTCAGCTTCTCGATCGTGTCTTTATCATCCCTAAGATCCAGCTTTGTCCCCACAAGGATGATGGGCGTGTTGGGACAGTGGTGTCGCACCTCGGGGTACCACTGCGCAGGAACAAAGGTTGGAACTCCATCCTGGCAGGCGGCAGACTGTGCCAGTACCCACTGCAGCTGCACCTGCCTGCTGTGTCTTCAGGTCCCAACCTCAACCTCAAGGGACACAGCGGTGTCTGGCAAGGATCCCCAGCCCCCCAGGATCAGTGACTCCACAGAAAGTCAAGTATCTGTCAAGTAACAGGAGGAAAGAAGGGACTACGGGGGACAGAGGAACCCCAAGGCAAGGAAATGAGCAGATGGGGGCGGGGCTCTGCTGTGAAGGGGTTCACCTTTAACCCCCACGTACCTTTGCACGGACGTTTTCAAATGATGCAGGACTCACAAGGGAAAAGCAAATTAAGAAGACATCCTGGGAAAGGGAAAGAGAGAAACCTTTCGGAAGCAGCTCTCGGAACGCGCGATGCGCTGTGCTGTCTAGTGCCGCTGGGAACGGCAGGCTCGGTGTGGGTCTGTGCGACCGGCAGCTTCCGCAGCTGGCAGAGCCAGTGCCCCCAGCAGCCGGTACTGGGAGGGCGGAGGGGCATGCTGGGAGCGCTGGGTGTCCGTCATGAACACGAGGCACCCGTCACTAGGGCAGTGCTACCGCACTACTTCTGGGAAGCGCGGCCTTGGAGGGCGGCTGGCCTGCTGGGGAAGTCCCCCCAGCTGCCCGCTCACGGCTGGGGGGCCCTGCCACTCACGGGAGGCCCCACTGAGTCCCGGACCCCCTGAAGTGGCCCTGCAGTTCCAAGTCCTTCCCTGCCCCGTTTCCAGTTAGGCTCCCCATTTGCATGTTCCATTCAAGCACGTTAAAGGTGGCCCTGGCTCCAGGTCAGTGCCTTTTCTCCCGCCCACTGTGCGTGTGCGGAAGCCCCACCTTCCTACCCCATAAAAATGCCAGTTTCTAAATGCTCAGCTGAGAAGCACCTTGCCGGGAAAGGACAAGCAGGTGACTCTGAAAGGCACCCACGTCCCAAGCAGCACGGGGAACGTCCCAGCGGCGATCTTGCACCTGAAAGGGTCACCCACACGCCCCCCGACAGCTGCCTCTACGGACAGCGAAACGCTGCGCATGCACAAGCTTGCCCAACGTCACCTCAGCACCCAGGCTGACTGCAACCGTCTCAAAGCGCGCTGGGTTAGCACCGAGCCCCGCAAGCCGCCCCGCAGGAGCCACAGCAGACAGGCCCTGGCAGCGGGTTAGTGCTGCTCCTGTTAGTGCGCGGCCTGGGAGCGGACTCCCAGCACCTGCCCCGCAGCCGGCGCCGCACCGCCTCTCCGGCAAGGAGCGGGGCAAGCGCCCAGGGTGCCAGCATGCGCTAACGGAGCTCAAGTCATTCACGTCACCAAGCCCAACCCTGAGTGAATCAAACGGAAGACGCGCAAGGAAACGGAGGCTCACAGGAGTCCTAGGGAACTGAGGGCCGAGAGCGGGTAAAGACGACAAGTGTTACATACGGCAATCGGCTTGTCTGTGCCCCTGGCGGCAATTTCCTTACCGTACGCTTCTCCAACCTAGTAATGCATGAGAATTTTATTTTGAGTTAAAATTAACAGAACCTGTTATTTACAATTCTGTCAACCCTTTACAGCACCCAAACGTGCAACAATTTCACATTTTCAATGCCAACTGCCACCAAATCACACCATGATAGCCAAACGGCAGTGTCCCTGTGCAGCTGGGCATGGTGTGGGCAGAAACTGGCCAACACTGGGGGTGCAGCCGAGGTGCCCCTTGCCGGAGCGCTGCCCAGGCTGCGTCACCACCAAGGTCCCCATGCAGAAGGTCACCCAGTCCCCTCTTGCTCGGACAGTGCATTTTCAACTTGAGGACATGTGTCGCTGACCTGCCGACACGGGGCCCCGCGACCTGCCTCAGGGTCACGTCTGAGTACTGACCACAATTTTAATTCATTTTTAAATTCCAATAAAATCAACAGCTCTGCTTTTTTAACACAGAGCTCTGGAGTTCTAAAGAAAAAGACAAGGGAATTAGGATGTTAGCTGCACTTCACCCAAGCTTCTCCAACACACAGTTTGAAGGGACCCAGAGTTGCTTTGTGACTGCCTCCAGGACCTCGGGGGTCGCTCACACCTGGGCGCCAGCCCCTCCGTGCAGGAAGGCGCACGACTAAAACCAGAGTCTTCTAGTCACACTCCCACCTCTAGTGCGGAAACACGCACAGCCGCCGCCCGGCCGGCCTGGCCCGTCTGTTCCTGCGCCAGCCCACTCAGCTCTCTGCAAGCCCAGCTGGTGCCGGGGACGTCCCCTCCTGGGCGCCCGGGGGGCCTGTGCAGTGCTGCAGATGGCTCCCCCTTCCTCACGTGTTCAGAGCCACAGCCTCCTGGGGTCCCTGGCCTGTCCTTCCTCTCCACATGCACCACACCAGATGCCCACCGTGCATGACCGAACGTGGCAGCTCTCTGTGCCTCTGCCGACTCCAGCCAGCGTGGCTGCGGCCCCTGGCTCTCCGTGCCGATCGGCAGAGTGAGCGGCTGGGCGGGCCAAGCACCCTCGCTTCCCCCTCCATCTTTTCCTCTTCCACATGCTTCCCAGCCGGCCCTCACGTCCAGGATTGAGTATTTTTAAGATCCAGGCACCGCCTGCACCCAGGAAAGGTCGCTGTACAGAAACAGAGCAAAAGCAGAACCCCAAGAGGCTGAGCGGGCATCAGCCACACACAGGTGCCCTGGGTTGCCGTGACTGCCCGGCCCCGCTGCGGACGACCACAAGCACTCTACATGCTAGAACCCAAATCCCACCAAAGGCCACCTGAGGCGCGGGCGTCTGGTTGAGCGTCCAGGGTGCTGGCTAAACGGCTGGGCCCCAGTCCCAGCGCGTGCTCCTGTCCCAGCTTCCTGCCGGCTCACTGTGAGGGAGCAGCTGGGTCCGTGCCGCTTCCCCGGAAGACCGGCCTCCACCCAGGCCAGGCCAGCATTGTCCTCATCTTGCAGATTTACTCGTGCTTGAGACCCAGGGTTACAGAGCATCTTCCATCCTCTGGCTCACGCCCAGGGGGCTGCTCAGACGGGAGTGCATGCTCTCAATTCTTGCCTCCCACATGTCTTCTTAAAGCAAACAGAACAAAACGCACAGCACTTCACACATTAAAAAAAAAAAAAAAAACCACTTTATGATCTTTGGTCTGAGAGCAGACCGCCCAAGGTCACTGTACCAACTACAAGATCACACACCCATCTCCGGCCGGCACAGTGCCCAAGCAGTTTTCACCTCGAGTCTGGCCCTCGGCAGCCCGCCAGGCTGTCCAAATACCTGGTCACAGCCCACCTGGCCCTGCAGGAGACCTGGACTGATGCCCCCCACCCTCCACGTGGGCCCGGCATTTGAATGAACCATAGGACAGGAGGTTCTCTCTAGAAATCCACCAGGCCACAACTATGTAAGATCTCACCTCTGGCAAGAGGTGACGGGTACCAGCCTCTGACTCCCAGAGCGAAGACACCAACGACCAACTCACTGGTCAGAGACCTCCCACCCACCAGTTATTCCCCAGATGGCAGTGCCAGGTTGCGGCCAGAGCCCGAAGCCAGAAGCCCAGCCAGCCTCCCACACAGGTGGCAGGCCCAAGTGTGTAGGACAGTTGCAGCAGAGTAGCTGACTCAGCCCAATGGGATCCTGGCACAACACGCAGCAGCCGACCGTGCTGTGCCACAACGCCAAGCCAGGAGATGGCGGCCACACCAAAGAGCCGAGCTCGGCAGCATCACCACACGGCCGGGGCCGCAGAGCCACCAGGGCCGGGCCTTGCTGGGACACGCGCGTTCCTCCCGGGCACCAGCACTGACAGCACAGAGAAGCACAACCGCAGGTGAGAAGCCGAGCTCGGAAAAACTAACGCACGACAGGTAACTTCAGCCAACACGGAAGCCCACCGCCTTCCGGACAGCCAAGGGAGACCTGTGTCCATACTTCCCTCAGCTACCTGGCACTGCCCAGAGAGCAGGCTGCTCAGCGATGACCGCAGGGACGCCTCCCTGAGGATGCCCAGAGTAAGTCATCTACCAGGAAGCAGCTTCTGTCCCTGGCAAGGCAAGCCCCAGGCAGGTGACCGCTCCTGCAGACTCACCTCCGCCTGGCCCTGCTCTGGCCCCTGCACCTCTGGGAACAGCGTGAAGGTGGCAGGGCGGGAGGCAGAGGCCACAGGTGAGCAAGGGCCACACCGCAGCCACCTGCTGGGCGGAGAAAGGAAGCTCCACCAGAGGACAGAAGACAGGGGCTTGCCCGCGTCCCTGGGCTGTGCCGTGTGACAGGTACAGTTGCCACCACACCTCCCAGCGTGCCCTCCTCCTAGCCTCTCCCACCCAGCTCTGGCACCCCAGGCTCCTCTCCTGCACCCCATCTGCAGGTCAGATTCCTGGGGCTCCTGTAGAGTGCAGCTCCTCCGTGCCGTGCACTCTGCCACGGGAATGGCCGTGCTTGTGTTGGAGAGAACTTTGGGAGGGAGGCCCGTGCTCACCGCCCACAATGGAGGCTGGCAGGTCCTCACTGTCAGCCCAGGGTTGCCCCTCATCTCCCGAGGAGCCCAAGCAGGTGCAGCACTTGAGCCCTGGCAGACACACGGAGTGCCCCATGGGAGTTAGCGGACAGACCCAGCTGGGAGTCACCTCTCTCTCCCTTTCTGCCACGCGTGTCGAGCAGGCGAGTCCGCCCCTCCACACGCACATGCACGCACGCGGCAGGAAAGCTTCAGCCCCAGCTGCACACGGTCACCGCCTCCTGTGTCCCGCAGCACACACAGGGGGCTCCAGCCCAGGCACCCCTGACCCACCATGGGTGACTGCAAGGCAGCCGCCCCACCCTACCTGCGGCCCTTGACTCACAGCTGGGTGGTGCTGGCTTCTTAGAAGCCAAGTCCCACCCTGCCCGATCACTACCGCCACGCCCACTGGGTGCAACCTCCGCAGAGGGTGAAGACCCCGAGCTCCCTGTGGCGGGGCCACTGCCAGGTAACAGGGAGGCCGTCCAGCTCCCACCGCCCATGTTGTGGTTTGACTGGACTGAGCAGTGCTGGCCAGAACGCGGCCAAAGCACCTTGCGTGAGCACCCATCATTCACTCCTGAACACGGCCTCGTGTATCGGGGACCCCGTTACCTGTAAGTAAGCTGGAAAAAACTTCACTGAAAAATCAGAAACCCCCACCACTGAGAAAGACTGCATCTGGCGTGTGGCCAGCAGCGCAGGCGCATGCACAAGCGTGTGCCCGAGCTGTGCAGGTGGAGGGGCTGCTCCACTCCCCCCACGCTCCCTGCAAATGCGCCCAGGAAGCAGCAGCCAATGCGTGCACGTCCCTGGGCTCCAGCACCTCGAGCTGCTGCAGCCATGTGGGGTGTAAACTAGCAGACTTAGAAACTTATTCTGTTACTCTCTCCCATCCCCCTTTAAAAAGATTTATGGAGAGGAAAATGAGACTTTCCATCTGCTGGTTTACTCTCCAAATGGCTGCACTGGCTGGAGCTCCAGTGATCTGAAACCAGGAGCCAGGAGCTTCCTCTAGGTCTCCCTCACAGGTGCAGGGTTCCAAGGCCTTGGGCTGTCCTCCACTGCTTTCCCAGGCCATAAGCAGGGAGCTGGATGGAAAGTGGAGCAGCTGGAGTATGAACCAGCACCTTACGGGATGCCAGCACTTGTGGGAGGAGGCCTAGCCTGTGGTGCTACGTGCCGGCCCTTCTCTGTCTTCTTTCATAAACAGTCTTAAATGCCGTGGTTCCTATGCAGCTGACACCCTGAAATGGCACACCTGGGTTAAGGGCCAGCTCAGCTTCCAACTGGCCCCTGGCTGCTGCCCAGCCCAGCCGCTGGGAGCATCTGGAGCGTGAACTAGCAGGTGGAAGGAATTTTGGCCTCTGCCTTTCAAAAGTAAAAATAAACTTTAACAAAATCTACCCCACGCTGTCCGCTGAGTCCAGGGCAGAGCCTGCTCCGTGCAGTGTCCCCTGAGCAGACCCTGTGGCCACCCAGCAACAAGCCTGAGGGACATCCAAGTGAGCAGGAAGGGGACAAGAGACCCCAGAGGGGCTCACACACCTGCGTCAACTCAGCCATTCCTGTAAGGGACAAGCAGGCAAAGGCCCGGGCCGCCCAGAGGGAAGTGGGGGACAGGATCTGCACCCCACAACTATGCTGTGTCATCTCTCTGCAGTTATGCTGGCTCCTACCTGTTAGTCCTGTCCCCAACTGCTTCCAACACTTTCTGTGTTGGACAAGCCAGTGACACACCTAAGAAAAGCAGCTTGTGACCCGGACACCTACTGCTCTATCGGGTTTAGTCCGTGAGCCACTCAGTGTCTGTAGGACACACAGCAGCCAGCTGGCAGGCTCTGACTGGGCACAGTAAACGCGCCTCGCCCAGCTGACATGATCCACACAGCAGTCAGCTGGCAGGCTCTGACTGGGCACAGCACACGTGCCTCGCCCAGCTGACATGATCCACAGAGCAGTCAGCTGGCAGGCTCTGACTGGGCACAGCACACGTGCCTCGCCTCACACCTCAGGTCCAGCTGAAAGGCTTCCTGTACTGAAGCCACAGATCACCAACGTCACTGGAAAAAAGTATTACACTCCTAAGAGGAGTTACCAACTTGGTTTAGATACATCTTGATCTTACCTTGACACTGTCACAGAGCAAGCCATCCTGAAACTGGCTGCCAGGAGTGGTGTGCACAGCGGGTACTGTGGCACGGTGGGACACTCACACCCCATCTGGACAGGCCTGGCCCGTGACCTGGCCACTCTGCCTTCTCCCAGGAAGGCAGGCCCTACCACCCACCCGTGGATATGACACAGCGTGCTGGTCCTTCCTGACTCCAGCTGGCCCAACTGCTGCGCACCAGAGGCATGAATCAGTGGCTGGAAGACCTGTCACAGCCTCCCTGACACACCGCCTTTCCAATGAATACCTTCAAAGCAGCCCGTAACAACAAAACAGTGCTGAGTCCACGTGGCTGTCCCAGAGCTCAGCAGATAGGCGGCTTCTGTAGGCCCCACGCTGGAGCTCCAGGTTCTGCTTCTGATCTAGCCCCCACCAGCACACGCTCCGGTAGACAGCAGGGTGCCTGCCACTCACATGGGAGGCCTAGACGGAGCTCCTGGCTCCTGGCTGTGGCAGATCTGGGGAGTGGGCCAGCAGATGGCAGGGACAACTCAGTGTCTGGCTTCCAAGTGAGACGGCAATGAAGTCATGGCTGTAGAGAACAGCAGTGGAAGGACGCCGAGAGTGCAGTGCTGCAACAAGCAGTAACACTCCGACAGTAACACCACACTCGCATCTAGGCAGACACCGACCACTGAATTCACTCTTCCAGGACACACATCAACCAAATATTCAGGAACTGTATATTCTAGAAGACAGTATGGAAACAGCAGTAATCCTTACTGTTTGTGGGTAGGACAGGGGGCGTAATCTGTCGTAATCTTCTTGTCCAGCTGTATCCCACAGGCCCAGATTCACCGGTTTGCCATCTACCATAACATTGGCAGAGTAGTTGTCAAAGCTGCAGAACGGAATGAACAGGGTCAGTCGCAGACACAGCCACTGCCCGAGCCACATCCCAGAAGGGTTGCAGGAGGCGGGGATGCTGGCGCTGGCCAGGCCGCCTGTGCCCCTGTGCCCAGGCTGGAGGGCAGCTCTGGGTTGTGGTGCCCATGCCCCAGTGCAGATGCCAGGAGGCAGTGGAGGTAATTCAAGTACCTGCCACCCACACGGAGGCCCTGGACTGGACCCCTGCTCCTGACCTCAGCCCAGCCCAACACAGGCGCCTGCAGGCATTTCAGAAGCAAACCAGAGGATGGGAGCGCTCGCCCTCAAATAACACGTTCTTAAAAACAAAAAGCTCTGGGACAGCAATTCAAAGCAGCTACCAAATCGAGCAGCTGCCTACAGCTGCAGCAAGGTGAGGGGCAGCCCGGAGCTGACACCTGCACCCCACACCTTCCAGCTTCCTAGCTCCTCAGTGACAGCTCGGGCCACGGGGTCCCTGCCAACCCAGGCGAGGTGAGAGGCCTGGCCCAGCCTGGCAGCCAGAGGCACCAGGCCGTGAGCCAGCTTCTGGAAGATCACAGCTTATCTGTCTCTCTCTTCTTTCTGCCTTTCAAATAGATGGAAATTTTACACAGTAAAAAGAATATTAATAAAAAATAGATGTGATGAATATGGTAATTCTGCTTCCAGGATAAAATGTTCGATAAATGGTACTGTGACATTCCCTTTCTCCTATAAAAAAATCAGTCACCTCACAGAACACCGGAAATAATTTCTGTATGAATTAAGGATAAATTCTTCAGTCAATAAAATCCAAGAAAAAATACTAGATACTGTTTCTGCAGCATTTAAATAGGACTGCCCTTCCTAAGATCCTAACACTCCATGGGGCAGGTGAGGCAGCTGTTCACACAAGACTGTTACATGTTTAGATGGCAGAAGACAACACAGCAAAATTTAAAGAGCCAGAGGGGACTGACTGTTTCAATCACAAGAAATTCCTTCAGTAAGAAGTCTGCATAGGTAATTCAGCCAAGGACTTCAATGAGCAGTTCCCAAAAGGAACAGATGGGCAGTCGATTTCCCAAAGACTCTGACCTTCCAAACGCTCAACCGTCCATCTACCACCAACTGGCCAGCGTCCGTCTTTCTACATGTGGCTGTGCTGTGTTAAATGTCACTGCACTTGTCTCCACACACATGATAGGAGTGGGACTGTGCCAGGTCGGATGGGATGGGCGTCCTCCTCTGGCCGCGGGACACTGAGTGCTACTCTGTCCCCACCCAAAGCCTCGCTCCGTAGGGATTAAGCAGCCTGGCGGCCGACCCCGCCCTGCTACTGCCACCCGTCCTCCCCACCCCAGCTGCCACGCCCCAAACGCACAGTGCCCTCTAACCTACCAGGAGGGGCCTGGAGGCAGGCGATGTGGCATGGGGGTTCACCTGCCCGGGGGTAGGTGGGGGGGGGGGGCTGCATCCCATAGCAGAATGCCAGTGTGTCCCAACCACTTGCAGTCCAGCTCCTGGCCACTCAGGAGATCCTGGCCCTGGGTGTTAAGGCCATTTGGGGAGTAACCCAGCAGGTGGGAGATCTGTCACTCTGCCTTTCTAATTAATTAATTAGTTAGTTAATTATAAAGAGTAATGGCCTGGGGTGAGCACTTGGCAGAGCCACTAAAGACACCACTTGAGGCACCCACATCCAAGGACCTTGTAAGGCAGGAGACGAAGGCTCAAGTCCTTGGGCACCTGCCATGATTTGAAAAAAGCCCAAACGCCTTATAATCAAAGAGTTCAGAAAATGAGAGGAAAATAAAACGTCCCCTGTTCCCATAAGGATGAGGAGCTCTCCGAGAAGCACAGCGAGAGGGGCCGTACTCACACGGTCGGGATGTACTCTCCGGGGAAGGCATTGGTCGTGTAGCTGATCAGCAGACAGGTCTTACCCACAGCTCTGGAGGGGGAGAAGAGGCTGCTCAGTCAACAGGAACAGAACCCGAGCTTGGATCACATATTTAGCAATACAGAAAACGCTATACATTCACCCAGCAATTGAAGCAAACTAGTATTTCTCAGAGACATACAATCAGGAACCATAAATTTTGTTTAGGCGAAATACAAAACAGTTGTGGGTCCCTGTCCCCGTCCCCGTCCCCACCCGTTCTGCAAGAGCACTGTGGGTCAGTGGGTCAAGCCTTGTCCTGAAACACACCTGACAGGGTGCCAGATCAAGACCTGACTATGACACTTCATTCCAGCTCACTGCTCATGGCCTGGCAAAGCAGCAGCAGGATGGCCCACGTGCTTGGGCCTCTGCACCCATGTGGGAGACCCAGAAACAGCTCCAGGATCCTGGCTCTAACCTGGCTCAGCTGCAGCTGTTCTGGGTCAGGAACCAGGAGATGGCAGATCTCTGTAATTCCATTTTGCAAATAAATAAAAAGTAAAAGTGTAAGGAGCCAGTTTCAGCTCTGGCTGCCCTACTTCCCATCCAGCTTTCTGCCTGTGGCCTGGGAGGGCCGTGGAGAATGGTCCCAGGCCTTGGGAGCCTGCAGCTGAGTGGGAGACCTGAAGAAGCTCCTGGCTCCCAGCTTTGGATCAGCCCAGCTCTGGCTCCTGCAGCCATATGGTGTGTGAATCAGCGGATGCAAGATCTCTTTGTAACTTTCAAGTAAAACAAAACAAACAAAATGTAAGTACAAGCTTGTTTCAAGAACATTCTAGAACCTAATAAGTCTGTTTCATAAATATCTTAAGAATCCTTTCATCCAAGAACCTTAAATTCTATGCTCAAAACACTATTGTCAACACTAATACACAAACAGCTTGTGGGGCTGGCATGGTGGGGCAGTGGGTAATCAGCATGCCATATGGTCCCAACTCCTGTCCCAGCGGCTCCATCTCTGATCCAAATTCCTGCTAATGAGCCTGGGCAGCAGCAGAGGGTGGCCAAGCACCTGGGCCCTGCACTCATGTGGGAGACCCGGAAGAGGCTCTCGACTTCAGACTGTCCCTGCTCGGGCCACCGTGACCATTTGTGGAATGAGCCAGCAGATGGAAGATCTCACGTGTCTCAACTCTTTCTAAATAAATAAATAAATAAATCTTAAAACAGATACAGGATTGCTTGAAAAATAAATAATAATAGTAAAAAAAAAACCAGCTTTTTTCTGCAACTCAGATTGTTACTTGTGTGCCAGGCACAGCTCAGCCACCCAGGCTCCTCGGCAATCACAGAACTGCTCTCCAGGCGCCCTCACCTCCAGCGCCACCAGCCCGGCCACGGCTGGGGGAGACACGGGGCACGCAGGAGGGGCCAGCACTGGCACGGTGTGTGGGGACCGGCGCCCGCAGGCACTAGAGCACCACAAGGTAAGAGTGCCCCGAGCCTCACCCCCACACACCGTGCCAAGCCTCCAATCCCCCAGCTCATCTTCAGGGCCCTCGGACGTCACCCCCTCCTGTCCTCTGCCACTTTCCCAAGGAAGGATGACAGCCTGGCACCTGAGGTGTAAGACCGATGGTCACGCTCAGCTCTGCGCTGCTCTGCTTCCTGGGAGGAAGGGAGAACCCCCAGCCAGAGCGGACCCCACCCAGGCTTGCCAGCACTTGTTTTGCTGGGAACATTAAATGCTTACCCAAAGTTGGAACTCCCCACCCCAAAGACCTCCCCGCGTTAAACATTACATCACCAGGAGGTAACCTCCCCTCAAGGCTTTCTCAGCAGATCATGACTCACTCTACACGCATCTCTCAAGAGCTGCCGGCAGAGCAGGCCTGTGGGAGCAGAGCGCGGCTGGGTGCTAGGGGCCAGCTCCTTCACTACGGATTCCAGCTTCCCCCGCCTCAGTTTTCTTACCCATAAAATGGACTCAGAACTACTAATGCCTTCCCAAACTCCCTAAACTTCAGTTCAGTTTCCATTTCTACCAACTCACATGTGGCTTGCCACAGGGCATTCCAGGTGCAACAAACAAGATCACACAGAAAGCACAGGAAACACGTCGCCACCATCGCAGCAGAGCCTAGGCGTGCTAGGTGTGGCCAAGAGTGCAGAGGTCGGCCCTCATCTCCAGGCAGCCAGAGAAGGCAGCAGGGCAGAGGGGGGCAGGCAGGACGCCGAGGCAAGAGCTGACGAAGCAAGGCCAGCACAGGGAAGGCCAAGGACGTACCAGGCATGGCACGGGACGTGGGAGGCCAGGGGAGCTTAAGCTGGCAATAAAGTAGGTTATTTTAGAGGTGGTCTCTGCAGACTGACAAAGCTGGGACCCACCACGGCAGAGGGGGAAGCATGGCTGTAAACGAGGGGCTGAAGGGCAGTGGGCTGTCGCAGGAGCCATCACACCCACCCAGGCTCTGGGCTGGTTGGGCAGCAAGGCCCCAGCAGCGGGCCCTGCTCCCAAAAGCCGGTGTTGCTGGGGACAGCAGGTTGCCCAGACTGCAGCCCCAAGTTGGGGATAAGCATCTGCAAAGGCCATAGCCATATGCTTAAACGCCTTCAGGAGCGCTTCTGAAACCCCGTTCTAAAGGAACCAGGAACCAGGTGGCCACGTAAGCAGGAGAGCCGGCCTGAAATGAGCCACAGTTTCCCTTGCTCGCCTGGGAAGGACCTGCAGGTGCTGGCAGAAGGGGACGCTGGCTGCAACTCTGATGGCCAACCGTTATCTGCTACAAATCTACTTGCCATTAAAAACAAGATTCCTGACAGAATCATGATTTTTTAAAAAATTGTTTTTTATCGGAAAGGCAGATATACAGAGAAGGAAAGACAGAAAGATCTTCCATCCACAGGTTTGCTTCCCCACAACAGTCAGCTCTGAGCTGATTCGAAGCCAGGAGCCAGGAGAGCAGCCGGGATATGAACCAGCGCCCAAATGGGATCCTGGCGGATGCAAGGCAAGGATTTAGTCACTAGATTATCAGGCCAGGCCCAAGAAGCTTTTTTTTTTTTTTTTTTAAAGATTTATTTATTTTTATTAGAAAGAGATACAGAGAGGAGAACAAAGATCTTCCATTCGATAATTCACTCAAGCAGCAGCAAGGGCTCCTAAGCCAGGAACTTCCTCCAGGTCTCCTATGTGGCTGCAGGGTTCCAAGACTTTGGGCCGTCTTCGACTGCTTTCCCAGGCCACAAGCAGGGAGCTGGATGGGAAGCAGGGCTGCTGGGATTAGAACCAGTGCCATACGGGATCCCAACACGTTCAAGGTGAGGACTAGGTGAGCCGTTCAAGGTGAGCTGCCAGGCCCAGAATCTTGATTTTTATTCAACTGTTGAAATGTGTACCAACAAGAAAAAGACACTTTTCCTGGCACTTGGCGTGTGTTCACCTCCACAGGCACAGCCACAGTCACGGAGGCACAGGTAGGCCCCAGCGCTGGTGGTGGTCACAGCGTCCACAGGCCATGCCCACAGCGTCCACAGGCCATGCCCACAGCCGCCAAAGCCCCTGCAAGTGCTTATCTGCTCTGGATGCCAATGTGATCGAATCGCTCAGGCCCACCTTGTCTTACTCTGTGAAAGACACCACAACCGGACAGTAACCGTGACTTTACTGAAGAAAAGCTCACAGCACTTATGCACTGGCATTTCCCCCAGCCCATGACATTACCATTTTTTTAAACTTATCTGAGCTTCCACTTCTATCCTGTGGAAATAACCCACATCAAAGCCAGTAACTTACAAACCCTGTTACTTTTTCCATTAGGAATTTTTTACTGGGGGCCGACCCGGGGGTGGAGCTGCTCCCTGCCATCCTGCCTGGGAGGGCAGCACAGACCGGCCCAGTGCAGGAGGGCCCTGCAGCCACGCGGGGGACCTGGCAGGAGCCCCTGGCTGCCAGCTTCACATCAGGCCGGTTCTGGCCCTTGTAGGGATCTGGGGAGTGAATCAGTAGCATGGAACATTCTCTCTTTTTCTGTATGCCTTTCAAATTAATAAAGAAATCTGTTAAGATATATCAAATTCTGGGCCGGGGGGCGTGGCCTAGCGGTTAAAGTCCTCTCCTTGAATGTGCCGGGATCCCATATGGGCGCTGGTTCTGATCCTGGCTGCTCCACTTCCCATCCAGCTCCCTGCCTGTGGTCGTCTGGGAAAGCAGTCAAGGACGGCCCAAAGCCTTGGGACCCTGCACCCGTGTGGGAGACCTGGAAGAAGCTCCTGGCTCCTGGCTCCAGACTGGCTCAATTCCAGCCATCACTGGAGCCGGGGCATTCTGTCAGCTCCTGCAGCCAGCCCCCAGTGCACTGTGCTGTGTTAAGTGCCGCCTGCAGTGCTAGCCCAAATCTCACCCAGCTCTTCTACCACAGTCCCAGCACCCTACTCACATGCCTGGGAAACTAGCAGAGGCAGCCCTATACAGAGTTCTGGGTTCTTGGTTTTGACCGGAATTAGCTGCAGCCATTTAAGCCGTGTGGAGACTGAACCAGAAAATGGAAACTCGTGCCCTCTCTCTGCCTTCTAAATACAGTAAATTTGGGGGCTGGCGAAGTGGCTCAACAGGCTAATCCTCCACCTGTGGCACCAGTATCCCAGACAGACACCACTTTCTATCTAGATGCCCACAGTGGCCTGGGAAAGCAACAGAGGATGGCTCAAGTCCTTGGGCCCTGCAGCCACTGACGCGACCCAGGTGAAGTTGCTGGCTCCTAACTGGCTCAGCTCTGGTCACTGTGGCCAGCTGGGGAGTGAACCAGCCAATGCAAGATCCTCTCTCTCTCCACTGTAAAATCTGCCTTTCAAATACTACTACTACTAATAATAATAATAGTAACCACACACATACATAAAAATCTTAAAAAAGAACAGATCATGGGGCAGGGCACAGAAGCCTAGTGGCTAAGTCCTAGCCTTGCACGCGCCGGGATCCCATATGAGTGTTGGTTCATGTCCCCCAGCTGCCCTACTTCCCATCCAGCTCTCTGCTTGCAGCCTGGGAAAGCAGTTGAGGATGGCCCAAGGCCTGCACAAGTTTGTGAGGTCTGGGTGACCGAGAAGAAGCTCCTGGCTCTGGATTAGCTCAGCCCGGCCACGGTAGCCAGTTGGGGAGTGAACTTTTATCTGTCTGCAACGCCTACAGTTGAAGCAGCTACCTGTTACAGAGCTGAGGGTCACTTGGCTGACTCCAGCGTGAGACTTCCTCGGTCTCTGGGAGGCGGGGGTGCCGGCTCAGGTGGTTGGTTCCTGGACTGAGTTTCCAGATGCCCATGCAGGCTGTTGCAGGCTCCTGAAGAGTGACCCAGCACACAGGAGCTCTCTGTCTCTCACTTCTCAAATAAATTTTTTATTTATCTCTTTGGGAAATCAGATTTACAGAGAGGAGAGACAAGAACCAACGCCTCTGAGCCATCATGCTAGGCCCTCAAATAATGTAAAAAACAGAAATGTATCTAACTTCACACCACCCCTCCTCCATGAAAGCCGGCACCTCAATTACATCCCATGGAAATGGGAAGACAGCAAGTACAGCACACAGAAAACAGGTCATGGGCGCCAGGACTGGGTCTGTGGGTGCAGACTCCGCAGTTCTCCCCCGTTTCTGAAGTGTTAAGATGCTGGAATTGAGCTGGGGCAGTAGCCTAGTGGCTGAAGTCCTCACCTTGCATGCCCCAGGACCCTATACGGGCACCAGTACTAATCCCACTTCCATCCAGCTCCCTGCCTGTGGCCTGGAAAGGCAGCTAAGGACAGCCCAGAGCCTTGGGACCCTGCACCCACGTGGGAGACCCAGAAGAAGCTCCTGGCTTCAGGTAGACTCAGCTCCGGCAGTTGTGGTCACTTGGAGAGTGAACCAGAGGACCGAAGAGCTTTCTCTCTTTCTTTCCTTCTCTCTGTATATCTGCCTTGCCAGTAAAAATTAATAAATCTTAAAGTTAAACAATAGAAATGCTGGAAGTAACCTCTTGCTTCTGCTAAGCTGGACAGGCTGCTCTGAAGCGGGCGTTGCGATAATACGCCCTCTTTCCCGGGGGCACTACCAGGTAAGACCCTGCCTGATGGGCCAAGCAGCCACCTGGTACAAAAGCACACAGCACTGAGCCGGCAGACCAATGCCCCAAACACCCTTCCAAAAAGTACATTTCGGCTTTCTAGCAATGGCTTCCTCACACTCCTCCACACAACCCCAAGCTCTCATTAGGCCTATCACTCCAAACTTCGAAGATAATAAACAATGCTATGTATATTTTCACCAACCAAGATCAGAGTGGCAACGAAAAACCTCAACCTGGAAGTCAGTTCAGAATCAAAAAAAACCTTTACAGCAAGTCAAGGCCCCAGTATGAAACACACAGGACTGCTCGACATGACCTCACGGACCAGGTCACCGCTGCTCAATGGCATCCTCAGTGAGACAGCAAGCCGACTTCCGGGCGGCCACATCTGCGGGGACCCCAAGCCCTGGTGAACGCCGCCATGGCCGAGCGAACCGGGGCCTTCGAGGGCTCCCCGCCAGCTTTCCAGCAAGCCAAGGCCAAAAGCTAGCACACACTCATACTTTAACACCTACATGTTGCCACCGATTAGAACACAGGCAAGCTGACCCACTTAGAGCATGGTTAACACGTAGCCTGCTCCTCCCATCTGCCTGTCTGCCTCCACCGTTTCAAGCACTTCTAGTGGAAACAGTCCCATCCACTACTTGGGCAACCTCTGAATAAAAGAACATTCCAATGATGGCATCAGGATAAAGTTTATCAGAAAAAAGCATTTTTGGTATGGACAATTTAGTATTTGAAGTTTTACTAAAAAAAAACAAAACAACTTGATTCATATGACCTCTTAAAGTAGGATAGCTTAAATATTTGGTAAAAATCCCCTTCACTTGAATGCCACGTAGCCAGTCAATACACAGGTCAATACAGTATTAACAGGTAGACTATGAGGGCCAATGCTATGGCTTAGAGGGTTAAGTCGCCACCTGCAACACTGGCAAACCATATGGGCACTGGTTCAAGTCCCAGCTGCTTCACTTCCAATATAGCCCCAGGCTCATGCTCCCTGAATCCATGTGCTCCACACACAGGAAGAAGTTCCCGGCTCCTGGCTTCAGACTGGCTCAGCTCCTCCGGCTGTTGCCGCAGTGCGTGAAGCTCACTCTACTGCAAGGTGCTGGGAGTGGTGGTGCTGGCTCAGTCAGGTCCCTCCCATCCACACAGGGACCCAGGCGCCCAGTCCCGGCCACACCCGCAGGGGTGAGCTGACAAAGGCAGTTTCCTCTCTCTTGCAAATCAATGTTCAGAAATAAAAAGCAGATGGAGGGCAGAGCACGGTGGCTCAGGGGCTAAATCCTGGCCTTCCGAGTGCTGGGATCCCATTTGGGCATTGTGCCCAAATGCTCCACTTCCCCTCCAGCTCCCTGCCTGTGGCCTAGGAAGGCAGTGGAAGGCGGCCCAAAGCCTTGGGACCCTGCACCTGCCTGGGAAACCAGAAGAGCTCCTGGCTCCAGATCGACTCAGCTCTGGCCACTGCAGCCGCGTGGGGAGTGAACCAGCGGACAGAAAACCTTTGTCTCTTTCTCTCTGTAAATCTGCCTTTTCCAGAAAAACGTACAATATATATGGCAGATGGAAAATCCCAGGGCAGGAGCGGTGATTTTAATATCTGACGCTCCTTCACAGACCCTCAGCGGTATGAACAACCTGGCTCCTGGGGGGGACTTAACACCCAGCACCTTGAGCAACTGTTGAAACTGCTCTGACAGGCACAGCTTGGAGGAGGAGGACGCAGGGATACCCCCAAGGCTTCTCACTGGATGACAAAGCCAGCTGCGAGCTCTTGGGGCCCAACAGCCAGTGCCAGAGCTGGGTCTGGACTCAACCAGCACCTTTACTTACAAAAGCAGCTAGCAAGTGGCACTGCTCAGCACAAGTATTTTTAAAGTCGGGTCGTTTTAAACGTTCCTAAGACAAAAACACCAACGCTTGGCTTCACTTCCAATCCAACCACACGCACACATTTCCCCAAGTGATAAGGTTAAGGTTTTCTCTTCACCAAGGAAAAGCTACTGCACACAGCCCTAAGTCTGCTTATGAAACGGAACTGCTGCTGGTCTATGCGGAACCAGAAACAGCCATCACCAATTTCTCTGATTTGTGACACAGACTCAACAGATGCGGATCTTGTGAAGGAAAATAAGTAAAAATCAGTTGCCTGTTCTGCCATCTTCCAGAAACAACGTTCAAATGTTTAAGGTCAAATCTCTTAAACTAAGAGATCACCCGATTTCAAGGTACAGAAGAACCAAAAAAAAAAAAAAAAAAAAAGGTCCTTTTGACCGGTTGGGGGGCAGACAGCTCCCCGCCGCCCTGAACTCTTGAAGTGAGCAGTGTGCACTCGAGCCGGACCAAACTGGCAGGTCATTCTTGGCGCTCCCTCGGAGAACACTATCCCCACACAAGCACAGCTGAGACGCGCGATTTTGCTCGGATTACACCGAGATTCTTGTTTCTGCGAGGGGCGGGCGGGGACTGCATAAAACCAGTCTTGTCCTGGTCAAGAGCCTGGAACCACCATGGACAGTCGAGCTCGCCGCCCGGGGCCTCAGCCCGCGCTTCGCCGGCATTCTTTTTTTTTTTTTAAGACTACATTCAAAGAAGAGATGGGTTTCCATCACATCTACCACCTGACGACATCTCTTAAAAAAATAATAATCAATAAAACTTTCTCCACGAGAAGTCCACAAGTGGCCAAAGTTACAAAGTCGAGGCGATCAGGGCGTACGAGCTAAAAAGTTTCCGGTCACCGACTGGGACCCCTGCGCCCTCCCCCTTCCCGACCCGCCGCAGCTCTCCAAGGTGGGGGAGCCACAGAGAGATGGGTCCCCCTTTTCCGACAAGCAGGAAAAATAAATAAATAACGACAGCTCCAAACCCGCCTAAGGGACGTGCCCAGCAGGGCGCTGGGGTGGCGGGCGGCGTCCGGGGGAAGCGCGAGGGCCAGGGTGGAGTCCACCGAGCCGTGCCCGGCGCCGAGGCCCTGCACCCCGCGGCCGGCGAGGCCCTGCACCCCGCGGCCGAGCCCGGCCCGCCGAGGCCCTGCACCCCGCGGCCGCCGAGGCCCTGCACCCCGCGGCCGAGCCCGGCCCGCCGAGGCCCTGCACCCCGCGGCCGCCGAGGCCCTGCACCCCGCGGCCGAGCCCGGCCCGCCGAGGCCCTGCACCCCGCGGCCGCCGAGGCCCTGCACCCCGCGGCCGAGCCCGGCCCGCCGAGGCCCTGCACCCCGCGGCCGAGCCCGGCCCGCCGAGCCCCGCCGAGAGGCCGCCCCGGGGCCTAGGCCAGCCCGCGGCCGGGAAAGCCGGGCGCGCGGTGCCGGACCCGCCCCGGGCCCTCGCCGTCCGCTCCGTGCACGCTCCGGCACGCCCGGCCCGGCGTCCCCACCCGCGACCCCGGGGCCCCGGCCGCGCGCGCGCACTCACCCGTCTCCCACCACCACACACTTGATGGCCTGCATCGGGGCCGCTCGCAGGGCCGCGGCGGCGGCCGGACGCTGAGGCGGGAAGCGGGCGGGAGGGCGAGCGGGCGCACCGGCGCGCGGCTACACTCCGGCGGCGCGGGATGCCGGAGTCACTCGTCCACGCCGCCTTCGCCCCCTCCGCCGACGGCAGGCACCGGCCCGGCAGCAGCCACCACCCAAAACGGAGGAAAACTGCAGAGAAACAGGAAATGGCCGCTCCACTCACATCCGGCCTCCCCTCCCCCCGAGCCGGCGCCGCCGCTCCCAGGCTCCGGGAGGGGCCGCTGGCGCCCGAGCGCCTCCCGGGGTTCCTCAGGGCTTCGGGAACACTCGGGAGCGCTCGGCCGCGCTCGGCCGCGCTCGGCTCCGGCCGCGGGGTGTGCCTCGCTGGGAGGGCGGTGGGGCGGGGTGGCCGCCATCTTTTGACGCCGTCTGGGCGCGGCCGGGCTGGAGCTTTTGGAAAGCAGGCAAATGGGGTGTCGGGGGACCCACACTTACGTCACCGCTCCCTTGCATAGGACATCAAAAGGGGCGTCGAGTCCTGTCCTCCTCCCCTCACCCACACACACAACTCTTTCTCATCCTTTTCTCTGCTGTCTCTGTGACTTAAACGATGACATCAGGGTCTTCTAGAAATTTCCGGAGCTAAAACTGTAAGGAAAAGAAAAAAAAAAAAAGAACCAAAATCACAATCAGCGATGATCAGGATTCATTCAAATGATGGATGTTTGTCTCTTATTTTGCTTTCTAGGCATTTATGTTAATGTTCCTTTAAAGAAATCTCCCAGCTGCTGATTTTTCCCCCAAGTGCCTGCAACCACCAGAACTAAGAGGGGACATTTAGCAGCCAGGCACCCAAGCTGAGTTGCTGACCGGGTGTCCACCATCTGGTGCCTCCCAGGGTGCCCATTAGCAGGAAGCTCTCCTGGAAGCAGAATTGGGACGCAGGCGCTGTGAGAAGAGTGGCGTCTTACCAGCTGTGCCATACACCCACCCTGGATTTAAAGGATTTCATTATCACGGGGCAACTGAGTTGTCTCTAATCTCTAGTTCCAACAGCACCGACAGTGAATTTGTTTGTATGAGAATATTCAAGGGCTGGTGTTGTGGCATGGTGTGGAAGGCCACTGCCTGCAATGCCAACATCCCATGTGGGTGCTGGTTCAAGTCCCGGCTGCTCCGCTTCTGATCCAGCTTCCTGTAATGACCTGGGGTAAAAGCAGTGGAGGGCGGCACCACCAGCGCGAGAAATCCCGACGAAGCGCCTGGCTCTTGATTTCCGCCTGGCTCAATCCTTGCTGGGACAGAAGATCTCCCCCGACAAGCTCTGCCTTTCAAATAAACAAATAACTCTAAAAGAAGAAGTGCCGTGATGTGGGTAAAGTCGCTGCCTGTGGCACCAGCAACCCATCCAGGTGGGCACTGGTTTGAGTCCCGGATGGAACCAGCAGATAGAAGGAAAATCTCCTCTCTCTCTCTCTCTCTTTCCTGTCTCTGTAAGTCTGCCTTTCAAATAAATAAATAGATATTAAAAAACAATTTTTTTTTTGTTTACTTGAAAGGAAAAGAGCTAAAGAGATACAGACATCTTCTCCATGGTTCACTCCCCAGACGCCTGTGAGAACCAGCACTGCGGGAAGACTGCTGCCAGCAGCCAGGAACTCCGTCTGGGTCTCTCCCGTGGTGGCAGGGACCCGGGACGCAAGTACCTGAACCATCCTGTACTGCCTCTGCAGAGCCCCGTTAGCAGGGAGAGCCAGTCAGAGGCGGTGAACCGGCACTGCAATGTGGGACGCTGGCATTCCAAGGAACAGCCAGCTGCTGTGCCAAAATTGGCCCCCAAGTTTTTAAAGATTTATTTGTTTATTTTAGTGGAAAAGCAGAAATAAAAGGAGAAGAAGATACAGAGAGAAAGATCTTCCATCTGCTGGTTTACTCCCCATGTGGCCACAACAGCCAGAGCTGAGGCAATCCGAAGCCAAGAACCAGGAGCTTTTTCCAGGTCTCCCACGCGGGTGCAGGGTCCCAAGGCTTTGGGCCGTCCTCCACTGCTTTCCCAGGCCACAAGCAGGGAGCTGAAAGAGAAGTGGAATAACTGGGATCAGAACTGGCGCCCACGTGGGATCCCGACACAAGCAAAGCAAGGACTTTAGTGGTTAGACTACCGCACCGAGGCCCCCACCATTGTTTTTCAAAATAGCATTTTTTTTCCCTCATGGAACTATTTAAAACAAAACATGTTCATGGGACCAAGAACTTTCTACTTCTCTGTTCACAGGAATGGTTGAAATTTCAAGGAACGACAGCACCCTCTTTGCTGTCAACTGCTTATAAAAAATATCCAGAGAATTTAGAATCAAAGTGAATGACTAAGTACACAATAATTACCTCCATGTCTTTCTAGTCAGAGGAAATAAAAGGCTACAGACTGGGGGCAGCAGCACCCTGGCATAGTGGGTTAAGCCTCTGCCTGTGATGCAGACATCCCGTACCAACACTGAATCAAGTCCTAACTACTCTACTTCTGATCCAGCTCCCTGCTCGTACACCAGGGAAGGCAGTGAAGAATGGCCTAAGCCTTTGGGCCCCTGGACACATGTGGGAGACCCAGAAGAAACTCTTGGCTTTGGGCCTGGTGGTGTGGCCTAGTGGCTAAAGTCCTCGCCTTGTACGCACCAGGATCCAATATGGGCGCCGGATCTAATCCCAGCAGCTCCACTTCCCATCCAGCTCCCTGCCTGTGGCCTGGGAAAGCAGTCGAGGACAGCCCAAAACCTTGGGACCCTGCACCCGTGTGGGAGACCTGGAAAAAGTTCCTGGCTGCTGGCTTCGGATTGGCAAAGCACCGGCCATTGCGCTCACTTGGGGAGTGAATCATTGGACGGAAGAAAGATCTTCCTTTCTGTCTCTCCTCCTCTCTGTATATCTGACGTTCCAATAAAAATAAATAAATCTTAAAAAAAAAAAAAAAGAAGAAGAAGCTCTCGGCTTCTGGCCCTGGGCCAGCCCAGCTCCGGCCATTGAGGCCATCTGGGGAAGAGACCAACTGAGGAAAGATTTTTCGTTGCTTCTTCCCCTTCTCTATCAGTAAACCTGCCTTTCAAAAAAAAAAAAAAATCTTTTTTAAAAAAGGCTATGGTCTCGGTCAGTAATGTAATTCAGTGAATGAACTGAATCACAACTGCTGTGGCATTGGGTGGTAAATAAGGGGCACAGCTGCTGTGACCCAGGTCCGCCGTGCTTGGTGCCATGCATGGATGACCGGGGCCACAAAGTCGTGTGCACGTTAATGAAAAGGCTTTCATCAAAGCAATGAGAGAGGACGGACAAGTCTGCATGTGAGATGTGAGCAAGAAGGGGTTCCCACAGAGAGCCGAGTCGTGGAATTCAGACGCTCCAAGGAGGGCGAGGTCGTGGGCCTTCCTGAGACGAGACGCGGCAGCCATCAGGTGCTCCAGGACCGGATACGGAGAAGCCAGTCCTGGCTGGGCTGTGGACTGCCTGTGGAGTGCACTTTATCCTGATAGGCGTTTCCGAGCCAAGGCGTGCCACAAGCACGGGGACAGCACTGCTTTTCTCGATCGGTGATAAGAAAGTCCATTCCCCAAGATGCGAGGAGATATCCACGTGGGTGTACACCGCACCTGTGAAAGTCAGCCTTGCTTCCAAACTGAGTGACCGCACCTCTCCAAGTATCTGCTTGGGACACTCCCATGTCAACAAATGATCCAGAAAGTTAAATTCATAGCAGCAAAGGGTTTGGTATCTACTCTGTTCACAGTGCTGCTGGGAGATGGCGGCACCCCTTAGCCCACTGGCAGTGGGCCAAGCCACACCCCATAGCTCTGTGCCACCTTGCTGGAGATGTGACCCTTTGCTGGTGCTCAGTAAACCTCCTTCATAATTACTCTGTCAGACACTTTGTTATAGTGACTCAAAGCTGACTAATAAATACCGTAGTAAACTATGTCTACCTCTCTTCCTTCCTCCATCTCTCCTCCCTTCCTTCCTTCTGGTTTTCTCCCTACCCACATGCCACCCTGGAGGCACAGGGCATTCCCCTCTGCTGGTTCCCTCTTCTTGGGCGTGCAGGTGGCCAGAGCACCAACTGGCACCAGGCTCTGCCCGCTTGCCACCCAACAGTGAGCTCTGGGATGTCAGGAGTGTGGAATTACTGCTTAGGGACATCCATGGACAAAGCTGTGTGTGTAAGTGAGGAATGAATCTTGAGGGACTCCAACTACAGGGTCACTATACTGAAGGTAAGCGAGGGGCTGAGACCTGGTGGTTTGGAGGAGACTGAAAGATCTGTATGGGTCAGACTGATGTACCAGCCCACATGGGAATCTAGAGTTGGGCTTGTTAGCATGGAACATTGCTGACTACCACATTCCAGTCCATGTAAAAACTAGGGCTGGGGCCTGTCCAGCAGGGCTAGATCCTAGTACCTGACTGAATGTCAGGACAGGGGACAGATCACATTAGGCAGGGCCATAACACTAACCAACACACAAGAGAACCAGGTCCAGGGGTAAATTCTGTGTGGGATATGTGGACCCAACACTGTGGAAATGCTAGGCCTTGCTAGTTAGCTCAAGAGTTGGGGTGGTGATGGGCTGAGATAGGTGTGACCATGGAACCTGCCATCACTAATGGGTACAGGGATCAAGAACAATCTGGGCAGATCCAGGCTGCAGTGCCTGTATGTGCATCTTAAAACAGCATGTTGGGTGGGCCAGACCACAACATTCACCAGCTCATACAAGGCCAAGATGGAATGGAAGACTATACCGGGCAAAGGCCTAACACCCGTTGACAGGTATGAAATCTGGGTCTGGGAGTAGGCTGAGTGGGGGAAAGTGGGAAACTCCCTTAGTGGGTCATAGCTCATGGTCCAAGCCTGAAGGTCGCGCAGACTGGGCAAGGTAGCTCCAACTGTTGGCTAATGTGTGGGTTTGTTTTGGAAGGAGGTGGACTGAGCAGGGCTGAGCAAGCCTTAGCTCAATGGCAAGTGCAGAAACTAGGCTTGAGTGCAGGTCTTTCTGGGCTAGGCTGTCACCGGTTTACATGAGCCAGGCATGGAAGCAGACTGAGCAGGGCCAGGTGCCAGCACCTGCCAGCAAGAGTTGGAACTGGAAGCAGGCCAGGTCAGGTCAGGCTACAGCATCCCAAGGCAAAGGCCAAGATAGGTGAAGGACTATGCCAAGCTGGGTCAGAGCAACCACTGGCACACGCAAGATCTATGGTTAG